ATTATATAATATATAATATTATATTATATTATATTATATTATATAATATATAATATATAATATATAATATTATATTATATTATATATAATATTATATTATATTATATTATATTATACATATACATATTATATTATATATATATATACACAGTAGATATTATAATAACAATACATAATGGCTACATCACACAGAATGGGATGAAATCGCATTCTCAAGATGGTGGATTTAACCAAAAAAGAACGGTGTAACCACGGCCTGTCCTTTTTGAAGAGCAATTGGGAGAGCTGCCACAACGACTTCCAGTCGTCTTCGCTGCGTGAACCCGCTGCAGGGACGCATCGTCTGAAGGCATAGCAAGCCTGGCACCGCAACATCATCAGGGGGGATGGATGGAGGGGCCCAAGTTATGGCTGTTTTAATGGGATTTGGGGGTAGCGTATTTTCAGGCAAACCTTTTTGGCTTAACGGTAAAACCCTTCAGTGCATCATCGTTGGTGAACATACGGAAATCTGTTGCATTTGCTTGAACTTGAAAACATGAAACTTTGTCGTTAAAAAATAGCACAATAATCTGGCATGATTTCGCATCATTTTAGAGCGGGTCAAAATTATCAACCCCAAAAAAAGTGCATCCCCGGTGTGGTTAGGCGTCAAAACTGGCATAGCTGGATGTTCATCCCTCATATTTTTGGGAAACTGTGGGTTTTGATCAATGCCCATATTAAATCATTTGCCCATATTAAATGATAATAGGTGTGTTTGAAACTAGGGTACCCCAAGATCCACTGATCATAACTATCCATCTAAAAGTTGCCATAACTGGGGGTATACCTTATTTTCAGGCACACCCATATGGAATTGTCTGAAAATAGGCTACCCAAAACAATCAATGGATTCTCTTCATTTTCCCCATGAAATTTATCCAATTTGGGAGAATCCCGGATCACCATGGATAACCCATTTCAAGACACCAATTCCATGGGGGTAACCCATGGTAACCCCCATCATCCAAGACATTCGACCGATTTCCAGCCATGGTGACGCTGCATGGGACCCCTGTTGCCTGGTCTATTTGCCCAAGTCGGAGGGACAAGTCTGCGACCTTTCGCCACACTGGACGCGCCTCAAAGGAGAGCGGAGAGTGTTTTTGAAGATGGGGATGCTGATCATTTTTTGACCCAAGGCCATAAACCATCCCCATTAAAAACCATAAATGGGTGTTTAAAATCCTCCCCAAATGATAGGTTTATGGCATTGGGTGGTGGATCAAGTTTTGATATATGTTGATCTGTTTTTTGATGGGAAACATGAGGACCAACCATCAAAATTTGGGATACCCTTTTAAACAAACCCAAATAAACATGTGGGGTCTTGTAAAAAAAAAAACAAGCCCTTTCAAGTTGTTTTTTTTCACACGTGATCGTTTTTTCCTCTTATCGTTGTTCCAAGCGCTGGCTTCACACCTTGACCAAAGGATTCACATGAGCGAGGAAAGGGAAAAGGAAAAGGAAGAGAAAAGGAAGGGAAAGGAAAGAATAGGAAAGGGAGAGGAAAAGGAAAGGGAAAGGAAAGGGAAAGGAAAGAAAAAGGAAAAGGAAAACGAAAGGATAAGAAAAGGAAAAGGACAGGAATAGGAAATGAAAAGGAAAAAGGAAAGAAAAAACAAAGGAAAAAGGAAAAAGGAAAGGATCGAGAAGGAAAAGGAAGAGTAATTATTAAAGGAAGGGAAACGAAAAAGGAGAGGAAAGGGAGAGGACAGGAACAAAAAGGGCCGTGTCTCACACGGACCATTTTTGATGCCAAAAGTTATCGTTTTCGTTATCGTTTTGTTATCGTTTTGTTATCGTTCGTGCATCCTCTGTACGTTAATTTTTTCTGGAAATGAGTGTAGCACCAGGCACCTTCCTTGTGCAGAATCTGACGCGCATTCGTTCGCGCGCCATTACAACAACAAACAATGAAATGAAGAAACCAAAAACACTAAATAAATAGGTGCAAAACGACGGAAAAATAAAAAACATTGGATTTCAAGAGTCTGGACACATATCACGCACAGAACCAACGTTCAACGTTATCGTTTTTTTCCTCTTATCGTTTTTTCGAGTGGAAGCTAAAAATGGTTCATGGCAGATCATGGAAGACTAAACGAATAGGCGCGGGGTTTTTACAAACTCCCATGTTGGATTCAGTGTTGAGGAATCGGATCCAGGAATTTCGTTTCAAATCCTTCAAATGGAAACGAAATTACCAGGCTATAGGTATGGATGACATCCTGAACGTGCGATTGGACTTTGCGTTGACATCTGGCGACCTTGAGACCACTTCAACAAGCCTCAGAAGAGGGAGAAGTGAAGTACGCAGAGAGAAGCAGGGCATCCAGTGCCTGCGCTGCAGCAACGAGGTCGGTACCATTCGGTAACAGGAATGGCCAGTGGCTGGCCATTCTTAGTACTTGGGTTACCCAGTATCTATCAATATCTATCAAATTCTATCAATATCTATCAATATCTATCAATATCTGTCAATATCTATCAAATTCTATCAATATCTATCAAATTCTATCAACATTCTATCAATATTATCTATCAAATTCTATCAATATTATATCTGTCAAATTCTATCAATATCTATCAATATCTATTACTATCTATCAAATTCTATCAGATTCTATCAATATCTATCAATATCTATCAATGTCTATCAATATCTATCAATATCTATCAAATTCTATCAACATCTGTCAAATTCTATCAATATCTATCAATATCTATCAATTTCTATCAATATCTATCAAATTCTATCAATATCGATCAAATTCTATCAATATCTATCAAATTCTATCAATATCTATAAACATCTGTCAATGTCTATCAAATTCTATCAATATCTATCAACTTCTATCAACATCTGTCAATATCTATCAATATTTATCAAATTCTATCAATATCTATCAAATTCTATCAATATCTATCAATATCTATCAAATTCTATCGATATCTATCAATATCTATCAAATTCTATCAATATCTATCAAATTCTATCAATATCTATCAATATCTGTTAATATCTATCAATATCTATCAAATTCTATCAACATCTGTCAAATTCTATCAATATCTATCAATATCTATCAAATTCTATCAAATTCTATCAATATCTATCAAATTCTATCAATATCTATCAATATCTATCAATATCTATCAAATTCTATCAATATCTATCAATATCTATCAAATTCTATCAATATCTATCAATGTCTATCAATATCTATCAAATTCTATCAATATCTATCAATATCTGTTAATATCTATCAATGTCTATCAAATTCTATCAACATCTGTCAATGTCTATCAAATTCTATCAATATCTATCAAATTCTATCAACATCTGTCAATGTCTGTCAAATTCTATCAATATCTATCAAATTCTATCAACATCTGTCAATGTCTATCAAATTCTATCAATATCTATCAAATTCTATCAATATCTGTCAGCTATATGTTCATATATTAATATATCATCCCTATCCACAGTGAAATACAACAAACATCAACCGAATTCCACAGGGATGGGCCCATGGTATTCCATGGCCACCACGGCATGGCGGTGACTTGGCTTAGCCTTCTTTTCTTCCCCACGCTCCGTGTGGATCAAGTGCAGGACATGGTATGGATCTGCGAGTCCCGGCTGTTCTCCTTGGGCGTCTGTTTTTTTTGCGCCTGGAAGTTCTGGAAGCACCCATATTTCACACAGAAACTTATGATTCCATCATTAGGTCAAAGATGATTTTCAGTACTTCTTTCTGATCTTGACCTGTTTGGATCCAAAAACCAGACACACTCAAATGGCACTGGTAGTGGAACTCATGCTGGTCAAGGCATCCAAGGCTCTGATTGCAGCCTTCATTGTCTCAATGGCATCAGCAAAGTCACCATTGGAGTACTGCGCATGACCTCGTGCCAGAAGTGCTCTTGCTTCAGGAGTGGCCTCTCATGTGGCTGGAGCATCATTCCAGTCAACGGACTCAGCAGCGGCGCTTACCACATGCGCCTGACACTTCTCTCTGGCTCTTTGCACCGCGGTCTTTTGACCTTCGGCTTTCCTCCTTGGAAAGGATCACAAACGGATCACTCCAACTAAGAGGACGACTCTGCCAAGTTGGGGGTTGGAAGGACTACTTCCCTCTAAAAATCGTGCAATTCTCAGAGTATACGTTGGTTGGGGGTTGATGGTAGTCACCAAGCCGTTCTCGCCTGAGTTTCTTCTTCTTGTTCTGCCGGCGCTGGTTGATGCGCTCAGCAGCCTTGCCTGATTCCTCCAACGGCTGGCCACCCACTGCCCAAAGCACAGGATCCAGGTCCTTAATCCCACAGACCGTGCACCTTGACACTTCCATCCCTTACAGCCTTTCCACCCTTTTGTGGTTTTCTGTTTCATCTCCTTTTTCCACGATCTCAGTGTGGCTTGATGTTGCATGCCTACTTCGAATATCTATGAATATCTTGTATACTTGCAGTATCTGCAGTAGATCATGGACGGAATCCCCAATTCTCCAAGACTCTGAAGAATTAAAGTCTGAGTCTTCCTCGATGTTCGGCTCAGCTGGTTCGCCTGCAGCCGGGCCGGGCCAGTGGTTTCCTCATGGCACTGACTCAGAGACAACATTGCGATATGAAATCATTTGCATACAATATATTATATAATATATATAATATAATATAATATAGTATAATATAATATATATATATAATATATAATACACATAATATATATAATATATGAAATTATATTATATATATATATATTATACATATGAAATAGCATATATTACATATATTATATTATATATATACTATGTGTATTATGTGTATTATATATAATATATATTATATATTATATATATATTATATAATATATATAATATATATAATATATATAATATATATAATATATATAATATATATAATATATATAATATATAATATAAATATAAAATATATATAATATATAATATATAATATATATATATAATATAATATATATATGTATAATATATATATAATATATAATATATAATATATATATAATATACATAATATAAATAATATATATATATATATAATATTATATTATATTATATTATATTGTATTTTATATATACACTATATATTTAACATAAAAATATATATAGTATTCAAATAATATTGCATATATATATAGTATTTAAATAATATTACATTTATATATTGCATTTTATATTATATATATTATATTGCATATTATAAATATAATCAATATATTATATTATATATCATATTATATATATATTATATTATACATTATATCATATTATATTATATATTATATTATATATTATATTAAATATTATATTATATAGTATGTTATATACTTTATTAAATATTATTTTATATATCAGATTATATTCATTTTATTATATATTATTTTAAATAGTATATTATATACTTTATTATATATTATTTTATATAATATACTATATTGTATATTATATTATATATTATATTATATTATATTATATCTTATGTTATATATTATGTTATATATAATATTGTAAATTATATTATACATTTAATATTATATATATATTATTATATATTATATCATATATTATATTATATATGTTATATTATATAATAAATTATATTATATATTATATTATATGTTTAGATATATATATATATGTATATATATATATACATGTATATATATGAGCAGGGACCCCCACACCCCCCCTCCCCCAGCCAGATGGTTCTCAGCAGCCCAAGCCGATATACACAAATTATATAGCTCAGTGCAAGGAGTGTGCCAGCAATGCCCAAGGTACTGCGTGAGCAGCACTGGTGAGTATACATAGAAATCATGGTGTATGTAGTCTTTATAGTGCATATAGTGCATATAGTGCATATAGTGCATATGTATCGATAATTAGAATGGATATACTATATGTAATATAGAGTGTATGTGTGGTGTATATACATATATAAACATATATATAATATGTAAGATATAAATAGAATATATGCAATATATATATATATATATTTATAATATATATATATATATTTGACATATATATATATATTGAACATATATCGTATATGTGGATTTTGATAGAATATAGATAGTATATGCCACATGTACTGTATCCACAGTAGATGTAATATATACAATATAGGTAAATATGTTCGTTGAATAAATTTTACATAGTATATGTGGTATATTGAAAGTCGACAGCAATACACGCTGTATATCTAGAGTTTATGTATATATATGTATATATATATACGTGTACAGTATGTACAATGTAAACGAAATATGTGATAGATACAAGATCAAGATATCAATATGTAGTATCTAGAATGTGCATATATTATATATATATATATTGTTTTTCTACTGTACATATGTCTAGGTTTGCATAGGTAAGCTTTGCGTAATCCATAGGTAGCAAATATGTTGTAAACCATGTGCGAGGCACGCTATAGGCGGTTCGAAAAAAAGGTTATGATAGAAATATACAGGTAGACAAGGTCCGTTGACGAGGTCGTGGCTCTCAAGTGCTGCAAATAACGTAGAGATGCGAGGTTGGAGGGGTGGAAAGGGGAGTATATATGTGTATATGTGTATGTATATGTGCAAATAACATGCAAATACTAGGTTTTGGGGGGGTGGGGGGGGTTAGGAGTGGGGGGGGGATACCATTGGGGGGGGGGGGGTGGGGTGTGGGGGTCCGGGGACCGGGCTCATATATATATATATATATATTATTTATGATTGTTAACTATTACTATGATTGTTACTATGATTAGTATTACTATTATTATATATATATATATTAAGTTATTATACTATGTTTGTAATATATAATTTACTATATATGTATTTTGCAGTAAATCATATACGCCGCTGTATCACCTAGATTCCATGGGTTCAGTCAATCAGTGAACCCAGCCGTATCGGTCTCTCAACTGAGAACTACAGCTGCGCACTAACTTTCAGGCTCTGTCATGAGGTATTGCAAGCAAAACACAGTACATTGGGTGGGTTTGACACAGGTGATTGTTCTGCAGGTGTTACTGTGATTGAACAAATAACCTTGTTTGAGGGGCAAACAAGCATAAACAACAACTCTGACATTACCTGATACCTGTTGAGTATCCACGAGAAAAAAAACGCTCGGTTTGGAAGCATTGCACTCAAACACCCGCCTTTGGTGTCAGAGATTGACTTGAAGATACTTGAAAAACATACTTAAACAGACATAGCAAACCATGCTGAGAAAGTCGCCACGCCTTGTGGTTCTTGGCTCTCCTTTTCAGCAGCCACGGTCTTTAGTGCTTTCCTGTCCAAGGAACACTGCACAGATCGTAATATTTCACATTGTGCTCCTGAATCAGAAGTGTGGTGTATCACTATAGACTCTAGACTATTACTGTTGTTGCTGCGCTACTTAAAGATTATGTTCTGCGTTGTCTTTGACCTTACCATGCTGCCGCTCTTGTTGCTGTTGTTGCTGCTATTGGTTGTCTTTCACGGAGATCGAAATCAGATGTGTCTGTGGATGGTTTCTATCTTTTGTTTCGAGCTCAGAGGTTCCTTGTCTGCCGTCACAGTTTCTTGGATCAAGACCTCTCCTTCCTGATGTACATGGTAGGTATTGGCTGGAAACCGGGCTATGTTGGAGTATGGGGTGAGATTTCGCCTTGGAAAGGATGCTGCCGTCAAACATTGTGAACTAACATGTCCTTAACCCCACCGTGTTGTTATTTTTTCCTAACTGTGGCCTCAATTCTGCTTTTGTTTCTGTTGTGGGTAGGAAAGTTTTAGGGAGAGTATACTGCAAGGCATTGAATTGTCGGCCCAAGTCGGCGTTCGTATCGCCTTGCTCTCGCCTTTGCTTTTCGGGAGTCGCCTTACTGGACAGGTCAAGTGAAAAAGCGATCAAGCTGCACAGCTGCAGAATTCTTCCAGGATACCATCCTCGGTGGCTTTCCTCTTTCTCTGCCTCAAAGTGCAAATACGGAGGCACAAAAGTGGATCAAAAAGTCAAAAAGATCTGACATATATTGACATATAATATCAAATTATGAACTATTAATGATAGAATATGATAGATAACTTCATGGGATGATATTGGGATACCCACAAGGAACACGATGATGAATCCTCAAATTTGGAGATGCTCTATTTTTAGACCACCCTATCCTCACAAGCTGTTGATCTCATGATGCAACGTATGATTGGACTAAACAAAGAAAAACGTGCACTGGGGAACTGCATCCAGCTGAACGCTGGTCGTGTCTCCCAAAGTCCCCAAATCCCATTTTGTGACGCTGCGAGCACGCCAAAAAGGCAGCTAGCTGCCCTCGCACGAGCGCCCCTCGGTATATGACTCTGTTGAGGTATGTATCTCTTTGAAAGGTATTGAAAATAACCGGTTTATTCTTCAAAATCACAAAGGGCAAAGAAACAAAATGGCCCTTGTGTCCTGCTCACCAGTAACATCTAGGAATGACATCGGCAGTTCTCAAACTGGGAAACTCTCAGCCATGTCTGGATTGCAATCAAATCCAATGGAGATCGTCCATCATGTCTGACTTCATTCTCTTCCGCAAAGTTTCTCTCCTGAAGCGTTCTTGCTCTCGAATGCGTTTCCGTCGCAGGGCTTCCAGTCTTCGTTGCTCTTCTCTGTGCTTCTTTTGCTGGCGGAACAGTTTGTGGCGCTCTTTGTCCATTAATTGTGCCTCTGCTTTCAACAGTCGTCCCCATTTCCCAAGCAGCCTCTTCAAAACTGACAGCTTCGCAGCCAAGATTTCCCCAGGCCTTCGGGCAGTTCTTGGAGCACTCCGTTGGTGTATTGTCCGGTCCTCCCTGCCCATATGCTGCCGCTCCCAAGTCTGACTGCGAAAGGCTACAGGTGTTCGCAGTCTTTTTGGACGATGCCGGTTTTTGTCTTGCAGAGCCATGTGCCGACATTCCCACATTTGCAGGTGTCTGTTGCGCACAGAGATGTTTGCCTCCCGACGAGCACGAATCCTGCCGATGTATTCGGTGCTATCAACCCCTCCTATCTCCCATGCAGTGGCCACTGCCTGTTGAAAGCTCTCCCATGCATCTTGCAATTGCACGGGGCTGTACCACCAAAAAATGCTGCTCCTACCCCATTTCCATGCAAACTTCCGAAAAGGACGCAAGCAATTGCGAAGCTTTCCCAGGTCTGAAAGGCTGCGAACACTTGGGGATCGCACCTGAAAACCCTGGGCGACTAAAAAGCCAGCTGGTTGATGAATGGCAAAGCGAAGGTCCAGGTCAGCATAGTCCCGTCCTTGCTCAGCAGCAGATTCGATCAATGCTTCTTGCAAGCGTTCGTGGAAAGGGATGCTTTGTTTCGTGGTACAGTCCAGCATCTTTTGCTTCACCGAGGTCAGAATCACCAAGTACTCAAGAGCTGTCTGCAAATCATACTGGCCCGTATGTATGTCAAGAGCGTCAAAGCGAATGCAGGCCCTGTAGTGAGTGTCCCCATTGACCTTGTAGACACTTCCAGAACTGGAAAGTTTGCGTTTCCTCTCTGACTTTTGTTTTTTTCTTGATCTCTTCTTAGCTTCTAGTGGTGAAGCAGAGAGCGTCCGATCAATACCTGCACTAGGTACAAGGCTTTCATTCAAATCAGCAGAATCGGTGAGAGCCGGTTGCATCCGCCGCTTCTTAGCCAGCTCAGCTACTGGTTTGGTTTCTAATTGAGCTGGTGCTTTCGATGTATCAACCATCCATTTTTCCAGAATCAGGCGCTGTTTCTGCGAGAATTCTTTGATAAAGACCTCGTTGCGCAAATCTCGTGGCAACTGCTTCAAGAGATCTCGAACTTTCCTCAAAAGTTGGGTTTGCCGAGGCTGATTTGAGTTTGCTTCAGCTTCCATGTTTCCTGCTGTGGTACCCTTCTCCGCTCCAGGGCTTCCTTGATTTGCAGTCGCAGCCGCAGCACGGCGTTTCTTTGCAGCCTTCTTCTTGCCCTTTGTCTCACTCTGCCGCTGCTGCGCCGCCCCTCTGGACTGGAGAGTGAGCGAACGATCATATTTTTTTCGGGCTGCAGGGTCAGCCAATGTCTCAAGTGCCTGGTAAACCACGTGAAAGGCCTCTTTGCTGCCACCTTTATCTGGGTGAACCAGTAACGCTCGCCGCTTAAAGGCAAGTTTTATCTCGTCCAAGCTGGCATCTTGGTTGACCAGCAGCACATCATACAGCGACTCTTGAAGCATCAAAAAAAACTCGGGACTTCGAGGCCCAAATGAACTGGCAGTAACAACGACAAATGTGGGGTCGGTAACCCCTACCAAGCTATGAAGATTTCATAGGATTTGTCCATCAAGAATAGGGATTCTCCGACCAAGCCTGGCAGATCCTGGCAGTAGATATTTGACTTCAGCAATGATTTGATGGTGTTGCTCATGCGATAGGAGAGATATCTAAGACAAGAGAGGCGACAATTCAAGACTGGATTTAAACGCCCACCAGGTCCACTCCTGGCTGATGCAAAGGAGAATTTACGTCAGCCATCATCGCAACATTCTGTCGGGTTTTGCTGGTGAACTACGGTGAACTCCCATTTCTTCCATTTCTTCCGGCCTGGCTGGTTCTGCACCAGAAGCTTTGCGCCTTTTGGGAGCCGCCTTCACCGCAAATCCACAGGCTGGTTTCAGGGAAAATGAGGGAATTGAACATGGCTAGCTTGAAATCCCAACGTCCCAACCTTTAATTTGCGAAAAATGATGCGAATATATGGGAGTATCAGGGAGCAATCATCCAAAATGAAATTGGTGATCTGCCATTGCCACATATTGCCACATCAAATGGAGGATATGGAGGATCAACAATGGGATTTTACGCCATCTTTAGGAGAACCTCGATCCAGCACCCAATCGCCTTAGCCTTCGCGGCCGGCCGCTTGGAGACCCTTCTGCGGACTGAGCTCTGCCCTCCCGAGAGTTTGGCGCTTTGGGCACATCAAATGGTTTACCATCTTGTTATTTAACATAGCCATGGAAAATCCCTTATAAATGGAGGTTTTAATGGGAAAATTCACTATAAATGGGCCATTTTCCATGGCTATGTTAAATAACCAGAGGGTACATTTAGCTGGAATCTGCCTCGAAGTTAGAATACACTGGATGACTACCACCATCTCGGTCAGGCGTTTTGTGTTCTCACTGCAACATGAAAGCCACCAGGATTGACTAGAAATCTCTGTTGAGAGCCTGTTGATCCCTCGCTCTTGGAATCAAACCCCACAAGTCCAAAGTCAAAAGTCGATGCCTTTCCGACTCCGTGCTTTCGCAGCTGCTTTAGACTTCGCCTTGGCTTTGGGCTTGGCCTGTCAGGAAAAAGGTTCTGGTTGATGGCTTGAATTCGAACATATGAGCCAATTTCGTTCATCCCAAATATGGTTGAAAAATGTTGAAAATAAGAATGCTTGAACCCACCAATCAGGGCTTACTGTATGTCTTGCAATGGAAATAAAGTCCAGATTCGGGAATTTTCAACACAACAAACTCAAGTACTCACATGCCTTGGCAGCATCTGACTTTCTCATTGCGAAACAGTGCGCTAGACACAAGGCGTGAGATTTGCATCTCTCATTGTCTCCCTAGGTTCATTTTACGATTTCGATTTGTTACCATTATTTGATCCACATGAAGTCCTTGAGTCTATGATTGAACTAGGCTAAGGCTAAGGCAAAGGGTTTGATCTAAAAAACTGCGGTTGCTAGAGCGTCAAGAGTTCAAGCCGCCCTTCCACGATGTTCACCACATAACAGCTGTCCGAAACAGCAAGGGCAATGCGCTCCTTCAAGCTGCAAGGACCCTGCAACGCTGCACATTTTGTGCTTGACCACGGCCTTTGTGCAGATCGCGGAGCAATAAGGGTGACACTTTCGCCATGCCCTGAGACACGGCTGGTTGCTGCCATTCTTCTGACGCCCCGAGCAGCTTGGCCCTGAGCTGAAGATCGGCTCTGGCCACGAGCTAGCGAGAATTAAAGCAATTCATCTCAGAGTGACCCCAGCATATCCCCTGCTGGGAGAAAGCACTTTAGCCTGTGCAAGTGTGAAGAAATCAAAGAAGCTGAGAGCAGAAGCAGCGGAACTGAGAAATCTTCAAAGTTGGCTGGTTTCCTTATAATCTCATATAGTTCAGGTATGTTCAAGTTGCGCGGACTCCCTTTTGCAACCAAAAGGTCCGTCTCTTCCCTGCCTTCAAATTCTGGGACCCCATCATGTACACTCCAGGTGAGGACGAATTGGACAAAGATCCTTCTCCAGATTCATCTGTCGTTGAAGATGCCTCCTGGCTACATAGAGACGGTACAGAATGTGGGATATCTTGTGTGCTGACATATCTCGGAAAGAATTCCAACTTTGTTCATTCCTACAGGCAAATAGAATCTAGATATACAGTACATAGGAAATTTTGACATACAACTAAAATGCCAGACCGTAACATGGTCGGCGTAGTCATTTTGGCCACGCCTCGAAGATTGGAACATTTCCTGGGCCGACCAAAGGAGCTGGCGGCAAAGGACTGAGCAAGCCCTTCAGCGCAGCGAAGTCGGGAACCACCCCCGCCTCGCACCAAACCACAACAAATCGTGAGAGTGACAAAAGGTCCGACTGTGTAGATTGTCTGTACTCCCCAATGCACACAATGTATATATATATAAGATAAAATGTATATAATACAAATAGTATGTGTATATATATACTAGTATGCATATGCATTATGTAAAATTTATGTGTATATATAATAATCCAATAATATATATATATACACATACTATCATACATACATACATACATACATACATACATACATACATACATACATACATACATACATACATACATACATACATACATACATTAAATACATACATACATACATTAAATACATACATACATTAAATACATACATACATACATTAAATACATACATACATACATTAAATACATACATACATACATTAAATACATACATACATACATACATTAAATACATACATACATACATTAAATACATACATACATACATTAAATACATACATACATACATTAAATACATACATACATACATTAAATACATACATACATACATTAAATACATACATACATTAAATACATACATACATTAATTACATACATACATTAATTACATACATACATTAATTACATACATACATTAATTACATACATACATTAATTACATACATACATTAATTACATACATACATTAATTACATACATACATACATACATACATACATACATTTACATACAGCTGTTTCAACACGTTCGCCACCATACTTCCAATATCTCACGCCCTGTATCTTGTGCATCTTCCATCGTTTCGGCCTTCAGCTCCTTTCCAACGGCCCAATCAAGGCTGCGACGCACGGGCTCTGCGTAGCCTCCGCGATGTCACCGTGTTATCCCGTGTTCACACTGCGTGGGCATCGTATCCATCCTATCTGCAGTTGTGGTACAAATATTCAATACGTGGGTTGTTTGATGTTGTTTGAAAGCAAACATCTGTGGGAAATTGGCACTGGCGCGCAAAAAAATCAAGTGCACCGTCTCATTGATCATCAATTGTTGTCATTCGCCAGCAGTGGACAGTAGGCAGTGAACAGGATGATTCAGGATGATATATATATATAATGATATAGGATGTATGTTTAGGTCTCTCACCGAATAACATCTCGAATGGTGGAAGAATAAATTCTACGAAAACGGGTGCTTCTGAGTCTGAGCCACCCATTTCTTTCGTGAAGATTCAACAATTGCACAGCTACAACCAGCCACAAAGTACATAAGGGCATCATAAGGGCGCAAGGGTGGCACATAGGTGTCATTTCCGGAAAAGCGATTCAAATCCATTTCCTCGTTCTTCGTCTAATGCATTATATATATTATATACTATAGTATCTCATTAGTAGTAAAACACCATATAGTACTAGTAATATCTATAGTAATTACATATTAATATAGTGGTAGTAACCAGTACCACTAAACCAGACCTACCAAAAAACCATCCGACCCACCGGACTGCTGTCGTCCAAGCGGCTTTGCAGAAGACCCGTCTGAATCGGGTCCTCCTCGATGAACCTGACCCACAGCTCCACCACAATCAATTGCTGTGGCTGGTGGAACCAACAAAAAAAAAGCCTAGAGATATGCCTACTGACGCATCAGAAGCTCATGGAAAACATGGAAAACATGGAAAACATGAATGTCCTTGGATCAATTTTCCCATCTTTGATCCTAAAATCATCTAAAATCCCACTTTTTTGGCTGAAAAAGTCTTATAAAGTACGAAGAAGTGCTACCAAAGTTGCAGCCGGGCGTCTGGACCAAGACACTGTAGTTGGTCGCTACTGTAAGGGTTTTTCTTTCCTGCGGATTGCACACATTTTGAATTAAAAGCATCGCTCAAATTGGAAAAAGATGATAAAGTAAGACTTAAGATTGTCAAGACATGGAAAGAATTGGAAAGAGATTTGAGGACACCAATCAAAGAAGATGTACAAATAGTAGAGGAATATCTTCTACAATGGTGGCTCTCAATACTGTCTCTCAACGGACGATTTGAAAGCAACGAACACGGGAACTGTCCTGGCCACCAACGATAGCAAGTAGCAATGCTCCAGGGGAATGCTTGCAAAGAGCTTCATGTATCTCCTAAGTGCAAATATATCAAATATCCTGAAGATTCTGGAAGCACAGCTGCAGCTCCAAGTCTGACTTCAAGGCGTGATGGGATATGCCCCACTTGTGCCAACAGCCACTGCCAAGACACTCCAAGCAGAGGAAGTTCATCACCCGTTGCCTTTGTTCAGAATATTCCAAACAAATAGATACAAACAGCTCAGATATGTCATGATTTCCTTTATTTTGCGCAGCCAAGGAACTAATGCACGCACAAAGAGCTTCACCCGATTGCTTCCAAGCAGGTGCCTGAAGGACCTGCCAAACGCACGCATTTTGGCGGCAGCACACCAGCGCGCCAGCGAGACACGCGGCAACAAGTGTGTATCATGGCTCATGAATGTGCTTATGAATCTAAGCACCAATAAACCTTAGTACAACATGGTATAACATGGTATAACATGGTATAACTGTATAACCCCTAATGTTGACCTACGATTTATCAATATGCCATGTTAGGTGCTGTCAAGTGGCCTAATGTTCATCTCAGCTTGCCGCAATCTAATGTCAGGATTCACATCCCAGAATGAATGGTAGCCTCAGTGTGTCAGAGGTTCATCCCAACCAAAAAAAAATCTGACTTCAGCACTTCAGCACCACAAGCGCGACATGGATCCAACCAAGAAACTAGATCTCCGCACCATGAATGGACTGCCTTCGATTCTGATGGGTTTGGCAACATCAAGGAAGCCGTGAAAATCATTCCGCAGGAAGTGCAGCACCCCTGGGGAAGAGAGGAACAGCTTTGTAGGGACGGCTTGCCTCCATGACTTGACAGTTGTCGATTATTCCATAGTCACTGATGTTTTGTATTCACGTGGTACATCTACTTTCTACACTTCATCCGTGCACAAGGCAAAATCTCTAGTGCACTGACATCTCCATCTGTGATTCAATTTGATGGAAACCTAAGTGTACCCCCTTCAACCCCAGTTGGGATGATGTAAAATGACCCCCAGCCATGGTTAGGTAATGGGTCTATTCTTGGTTTCACCAGTTTACCACATTAAACTATTGGGATATTGTAGGATATGATGATATTATATATTGTTTTATTATTGTTTTACTCTTAGGTTATTGAGTGTCACAACCATTGGGTGTACCATGGCGTACACCTGGATTTTCCACCACGGATTCCACCTTCACCGGTGATGAAAGCGCCGTCAAACGGAGAGGTCTCGACTTGCAACTTGGCGAGTTCGAGCGCCTGCACGGGATGGGTGGAACACGTGAATCTGGGAACATGGGGGGTAATTACCCAAACATCAACAACCCAGAAATGGATAGAAATGGTTTGTGATTTTCTGGATTTTTCTGGTAAATATTGGTGAATCATGCCAAATCACGCCAGTGCTTGGTGGTTGATGTTCTTTCTGACCCATACTGATGTAGCTATCCATGAAACGACGAGACCGGGCCAAGCCAGCGGCCAAGCCTTGCCCAAAAACTCGTGGTATCCGAGAGACACCACGGCCAATGCATCCTGCATCAAACAAAAAATGATGAAAGCGTTAAGCAACTGGTGTTGAAAACATGGTCTTCAGCACTGCTCCTACAAACCTGACATCTCTAAGTTTCACGAGGATAAGGCATAGAAAACTCTTTAAACTCTTTAATATGCCTTAAATGATCTTAAGATATCTATAGATTATAGATATATTACAAGCTGGACATCCAAAGGCGGTTGACACACTTTTCTTGACAAAAATGCCCAGTGATAGTGAGATGGATGCTAACATTAGAGGAATCTCCAACAGACTCCCCCCAACTGGGCCTCAGTTGCCATGCTATCACGGCAACGCCTTGCGTTAAGTCTGCACGACTTCCCAATTCAAGTCTGCAAGACTTCTTTGAAAAAGGAAAGAAAAGGCCAATCGGCTTCGCGGTGGCCCAAGGCATGTTGATCTACTTATTCTTCTGTTTCTGATATTTGTGCATCTTTGATAAGGTCATCTTTGACAGACCTTGGCCAGCGTGGCCATGCTACAAATTTCATGGATTGGACAGATCAAGCTCCCCTTTGGAAGACTTAAATGCCTCACTCACTCCAGCAGCACTTGCAGAGCCCGATGTCGTAGACGATATTTCTGGGCGGCACAGCAGCACTTGCAGAGCCCGACGCTGTAGAAGATGTTCTGGGCAGCACAGCAGCAGACGCACCACGCTCAGCAGCAAAAGACACTCGCTCAGAGCTGCCACGTGATGACGCTTCCGGGGAATTTTCATCTCGGTGCTGAATGCCAGTGCCCGATCGTATCTTAATACTCAGGGACGTAGAGCTCGGATTGGAAGAAGATGAGCCCTTCCCACGCTTGATTCGAACTGATGCTTCGTTTCCAGCTTCCGCCAAGACGTTGACGATTATCCTCCTCAAAGCTTTGCGGAGGCCCACACGCAATCTTTTCAAGTTCAAGCAGCACATCATTGACTTCATAGCCAGCTGCCCAAGTGGCCATCGATTCGGCGTCGTCTCCAATCTCGTCGGCCGCCGTCGGCCGCATCCATACCAGAAAACAACAAGCTCCCAGTCATCATTGCGCATGTGGAGGTCCATCATCATGGCGCTCAGCTTCATTTCTGTCACACGGTATTCTTGATGATGAGGTGGTACATCCGAAGCCACTCATCCTCAGGGATCTTGCATGCCTGGTCGTCTGTCACCAATTGAGCGCTGAGAACTCCCAGAGCCACAAAAGCATACACTGTCACCCTTCTCAGATACTGCTGCCAGGCCGAGACCTGCGGCGAAGCCGCGGCTGGTCCCTGCATGACCGATAACAGGAAAAGTTCTCCGCTTCCTGCGCTCAAAGCATCGCAGCCAACCAGCTCGCTCTCGGCAGTAGAATGGGTGACAAATGGCTGGACCGTCGTCTGCCAACTGATGACGAGGCCACCAAAGAAAATGGCCATGCCCTGCATGCTTCGTTCACTTGAGCCGGTGCCGAAGCCGATGTCCGAGAACACCTCGAGCAACTTCACATTGCGGGAAATTTTGAGTTGACCGCGCTCCTCCCAAATCTTCTCAGGAGCATTGCTTGGGTATCGAAGGCCTCCAGGATTGCCCTTTATGTAGGCCATTAGATTTCCCAATTTCAACTGACTTGGCTGGGTCTTTTGCCATAGACAGCTTTTTGTATGATCCACACATCATCCTGCCCAGCCAATCCAAGCTTCTTGAAGACCGTAGGGGCTTCCATTGCAGTGATTCGGGTTTCATCCCGCTTCGGCGCATTGAGAAATGCCACCCTTATGTCGGTGCCATTCACCGTCCAGCCCTTCAACGCAGCTATTCGGACTTGAGCCCTGATTTGATTGCCATCAGCCCCTCCAGCATAGCGCTCATCGCCATTTGAATCTTGGTAGTTGCCACACACACACACACACCACCGCCCTTGATCGACAGGCACCTGATCCAGCTTTACGTGTGTGCACCATCTCGGCAGGAAGCAACTCGATAGGAAGACCACGCTGAGGTGCAAGTTCTTGAAGTTGGGATTCTGAAATCTGTGTGACAGCACCTTTGGTTTTGACCAACTGCTCAAACTCAGCACGTAAGGATGGCTCCCAAACATTAAGATTTGACCGCACCTCTTCGACCAGAGCTGCATTGGCTGGCGACAGATCTGGAAGCCCATATGGACACTATAGTCATTTCCTCTCGCCGGCCACCGGCCACCGGCCACCGGCCACCGGCCACCGGCTCACCGGCTCACCGGCCACCGGCTCACCGGCTCACCGGCCACCGGCCACCGGCCACCTGCTCACCGGCTCACCGGCCACCGGCCACCGGCCACCCGGCCACCCGCGACCGGCCACCGGCCACCGACCACCGGCCACTGGCCACCGGCTCACTGGCCACCGGCTCACTGGCCACGGGCTCACTGGCCACCGGCTCACCGCTACCCGCCATCCGGTCACCGGCCACGCCACGCATCAGCAGATTCCTTATAGATTACCACCACAGACATCGAAACACAAGTCACCGGCCGGGAACAACAAGCAACCGTGCGCCAGGAAATCGCACAACAACAAGCCCCCATGCTTCCTTCATGCTGTCCTGATTTGACCTTGTGACATTCACAGATGCATTCCCACGGGTTAGAACATGCTTCACCACACGGTTTTCTTGCATTGCGATGGATGCGTCATGTGCTGTTGTACTGAGAAAGTCTTGTTCCATGGCCTGGCCCGGTACATGATGGGAAGTCCATTTTGTCGCTTCAGCATAGTTGCATGTGGGTCAACTGGCCACGCTTATTCACTGCTTCCGAACCGCTGTTGAGGCTCCATTTTCCCAGGTCTTGAATCAATCAACGAATATGTCGCACATGTTCTTTCCACACGGTCACGAAATGCAACTAGAACGCGTTATGCTAGAATGTGTCGTCACCCTTTAGCTTCCACCTTGCCTTCTGTCCCGCTTGTTTGCCCATGGATCGCTGCCCTTCTGCGGTTGTCACTTCCCAGAGAAAGGTTTGTCCGCAGTGTCGACAACCTTTGAAGCAGGCTAGACCAGGCCAGTCCGGAGCAGTGGGCGCCCAAATCATAGCAGAGCCTGACATTATCGCGGCTTGGCATTTATCCAGCTCTTGCCCTGCCTCCTGTCAGCAGGCCAGGTACTGGTGTGGCTTCGTCGAATTTCGCATGCTGCGGCAAAATAAGAGGTGCACCTTGCGCAAAGAGATTGACTTGCCTGATCCGGACTATTTCTTTCTCAATTCTAGAACTGGTTTAGCAAGATCTTGGCTCCGACGCTGGCGGTACAGAATGTACCTTCACAGGGCCAGTTTTCAAGGTGAAGGCATTTTGCTTCGACTGCTGAATGCTGCTGTTCGATACCACATCCGCCATCAGCTCCGAGAAGGTTGGCTTCGGGAGATCCTCTGCCGTCGAGCTGCGGAAGCTGGCGTTGACGTGTCCAAGACGCTGCACGAGCATGTCTTGAACGGCACGGCCGAGAAGCTCATTGCAGCCAATTGGATTTGGTATGAACCCCTCATGTTTGCCAGGCTTGGTCGATCTGAATTTCTTGTTGTTGACGCCCCGACAAACATTTTCCCCAAAAGGCATAAGACTGTGCAACGCTTAGCAAAGTTCATTTTATCCTGTAGCAATTTTCTAAGTTGCCCAGCTCATTTTTGCCACTCTTGCCACACCTGCTCATGTCTTCCAGGCGTTTTGCTCAGATGCAAGCTGCTGGAGACAGACAGGACATCCTTGCCATAGACGGGAACTGCAAGCTGCACAGACGCACCTGCGGAATGCCTTTTGCAGAAGTCGTCCCTTCTCCTCACTTGAACAAGCTGCTGCTTCGAGGCTGCAGCGCCAGACCACATGGCCGCGACACGCTCTGCTGGAAGCATGCGCACGACAGGGATCGTCCCCAACAGCATCGCGCAGAAACTATTGCCCGCCATCGCCTCAAGAAGGCTTTGCATACTGATGGTGATGTGTGCCACTTTGAAGTCCAGCTTGAAGGGTTTCGTGGCTGGCAGCCAGCTTGCACTATCAAAGAAGAAGTGTTGGCCAAATATTTTGCCTCCCAAGCTGACAAGAACATTCGGAGAAGAAGGCAGTGCAGAGTTGAGGCCCGCGCTCAGAAGTGGACAGGCCTTAGACCACGCAGAGCGAAGACTTTCTTAGCACCATGGCATTCTGCCCAGCCTCGAGAGAAAAGCACTTGCGGGACCCACAAAGAGGGTCGCAAGATGCCCATGCTGCCGCACGCACTGCTGGTTTCCTTTTTGCTGTCACCGAGTCCGGCTTGCTCCTGGATGTCATGGAGCTTATTGGAGCAGAATCATTGTCGCAACGTTTTCATTTCGCTGCCCAATGTGCGCACAGGTTGCCCAGTCTCACATGCATTGTTCATGATGACAGCTGCCACTTGAAAGCTATGTGTCTGCGCAACCAAGCTGATTCTCCTGTGGCAGCTCGGCTGGCCAATTTTGACTTCATCATTGATGAGTTTCACGCTGCAGGACATTCTGGTGCATGGTGCAAGGAGACATGCCTGCCAAGTCTGCAGCGCAACAAGGAGGTCCTCAATGGCTTCCCCACTGAAATCGCTGAAAGCGTGAACTCGCAATTCAGCCCTTTGGGCCATTGCTTTCATCATTATGGACCTTGGTTCGCGCAACTCGTCTTGCAAGAGCTGGCAGATGTCCACAACCTCTCCCGACTGCAGTCGCTGCAGGACAAGAAGCGTGGCTCTGAGAAGAAGCGCAAGCGGGAGGTTGCAGCAAGTGCTGCTGATAAGTGAGACCTCAACTCACCCGGGCAAGGAAAAGTTGTCAAGGCTGTGCTTTGTAGTGTCCAGTTGTTTTGTCTTTTGTCCCGCACTCTCTGGGCTTGTTCAATCATCCATGCTGTAGTGCCGGGCTGCTGTTGACAGACTGACTCGTACCTCATGTAATGCCATTCTGATCACAGGTAAGCACTTGTTGCAAAGCAAAACATTTCGATACTGCATGCAAGTATATGCAAGTACATACATGTCCTTCGGCAATTAGTGTTGCAAGTCATTGCCTGAACAAAATTCTTAGAAGCGACAAGCTGCGCAGAAAGGCGCTCGCCAGCGGGATGCCGGCCTCACCTCCGGAAGAGTTGAGCAACAAGGCTGTTGATGCTCTGTGGACAGCGGCGTTGGATGTTGTGAAGGACAATTTCAATGCTGCGGAGCACCTTCCCAAAAAAGTCTACGATTTCCTGCTACCAATAGCTGCTTCGACGTGCCAAGGCCTCTTCTCCACTGTCATGATGTTTGCGGCTGCCATGCCTGCCCTCTCCAATGGCGCTAGCGTGCGCGTATGGAACCAGAAGCCTAGCCCCTTGGCTTTGCTTGTGTTGCACATGGCGCCGCCTCAGCGTGGAAAGTCACGGCTCTTTCAAGCAGTGGAACTTATGTTCGAAACTGCAGATGACTTTGTCGCGAAGCTCGCCAAGGAGCAAGCAGATCAAGTAGCCGCCAAGTTGGCACCTCCCGTGGAAGGTGCCGGGCCTTACCCTGAGCTGCAAATCACGACCAAATCCATTTCCCTTCAGAGCTTTACAATGACGGAATTCTTCTACAGGTGCTCCGTTGAATTCCCACAAGTCGAAATTGCTGGGAATAAGAAGGACAAAACCGCTGCGCGGGTATGGTACGGGCAGGCGTTCAACCTGGATGAGTGCTACGAGTTTCTGGAGCAAATTGGCTTGTTGGGTGCTCGAGGGGACCGTGGTGACAAGCCTTCCGGCCCAGTGAATTCCCACGCAAGCACTTTGAACACATTGGTGCAGCGTGGGAAGACTAAGCGAGCCACTCGAACTTCAACCTCTTATGAAAGTTCACGGACTCAGCACATTGCTCTTTCCATTCTTGGCAATGGGCACCCATCCAAACTCATCAGCATGGAGCGTGGATTGGAAGGTGGGCACACTGCTGCCACTAGGGAAAGGTTCTTATTTGCTGTGGATGTATCCACAGCAAGGCATGGAAAATTGCCAAAAGATCTCCTGCGAGCAGATGATGAGCTCCCAGCTTGGACATGGTTGCCTCTGACCCCTCTACAAGCAACCATCTTCCGGTGGACTAGCCTGCTGAACAACCCACGCCATTTTGAGGACATGTCAAAGATAGAAGATGAGTCAGACGAGGAAGGGTACCCGGCCGTCCTCCCCGATGGCGTCAGGTCAAGGGTTCGCTACATCGAGGGGACAGACACCAACGGTGCCTTGAAACCATTATACCAAACTTCAGTAATTTCGTCACGCTTCAACGATGGGACTAGATCAGTATAGTTGTGGCACCTGACCACACTTCCATGTTTCTCATGAGCCGTCCGTTTGAGGTCAGACTGTGGTGGTGCGGACAGAGTGGCGAATCAGCGGGCGGTGGCTTCTGAAGGATCAGACGGAGCACATTTGCGAAGGTGCACGCAGGGTCTGCCACCATTTTGAGAAGAGGCCGCATTCGGTCCTGACTTTGCGTGAAGATGCGCAGCGATTGCTCTTGGGCCACTTGGATGCATTATTGTTGCCGCCCTTGTCGGAAAAGTTGCAAAGCTTTTGCATTATAATTCTGCCGATCTCCTGGGCGCATCATGGGATCAAGTGCTGGGTTTTGTTTGATATGTTTCAGGCAGGTTCTTCCAAGATCTGCCTAGCGTGAAGGCATGTTTTGCGCATGCTGCATCACAGTTCATCAGCAAGAAACTTGACCTGACCAGGCAACCAAGTGGCCCAGTCCATCCGAGCTGCTGGGAAGGAAGGCACTTCCATAGAAGCGTTGCACGCCAACGCAGCCCACGCACAAGGCATGCTTAGCGCTGCAGTGGCAATTTTGGAGTTGGCTGCTGGCGGCGGGGAGCTTGATTCCAATGGCAACTTGGAAGTCACTGAGGATCACGTTCAGGCAGGTTTGCTAATTGTACATTTTTCTGCGGCTGCTCTTTGAGTTGTAGCTTGTCATCTGCGCATCTTCGCATCTTGGGTCCTGGACAGGTGGCCGCGCGCTTGGTGGAGCTGAGCTTGCAAATCCGGGGAGTGCTGCGTGGACCCTTAGATGCAGCCGCAGTTGCCAGCTCGGATGACTCTGACAACGACATTTCAAAGCCAGTCGCCGTGCCTTGCCCACCTCACTCCTTTGCCCCACCTGCACCAACACAAGCTCCACCTTCCCAGCCGGGCCTTCATGAAGAGGGGCAGACCGTGCCTGCAGAGCCTGATGCGCATGTGCCAGTGGATGTGCCGGCAGGAGTCTTGCAAGATGAGGACCGGCTCTACCACAAAAAAGGTCGAGGTAGGGATGCAAAAAAAACCTACTACTACATGCTGTGTTTTTGGTGCTGACACGTCAAAGAACCTAATGATGGGATGTTGCTTCTGTTGTAGCTTTGTGAGGAAGACAACTCTGGAGAAATGCCTGCGCCTGTTCCTCTGAAGTTTTCTGATTTGGAAGCGCCAGAAACCTTCTTCGCCAAAGGGTTCGGCAACAACAATTCAATGCTGCTTGCCTCCCCGGATGGTCTTCTCAAGGACCGCGAGCTTGTGCAGAAATTGCTTTTGCTCGGACGCAGCGAAATCAAAATGTCCAAGGTTGTAGACGTCTATCATGTGGTCAAGCGGGTTGACGGAAAGAGGCGGAAAGCTCGACCAAGCCAAGCGACTGTTTCTCGCCATATTGCTCTTCTTTTTGAAGGCGACAAAGGTTGCAGATTTTGGAATCTCGAATTTTGATAAAAAGAGGCTGATACTATATTATTACCACGTTTGACTTGACAAGCATCTTCCAAAAACCACGACGTTTCCGTTTTTCACCCCAATCTAGGCTTTGCAAGTTTTGACGAAAGCCTTTGAGCTTTTTCCTCGTCTTGGACGTGTCTCGCCACCTGCGCGGCGGGGAGGTGATACTACGGTGTTCCTCCGCGCCTGGTCTTCCAACATGGCCAACCAGACGCAGTACCACAACGAAGCAATGAAGTGCTGCAGGGTCAGTATCCGCGAAATCTCCAAGCGAAGAGCTTTGTGGCATGACCGGCACGCTGGGGAGGAGAGGCTTCCAAACATTCCTGCAGATGAGGAGGAGCTTGCCCACGCCTCTGCGCAGCCTCGGCTGCCTCAGCCTTCTACTCCACCAACGGGCCGGTGCTGAACATCTTGATATGAGAGTCCGTGAGCTGTGCGAGCTGCATCGCTGAGACAGAAAACCAATCTGCTCATTTGCCACTTTGCCTCCCTTCTCTTTCTTATCAATCATTTCCAGCCAAAGCTAGAATTATATATATAGTACGCATAATTATCATGTTGTAATCACTCAAACAGCTTGGGCTTCCGTCATCTCTCAGAAAGATTCAGGATTCGTTCCAGCTCTAGCATGCTTTACCACGGGACTTCTTAGCTTCTACTGGAGGACCTATCCCTTGACTTACTTCGCCGTCAAGTTCCCCAGCAGCTGCTATAGATGAAATTCAGAACCATTTTCACACATGTGATAGGTAGCATTCACATTGCGCCCTGCCCAACAGACTTACAAACGCCTCACAGAGGACCAACGCAATTGGCTAATGACCACCGGCCACCGGCCACCAGTTCATTAGCTCATTGGCTCACGGCTCACCGGCTCACCGACCTATACTGCCCTACCGGCTCACCGGCTCACCGACTCACTGGCTCACCGGCTCACTGGCCACCGGCCACCAGCCACCAACCACCCACCACCGGCCACCTGCTCACCTGCTCACCGGCTCACCGGCCACCGGCCACCTGCTCACCGGCTCACCGGCTCACCGGCCACCGGCCACCAGCCACCGGCCACCGGCCACCGACTCACCGGCTCACCGGCCACCGGCCACCGGCCACCCGCCACCGGCTCACCCGCCACCGGCCACCGGCTCACCGGCCGCCGGCCAACCACCGGCCACCGGCCGCTGACCACCGGCCACCGGCCGCCGGCCACCGGCCACCGGCCACCGGCCACCGGCCAGCAAGATAAAACGACTATCCCCCATATGGATGCTCATCATTTCGAAGTACGCCAGCACCACCATCATCTTGATGCCTCAATGCTGTCAGGGTTCTGCACGGAGGTCCGCCTATGATGGCCCTGACACGGCCTGAAGCACACAAAGCCAGCAGGAAGCCATACACGTTCTTGTCGTGCAAGTTCGCTGGATGAGATGCCCCAAGGTCAACGCACATTATCTCAGTATCTGCAGAGGCACATTGCTTCTCCCAGTACTTGGAGTCAGGGCCAGCGAAGATGTGCAGGATGATCTTCTTTGCACGGAGAAGCCTTCGCCGCTTGTGTCGGTTCCACGGCAATCGGGCTCCAAAATCTTCGGCTCTCACCATCTCCAAGCGCGGGATCAACTTCACAATGAGATGATCAGGAAGTCCAGGGAACTCTTGCTTCATCTTCACCGTCACGGCAGTCTCCATGTTCAGACGGCTGAGATCAACCATGCTTGCATCAGCCAACATCGTTTTGACAACTGCCAGCTTTCGACATTGGGGCACATAGAAAAACTCAAGCCACTGCAGAATCTTCTCACCCTCCTGCTTGGAAATCACAGGACATCCATGTCTGAGCTCCACTCTGATTTCACGACCTTCATCATCCCGCAGCTTACATAGGCCGTCACGCCACTCCAACGAAAAGTCCAAGTCAGAGAGGCCACACATTGGGATGATCCAAGAAACCTGAGCTGATGGGGACTGACGTCATTTCAGCATTTTGCCATTCTTCTGCGTCCCTGGCAGGACACAAAGCATGTGTGGCTCCGCTGTCCAGCAAGATGTACTCGTCATCCACAGTCTCGATGTTCCTCAACTGCATCGCCTTCAGTTTGGGATTCATAGGAACTCGAAGCGTCTTCAACAGCTGTGTGGCTTCATGCAATAGCTCGGCGGTTTTGTCAACCTTGGAGGCACCATCAGCACGGCTTCCATCTTTGTTACCATTGGATTGGTAGTGGAGCTTGTCACTTCTGGTGGGGCTACAGCACCTCCTCCATCTGTGGTTGTTGCAGAGGTTTCATCAGAGCCTTTTGCCACTTTCACAGCCACCGCTCCAGCTTTTCCTCCCATAGCTGTTGATGTTGAAGTTGAAGCAGAAGTTGCCCCATGTCCACGTCCTCCCCCTGGGCCGACACTCGGCTCACCAGATTTCTTTCCAGCTGACTTAACTGGGCAGTCATGTTTGCGGTGTTTCTTGCTGCCTTCCCATGAATGGGCCCACTTGCAAGTCTTCCCAGCTCGACACCCAGTGTCCGATGTCCAGTATTTGCAGGGTTTGTCGATGGTAGCTGCCGCTTTGGTTCGATTCTCAAGAGGAATAGTACTTGATGGAGTTTTCTGCTCATTCTAAAGCTGTTTCAATTTCAGCGGTGTTTGAGGTGGAGTGATTGCTGAAGTTGCCATCAAACACAAAGCCTCAGCTTCAGCCAGCAAGCATTGACTAAACGCCCACATTCTCGTCCAGCTGCGATTGCATCCTGCTCTGTGAAAGACGGAACGCCGCCTACTGATCCATGGATGCCACTTGTTGCAACTGTCCACCCAAGGCCTTCACCAGCAAGACACCATCCGGCAGAACCGCTTTGACTTCTTGAGCTCGGCCAAAATGTCTGCCCCAGCTTCGAACCGCTGCCGCGAGGTCTTGGACGTTCTTGGAGGCCGGGATGTCTGTGAGCTGCTTCAGAAGGAGTTGTTTTTCTCCGGCTCCTCCATGCCGAAGTCGCACCATCAAGCGATACAAAATTGCCGTGGATGACAATGCACGATCTGTCACCAGGGCTTGTTGCTCCATGTCTGGGATTGCCTTCAGCAACATTTGCACACCACGTTGTTCCGTTCTTTGAAAGCGAGGCTCTTGAACTGATTCTGGGAGTTGAGGTCGAATCTGAATCCTCTGAAACGGCGTGCTCCCCTTCCATCGTTCATAGTGGCACTTTGCTTCACGCAACGTACACTCCCACCACCATCCTGCTGCCCCACTGATGTCTTTCATCACCGGTGAGCTAAGATGCAGCCGGCCAGCCACCATAAATTGCAAAGGTGATGCCGTTGCTGGCAAATCTGGAAGCTCACTCTTCGTGTTCATGCCACCGGCAGAGTCATGCCAGGGCCCGTAGACGCGAGCTGCGTCATGTCCCACTCCAAATCCTCCTCCCCCAACATCATGCCGCGGAAGGCCACAAGAATCTAGAGGGCTTTTTGCCATGTAGACCCCATGCATCACGATGCCCCATGCAAGCCCGACCGTCTCCATAAAGGCCATATCGTGCTGCCAAGGCCCGACCTTGTTCTTGATGTTCACCATGCTCAAACAGAGCCCGAGCTTGTCCAGGATGTTCTCCGTGCTCAAGTGGAGCCCGAGCTATGCTCAACGAAAGCCCGACCGTGATCAAGATGAAGCCCATGCTCACAGAAGGCCCGATCTTGTGCTTGGTGTTCTCCATGCAAATGCAAAGCCCGAGCACCGCCTCGAAGTTCATACGGAAGCGCTGAGGCCCGATCTTGAAGGTCAGCTACGCCACTTCCACCACGCAGTGCCCGATCTTGAAGGTCAACTGCGCCGCATCCACCACGCTGCGCCCAATCATGAAGGTCAACTGCGCCACATCCACCATGCAGTGCCCGATTGTCAAGTGGATTCGCATACACCCGGACCGCTGGGTTTGGATAAATCCCTATAGTCAAAACCCATATTCCAGTATCCAGACTGTTGCAAGACTTGAGGAACAGCTACTCTATCCAGAGCTACTTAACTTCACGTTCCAGCCACACCCATCTTTCTCCCCCATAGGTTTCCAGGCTACATCTCCATTCTTCATCTTCGGCTTTGAGTCACATGTACGTATCATAGATATCCAAAGCATCATTGATTCCACTCACAAAACTGAATTGCTGAGGTTCCCAATTCGTTGGCAACACTGCCGGAAAAGGTGGCACCGGTGGTAGTGGTTGTTCCTCTTGCGTCACCGGCGGAGGACCTCTGGCACCTTTGTCCCGTTTGGGGTGTACCTCAAACCATCAGTCTTTGTTTCCTTTCTCTCCGGACTAGCCGCTACTTCTCTAACACGTGCTCGGGGTGTTCGACTACCATGCCTACCATGACGTCCATGTGGACGAGAAACATCACTTGAATCACCACCTCCAACAGTAGACCATGGAGAAGAAGCTACACCCGATGTCTTTTCCAGCTTGTCTTTGAGAGTCGCTGACTCTTCCATTAGCTTCGAATTCTGTTGACGCAGGAAGTTCACAAGTTCCCCTTCCAACGCCCTTTGAAAGCCATCATCAGCCCCATCCTTTCCCTCGTGGCCAGTCTTGGGAATTCACCACACGTCCCATCGTTTTCAGCCCATCCGACGAAGGCAGCTTTCCCTCAGCCCCCAAAGCCCCATGCCCAAGCCATTGTTCTGTAGGCTGAAGTGGGCCAAGCAGTCCCGCTGATGCACTCCCTCTGCCCTTCCCAGTTGGCTCGGCATGTGACAACGACTGATCTACTAACCTTCGGTGGCCTTGAAGGGGTTCTAATTCTAAAGTGACTTCCTCTTCGTAGCCCATAGAGGTCCAAGGGTCTAGCCGCTTCTAAGGCACATTCAGTTTTCACCCGGTCAGAGTAAAAAGGATTGCACCCACCAGCTATTGCACCCCTTGTTGGAACCGATCTAGCCCTTTCCATGGCTTCAACAGGCATGTCTTGGGCTCATAACCCTTGACATCCAAAGGCGGTTGACACGCTTTTCTTGACCAGAAATGCCCAGTGGTAGTGAGATGAATGCTAACATGGTTAACATGAGAGGAATCTCCAACCGAACAAGGAAGGAGGAACAGCACGGAACATCCCCGCATTCCCGACCCGACTTCCGGTTGCCGCCCTTGGCGCTCCTTGTCGGCCTCAAACCTGGCATCCATCAACCACTGATCTTCAGGGCCTGGGGTCCACTCCACCGTCTCCGCCATCTCTGCCACTGGTCCAGTGAGACCCTCAAAGGCCAGGAATCCACCTGGATATGCTTGGATGATTCGTCCATATGCGTCAATGATATAAATAGATTTCATGATATTCGATCAATGTATATTCATGCATGACATTCAATAATGTTGTTCCATAATATTATTAATATTAATCAATATTTTTCAATAATATTCACTCATATTGCATCGTATTCAATGATTCTTTGCAGCGTGTATATACTGGATCAGTCCGTACCCTTGAAAATATTGCCCCCAGAAAGTTCCAGAACTCATGCTGCACAGATCAAACTGCATGCATGAGCTTCTTTTTTTGCCGAAGGCAAATCTGCAGATTTCCGAGTTCCGTGGGTTTCCTACCCCAAACGGCTTAGGATTTCAGCTGTTGGAAGGTTTCTCACGCCATCTTCGATGCTTCAGAGGCTTCACCATCTGCCGAGCATCCCGTGTTTCGGGACAGTCGCGCGCAAAGTGATCAGGACCCTGACACTTCCAACAGCCTTCTCCCACATCAAAGTGGCTTCCCCCATAGCCATGCTGAGATAAGCCAGCTTTGGGTCTGTAGTAGGAATACCCAGAGTACGACATTTTTCCACTTTTCCCGGACCCTTTGGACCGTTCAGAGATGGCTTTGGCCGATTTTTTGTGGGGATCGTGCTGTTCTACGCCCTCAGGATTCACCAAAGGCCAGTGAGCATTGGCTGCTTCAGCCGCAGTCAGAGCTTCCCAACACCGAGCCCATTGCATCTCGCGGCTACACGACCTGTCCACACTGCGGAAGGTCAAGGAGAGTCGGTCGCTGCGAAGCTGAGGGATGGCATGCTGCAAGTGCCACCGACTTAAGCCACTCATGAAAAAAAGAGAACGAGGTGGTAATTCAATGCTCAGAGCCTGCCGCTGCCTGGTTGGCTTCAACTGCAAGTGACAACTGGATTTCAGACTCACTCCCGCGATGGTGCCCAACATGCAGGACTGGTGGTCATGGTGAAAATCGATATAACTGTCAATGGATGTATCATAATAATTCACATACATCTGATCAAATGCCAAGGTATGAGCTGCTGTGTCAAGCTGCTGGGCGGCCTCCCGCAACCTTGGCTGCAACTTCATATGCTCCACAACTTGTGGCATGGCACCCAACTGGCTGGGGATGACGTTCAGTGTCGATTTGCTAGTGCCCATAGTCTCCTTGGCCAAAATGGGGCCATAGTGAAAAAATCGCCTCCGGGAACGGTTCTCCTCAGTGCCCAGCGGGAAAACAGGGCCTTCCTTATCCCAGTAGTTCAGCAAATCCAACTCTTCCTCCTCGGAGATGAAGTTCTCAATCATTAAAAAACCTAAATCTAACAGCAAGGATTTCTGCTCCTCACTCTGGCAACGGCTTAGGGATTCAAGGGATTCAAAATACCGGCCCAATGCCTCGCTGTATCGTTTCTGCCCCGCGTGCCAAAATGCACAGCCGGTATCGACCCTCTGCACGCCTTCCCGTTCCTCGGTGAAGCGCAATTCACCCAGCTCCGGCCAGCGGCCAGCTGCAGCTTTGGCAAAGGCCACTTGCCGTTGAGCTTTGACGCGTGATAACATTCCGGGATCACCAAAAGCCGCAGAGGAAAACTGCTTGGAAAGCACATTGAGCTCCTGCACGAAGCCCCTGTCATCTGCTGAAGGCCACACCATGGTAGAGGGGTCTCAGTGACAGGTACCTTTCTCGAACCAAATTCAATAGAAAAGCAAGGCAGCAAGTGTATCGAAGAGCAATGCATCTAATCTACCCTACCCAATTCTACCCAGGCATTCAACTTGCAACTTCACATGGAGAAAGCGTCAGCACGTGGCTGCACCTAGGCCCATCAGACCCCAGTTGGTTGGCTCAGCCAAAGCTTGAAGCGCCTGCCAACACCCAGCAGCTGAAGATGCCAGGCTAATGACCAAGGGTCATGGAATCTGATAATATATATATACATATATATATGTATGTATGTATGTATGTATGTATGTATGTATGTATGTATGTATGTATGTATGTATGTATGTATGTATGTATGTATGTATGTATGTATGTATGTATGTATGTATGTATGTGTATGTACATGTATACGTATATGTATGTATGTGTATATATATATATACATGACAATTGGTGGTTCGCTTCGGCCTTTTTGTGTCAGCACTTTTTGTTATGTACAGCAAGGAAAACCCTCCACCTTGAAGTCCGGAACGATGTCCATCCTTAGCCCCGACTGGGTGAAAAAAAATGTTCATCCTTCTGTGATCCAAGATCTACTTGCCCAAGATATCCATAGTTAAAAAATTGTTTGCAACTTCATGTTGACCATTTGAAATTTGTTTTCTCAGCCACAAAAATGATCAAAAATGGGATAAATGCCCCATATTGGGGGGACAAGAAACACGTGTTCGCTCATATATATATATATATATATAGATAGATAGATAGATAGCTAGCTAGCTAGCTAGCTAGATAGATAGATAGATAGATATCACTATAGATCATAGTATATCCAAGGGCTCTGTAACCTTTATCCCTCCCATTTTTGGTGGCAAATATCTCCATGTTTGGTTGCAAAATTCACCAAGGTTCTTCAGTTCCTTGCCCGAAAGCCATTCCAATGCTGTGAGGATCGGCTTCTTGTAGGGAGCTGCAGATTTCTGAGCATCAGCCTGACGGTCATTAGTACCACAGCAAAATCTCTACACATCAATACATTCTAATATGTATAATGTAATTTTAATCTGTATACTTTGCCTATTTTGAACGTATGTGATAATCTGTCCAATATGTGTATGATTTACAAATTCGAGATCATCAAGATGTTCTACAAATCACGAATTCATCCATCACTATTTCAGCAGCAAGAAAAATTAGTTCAGCCTCCAGGAAATAGACCATGAGGTCGTCGAAGGTATCCACCATCAACGGTCCTACCTTGACCTGGAAGTCGCAGATCAACCTGGCAGGCGCGGCTTCGCCAAGGGTCATCAAACATGGCGAGATTCGCCATCCAATGGGCGTTTCTTTAAGGGGAAAATCAGCTTCGAAAAGCCCAGGTCTCAAGTGAACCAAGTGACCACACTGGATCTACATTCTAAAGATTTGGAAAGTGGACAACAAAAATGTCATCAACATTCATGGCCATGGCCATAGAACAGGGAAAGCCATGGTTGGAAACCAAAATTGACCAAGGTCAAGTGGCAAAAGGGCAGCTTGTGGCCCGAACTTCTTCGACAACGCCTGCACAGCAACAGTCACTGTCTGACAAAATGATGTTGTTTGGGAAAAATCTACTGGAAATCGTGCTTCTTTACCAACAAATAGAGGCGTTTCTTGTAAAGCAAGCAATTCTGTGTGACAAAAATTTACAAGTCTGCAAAGTTTGGGAAAGCTAGTTATTGTTGTGTTGGCATATGGCTCAGGTATTGGCCCCATCCACCAATTATTTTAAACCCAAAAATCCAGTGCTTTATCATCATGTTCACATTCTGAATGGCCATAGATTGTGGTATCCCAAGCTGTGAGACAAGGCTATTGTTGATTGATATCACTGTTCGTATTTGCCTATATGGTTGCATAGGCGTTGAAGGTACTAAGCCATCATATGTCATGTGTCACATATGGACCTGTCTCAAAATGGGACTACAGTAGGCCCAAAATGTCCATGAAGCATATTGAAAAATAGTGTTTCCTTTTGCCTCAGCCCTGAGCTGCAACAGGGCATCCTTCACTTTGTTCGACACATTGGCGAATGAACTACTGTAAAATGGGGATGTTTACCATGGAAAAGTGCAAATATCATCCACAAATGGCGGGTGCCCCATTGATCAACATGTAAAAATTCTGCTGGATGCAAGTGCTGCTGGTTAAATCAGTGCTGCTGTCGTTTTTGTCAGTGGTGGTCAACCTTACATCCCCCCATTTGTCAGTTGTGGATCATATCCCCATCTATCCATGGCCATTAAACAGCTTAATGTATCACCAATTTCCAGACACGCCCGGATATCTGTTGATTGTGTATCCCATAAACACCAGATCTGAAATTCCCACTCATGGTTGCTTTCATCTTCATAGGTGCCCATGAAATCCAACTTTTTCTTTGGGCATGTTCTCAAAACAATATAGTGCTGGCTATATATATATATATCCCATTGCATACCCAATATATCCCCATTACATCCCCGTTTATCCTCCATTTGAGCCATGATAGCCATGAAAAATACCCCGATCCCATCTCATTATACTAGTTTGTTGATAGGTTTCCCCACTATGGGTCATAATAATCCCCGTTCGAGCAAGTAATACAATTGCTTCTCATAACCAATCAACCAGGATATAAACCAATATTCCATTGCTATTCCATATTATATCCCATCAAATCCCATGAAGCCCACTTAAATCCCATTCATATTCCATATCATATCCAATGAAATCCCATTAAATCCCATTCAATCCAGTTAAATCTGATTAAATCAACCTTTTCCATGCCACCTGCGTCAGCTCGTAGGCCCGTCCAAGCTCGGAAGCTGTGGCCACCACCCGCACGAAAAGCAGGGTGTCACCCGTCTTGGCCATCGTCTCGAAGTTCTCAAAGCGCTTCTCGTAGCCTTTGCGCACCTGGCGAGATTGGGATTGGATGATGAAAATAGGTGACTATAGTAATATATAATAATCAATCCCAATTACTATATTCCCTATGATAATAGTCCCTATTACTATAGTCATCAGAATTATCATAGGGACTATAGTAATATATATTATATAATAATCAATATCAATAATTTAACATGAACAATAGTAAAAGTCATAAGTGATAATATGAAAAATAGAGGGATGTTGATAAGTTTGCCCTACTAGTATGGTCTTGACCAAAAAATGGGGGAATCTAAACATGGCTGGCGGGGAAATTCGAAAAAATGGAGGCTTGTTCGTGCGAAAATCATGGAACTACATTGGGTGATTTTCCATTGCTTTGTTTGATTGCCGGACCAGAGGGTACAGTACCCACAATTTGTGGCCATAAAATATGTAAAAACGATGCATTATCAAAAATATACAATCATGATAACTATTCCTGGCTGCGGATAACCAATGCTGAGTAAAGCATGGAGAAGAACAATAAGTTCTTCGTCCTGCATCGGATCAAACTTAGGGTACCAATGGACGCACAAGTTTGATCATTTTTTGTGGTGCTCCCTTCCACTTTGGGGTCCAGATCTTGACCCATACCCCAAATCCGTGTCATGCATCATTCAGCCGTTTATATTGCATGCTTGATGCGTCAAAAAAAAAACTTGAATCCCACTTTTCTTGCTGGTTAGAGCTAAAATCTTGCTGGTTAAATCCCTTTGTTTTTACGGTGAAACCCAGTGAAATCCATCCCCCTTTGGCCCCGACCGGCCTCGGGATCGGCAGGATCGTCATGCCAAAAGCTATGCAAATGCGAGCGACACATCATGAGATTGGACTCACCAACCTTTCTCCTGGCCGAGCTGAGCCATGCCCTTTTGGATGATGTAAAAAGTGGGAAAAATGCGGAAGGGAAAGTGGGCAAACCCATGGATTTTCCCAGTAAACTATAGAGGGGGTCCTGTAAATTGGTCCTTTAAAACAACAATTTAAAAGAAGAAACCATATGCAGTGTTGCTTGGCATGTATGCATTGATATGCATTGTGACCAGTTTGGCTTGCAGAGGTGTGTCAGCATATGGAATGAATTACTTGCTTCAATGGGTCATTGACCCGCAAATTGGGGATGTTAAAACACAAACAGTCACTGTCACCTCAAGATAACTATCAGATAGCATGGAATAGTCAAACATGATCAAATACTCTTAAATACTCATCAATTAATATATATATATACATAACAGTAATTAAATATCATCAAAAATACTCACAATGAACTTAGAATACTCACTCCATCATCACCATTCCATTGGTTCACCAGCCGCTCCGCAGCCGCTCCTGGTGGCATAGTCGAAGAAGCCTCGCTTCTCAGAGGGCCTCTGACCACCAGCCCCGAGACCATCGCGAATCGGTGCCTCGACCGATCGCCGCCGAAAAATGTTGATGAATGGTTGATTCTTCGTGTTGTTTAATGGTGATCAACCATTCATCAACATTTTTATGGTGATTATTGGTGATTATTATTGGTGATTATTGGTATATCAATGGTATATCAATAAACATGTTTAATGGTGATTATTGGTGATTACTATACCATGTTTATTTGATGAATGATTGATTCTTAGTGTTGGATTTTGGTTTGTAAATGGTGATGTTATGAATATGTATTCATCGTAGATCACTTAATGTTGGACTTTTTGTGTATTAAATGGTAATTATTAATCATATACCACCCAACAGCTTCTGGATGATGTTAGCAAATCTAAACAGGACTTAACATAACAGCTTCACTGGCTGGTGCGGAATGTAGGGAATGAGGGAATGGGATTGTGAAAATAGTTATGGATTGGATCATTCCTCACGTTATGGATTGCAAATCCTTCGCATATCATGACAGAATATTCCATATTACGTAGAATATATATATATAATTATAACTATAATTATATATATATTATATATATATATATCTAGCCGCTCCATGTTCTCATCGACGCATACCGCATACAAATCGAAGCTACTGGCGATTTATTTGTGCTGGTGAAAGCTGGTAGCATCTGCTTGCCTCGAAGCCCTTCCGCAAAAAGTGCAGAAGTCCAGCATCACTGATCCTGAGCGATCTCAGTGTGGCTGGAGAGGAGGGAATGATGGACAAATATGGACAAATGTCTTATCTCAAAGTGTACTCTGTGATACTCTGTGTCAGTTGGCCCAAAGCTGTGCAGCAAGGACTTGAAGGGACTCCCTTCAAGAATTGATCTGCATGCCCACTGGTCAGCTTATGGACCACTCCCAAGCTGTTGCTGCTCCTAACCCCAACACAAAACAGTTGCGCACTTTTCACCCGGATTCACAGCAGGACAGGTCGAGGCTGAATAGAGTCCTGAGAGACGGCCCAAATCCGCTTGCTGCAGAGTCAATTCCAAACGACCTGGGTTCTTGGGATTCACTCGCGCAGAGATCCCATGTGTTTTCAACATCCGCACCACTGCCTCCTGGATGGCCATGCCGTGCTGCTGCCATTGTGGCCGAGTTCTGCCCCATCCTGTGATGATGGTGAATTTGCTGTGGCCCTTTTCCAGCAAACCTGGAACATTGGTGGCCAGCCACCAGCGAGTGGCAACTTCTGCTGCCCCCTGTGACAAATCGTGAAGGTTCAAGGTTCCAACCTGTTCGGTCAGCTTGGCCTTCCGAAAGATGTTGTTCTCCAAGGCTTCTTGGAAAATTCGATCTCCTTTGATATCTTCCGCTGAAGCATTTAACAGGGCATTGTAGGAACTGAGATTGGCATCAAGTTGGGCCCTTTCCAATTCAGCAAATAGGCTGAGTGCCATTTGCCATTGGCGACCATGGGCGCAGGAATTCATAGCTGCATCAAAGCTAATACTGCTAGGGGAGAGCTGCTTCCTTTCCATCAACTTCAGAAGTTGCAGGGCGTGACCCCTTTGACTTCCCCTTTCCAGGGCAGTGATGGTGGCGTTATAGCTGACCACTGTCTGTGCAACAGAACGCACAGGCATCAAAGAGAAAAGATGTATAGCATGTTGCCATGCGTTTCCCTTCTCACAAGCACTGATTGTGGCGTTGTAAGTGTTGCTGCTTGGAGATGTTATATGGCACACATCCGCAAACAAATGAAGCGCCCTTTGCCATTGCATCCCCTTCTCACATGCACTGATGTAGGAAGAGTATGCAATTTCATTGATTTCAATCTTCAAAGTCTGCATGTTTGAGAACAACTGGGACGCTGCTTCCCATTTCCCCAGCTCTTCGCATGCAGAGATCGCTGCAGAGTACGCAATCACATTTCGACGGACCTTTGCTCGGTGCATGACTTCCAGGAGCTGCACGGCATTTTCCCATTTCGCACCTTTCTCGCAACAGGTGATTGCTGCACTGAAGCTAATAATTTCAGACTTCAACTGTGTCTCTTGCAGCAACTGAAAGAGATGCAATCCAAAGCGCCACTGCTCTCCTCTCACACAGGCGGTGATGGCGGAAGAGTAGCTGTGTGTATTTCTTGCAATGCTTTCCGTTGGCATTCTCTCAAAAAGTCTCAAGGCCAATTGCCACTGTTGTCCCCGGCCACAGGAACTGATTGCGGCAGAATAAGTGAACACATCAGGTCGAGCCATGGCAGACCGCATTTGCTTCATGATCTCAAGAGATATCTCCCATTGCTCCCCCTTCTCGCATGCGCTGATTGTAGCGTTATAGGCTACAGCATCCGATGCCAGCGTCTGCTGAAAGATCTCAGTGAACAAGTTCAAGGCCTGCTCCCATTGACTGCCCTTCTCACAGGCACTGAGGACCTTGGAAGGATCGATCCGGGAGCCTGAACAAAAATGCTTCAAAATAGCCCTTGAAAAGGTGCATTATGTATAACCTTATATAACCTTACATAACCTTATATAACCTTATAATGCTAAGTCCGGAAAGAACAAATGAGGGGAGCAAATCCAGGGGACAGTGCAAAAGCTGAAGGCACTAGGGCACGCTTTCACCTTGGGCATTTCATTCAGGAAGGCTAAGGCCATCTCCCACTGCCCGCTGGCGGCACATGCCGACATGGTCGTGTTGTAAGTGACCGCGTTGGGGACCACATGCGCCGTTCGTGGCATTTCGGCGAAGAGATCCAAGGCCTTTTGCCAGGATGCTTTCAATGCATGTATGGTCGCATTGTAGCTGATCACATCGGGCAGAACCCTCATTTCAGACATCGTGGAGAAGACGTCTACAGCATCTTGCCATCGTGTCATCCGACCAAAGGCAGTGATACACATATTGCACTGCTGGAGATTTACTTCCACGTCTTCCTGTCTCATAACCTTGGCTTGGGGCTTGAGGGGGCCAAATACAAGAACGGTCCCAATAGGTTCCTTTAGTATGCGGGATTTCAACGAATCGGTATGATCGTCCCCATCGAATAGCATGTTTTGTGGAGTTTCTCAGCAAACCCAGGTGGGGATCAAATCCTTAAAAACTCTAATATTTTTTACCTTTGGGGGTGAACATCCATACTTACCTGCCAAATCTTGCGGTTCACCAAGGTTTATGCTTTTTCAAAAAATGCCGTACCGCAAACTGAATCCTCTGGTTAAAAGATAATGTTCCCTTCTTTTCCCTCACAACACCATTTTTTTCGAACAAAAAATCATCAAAAATCCAAAATAAATAAGGATTTTGCCTTTGACCTCATCGCCTGGCAACTTGAAGGATCTGTCGGACCAGCTCCGGCCGTTGCGCTTCCGACAAATCCTTCAAGGCTCCGGTCACCACGATCGGTGCCTGGCGAAGCCGCGGCAAGCGAGGTGCCAATGTCTGCTTCACCTGGTCAGGGGATATAGTTTAAAACCATCCAATTTGGGGGGGTTCATAAAATGTTCACTTGGCCGTTGTTTGGTATAAACAATTCATTCCTTGCGGGGTGATACTGGTGATCGTTTTCACCAAAGTGAGAAATTAGTACAATTTAGTAGTAATTAACGTATTATAATTATAACTATATTACCATCCATTTTTGCCAGCTCCGAAAGTAAATAATATATAAATAAACTGGCCACTGTCTGCATTAAACCATCCGTTCGAGTTGGGGTTGAGCATTTGTGGCCCATAGTCACCTCTTCCAAGGAATAGGATTTCTCTTCAAAAAGAGCAGAGATCGGCAGCCCCTTCCGGAAGGAGGGATGCTTCCGGACAAGCTTGGACATCTTCAAGACTGCGAGACAGAGACATGCCCGGGAATGTTGAGCTTCTCAACCTACTACTGTGCTCCTTCCACCTCACAAACTTACCCACAAGCCCAATAAATCCAGGTTATTGAGAACCCGTCAAGCTGAAACACTTACATAAAAACATCTCTCGTTGCAACATCTTCCACTTTCAAGGGTCGGGTGTGTCAGTCAAGGTATCTTATCCCACATATTGTCCCAATTTCCAGGAATCGTTGCAATAGGACGTCCAAGCTGGTGCCCAGCTCTTTTAATGACTCCAGCTCGTTTCATGGCTTTGTCTCGAAATTAGGGATACCCCAAATCCAAACAGACCATTTGAATAGGTAAAGCATGGTAAAGTGATGACAAGTCAATAGAAAACATGGGAATATCATGGGATTTCGATTTGACATCCCCAGCGCCAGCCAAGTTTCTGAATCCAATCGAACGGCAAGGCAGGACTCGGAATTCCCATGGCAATCACCGTGGCCTGGGAACCCCATTTTGTGTACATGTGAAACACTAAAGGTCCCAGATCTTCCTTGATACGTCCATGTCTTGAATGCCTTCAGTGATCTCCGAGCCAGAATCTGCCCACTACGACTATCTACTTCCAAGTCAGGCCCTGTTGGATCCTGTCGGTCTGTGAAGTACACCGCAAAATACCAGCGGTACCATGCCATAGATTCCAACCAGCCCCCGTCCCATGGCCTTGACCAAACCACCAAAGCCCAAAGGCACCACTTGAAGCTGTCGCAACTGTGGCCGCTGTTCAGGCCGTGGTGCCTTGGGAACCCAGTGAATCCACCAATGGCCCTGTGGATAAACCCCTATGGAAACATGGTTGAAATATGGCCATTCTTGGGGGATCCTTCATTTATGCTCATTTTTGGTGACAAACCCATATATAAAGGGATGCTTAGGAATTCCTCCCAAATGTTTCAAGGTGTTTAGAGCTGTTGAAAAAGGGATCTTTCGAGGGCCTTCAGCAAATAGTCCCGCTCCAACTTCTTGACCGGCACCGCAGCAAGCCGGGGCAACGGATTCGGGAATGGTAGCAGCGAGTTCCTGAACGATCAGCCGAAGTGGACGAGAAGCAGGATCGAGGTACCCTTTTTGTGGTCAGCTAAGGGACATCTTTCCGTGAAAATACTGGCTATACAGGCTATACTGATCCTGATACCAGCTATTGAGGATCCTTTCCAAGTGACAATCATGGCATTTTTGAAGCCAAGATCGCAGCATTTATATCTAAGGGAGAAATGGTGGAAACCTTCATATTGATCATATTGGATGGTATAAATATATGTTCCTCAAATAACCTCAGTACCAATAGAGTCAAGACACTCTGGAATCTCTTCTTGTGGAGGCTCCATGCCTAGCTCGAAGGCATACAATCCACCGAGGCCGTTCAATCCCCACTCCTCAGAGGCAGGCGCCTGGAACCTGGAATACCTGGCATCTGCTGGTCCCTCGTGTTGGTGGCTACAACGATGCTCCAAGATGGATAAATGTAAGGCACACAACTCCAACCCTTCCAACCCCTTGACAGCTTCACCAGCCCAAATGTGAAGTTCTGTCAAGCCACGGTGTAATCGGCGCACTTAATTATCGCTTCCTCGCACAACAACCACAGATTTCGAGTCTCTGTGCATGCACCAGGGTTCTTGTCAAGCAATGCAGAGTAATCCCTTTCCCCTATCTCCAATACCCCTTAGAAATCCTGATTGTGTATGGCATGGGATTTGTTCATTTTAGGAACCCTTTTATATTATAGATGGGGGTATTGACATATCGGGGAATGGGATCACTCAGCCATCCCGCTGAGGTCAGATCCCAATTATCAAACTGCATCACTGAAACTGATCGGCCCACGATCCAATCCAAGGCCAAATTCCTCAGCAAAGACTGAGATTTTCTAAAACACTTTCTCTCCACAGGGTGAATTTGCACAAAACCCAAAATATCATTCCATGATACTGGTTGGTTTATCGGGATTCCAGCAATGGATTATGGTTGCGGTAATCCCCCATATATTGGGTAGTATACCCCCCGAACTAATCATCAACCAGCCGGGGCATTGGAAGTGAAATGATCTGGTTCCAACTGCTACACAGCGAATGTCAGCTGAGAAACACTGCATCACCATACGGCGGAGCAGGTAGCCCTTCCTGCAGCAACACAATCACGGGAGATATTCGAACGGTCAATCATGTTTTTGCATAGTTTATCATACTTGATCATATGTCATTGTAGATGATGATAGTTTATCATAGTTTATCATAGATTATCATGAGCTTATCATGAGCTTATCATAGTCTATCCAAATCATCCAAGTACTTTGAGAGATTCAAACTTCGTCAACTTCGTCCTGGTTCACGTGCTTGCTTCCGGAGAGGAAGTGCACCATGATGTTGTCCATGCCTACAAGATGGACAGCCCTTCGGTCATCAAAAATGGCTAGCTATGAAATCCACCATTTATACCATGTATAGTGATGAATGTCCCATTTTAATGTCCATAAGGCCTGTAATATAGGGGATTTCACAACTAGCCATGTTTGATGACAGGAGGGTTGGAGATCAAACTTCGAAAGGAGCCTTCCACTACAGCAGCCCCTTGCGCTGTCTTCTGGAAGTCTATGATCAGCAGAAGAAACGACTGCCTAAGACCAATCAGCGAGTCATCACTGGCTCTATGGAAATCATTGCAAAGATAATATATATATATATATATGATTATATTATGTATATATACATATATATATATATGTTATATGAATGCGATGCACTTCTTGGATCTTCTTGGCTTAGTCATGGTCGGCTCAGGCTGGTCACTGCCCATGCCGCGCTATCAGCAAATCCATCAACCTCGGTGCAACGACGAAAGCGCCAAACCCCGACCGAAAGATGACCGAAGGCGCTGCAAAAAGCGAACGCTTGAGCCGAGGAGCTCAGGAACCCTCGCCAGCTCCTGGGTTGTTGGTATTGTTCTCACAAAAAGCACTGGTGTGCTGTTGGCATTGATCTCATTGAAACGCTCGATGCCTCAGAAGCCGATGGCTGAAAAACATCCGAAACGCAGCGGAGGCTAGACCATCACGAATGTCGACTTGCACCGATAATGATAAGCGCCCAACGTCGCTTGTATCTCTCATGCATCCCTGGGTCAGTAGGATCATCATGCCAAAAGGAGTGGTAGTAACTCCGATACCTGAGGAGTGGTCACGAAACCGAGCATGGAATCTTCTCATACCGTCCCAAGAGCTTCATAATGCAATTCGAAATCTCTGTCTTCCACTTCCATCTCCAACCCTGCACACCCTGCACATATGGATCGGATGGTGACTTTCCGCATGTTTCTACTGTGCATCATGGTTGCGTCGTCATCTGGCATCCAGGCACCACCTGCAAGCAGTTTTAGGTCGCTGCAAACAATCTGATGCCGAAGCAAAATCAGCACATGCTGAGCCTTCTTGGAAGTAAACTCAAAGAAGCCTCGCTCGTCAAGGCGTGAAATCAGCACAGACTTTGCCGCTGAACATGCTGACTTTACCACACCGGTACTACCGGCCAAGATCAATGTGAAGAAAATTGAGTGAACTCAGCAACCCTCCAAAATTGATAGCTGCCAAATGTGATAAAATCACAACAGACTGGCTACGTCCAAGCGACCGTTGAAATTACTACTCTCGTCCCACTTGTCCCGCAGAAAGTGCACCAAACCCTGGAGCCAACATGCAAATGATCCTGTGACAAACCCCAGAATTGATGATGAACATTGATGAACGACAACCCATTTACTGCATTTACTCCTGTTGATCATTGCTTCTCGAGGTTTGCCATTTCTATCCATTTGGGTGGGATCGCTGGATCCTCATTTTCGGGCCTCGTGTCGCGTCCGCATCCAGTCAAATGGCAAGGTCGCAGCCCCTCTGCCAATATTTTTGAACGACAGCTTCCTTGGTTCCAAGATGTTCCAAGATGTTCCAAGATGTTCCAAGGTTCAAACATCATTGGTGGGATAAAATCCCATCCCCCCTAATATTTTTCACACCGCCCATGGCTTCTGGTCCCAAAAATGTGTAAATACCCTACCAAACCATGGCTTCTGGGCGTTTATCATTTGGGGAAGGGATTGTGACTCGAGTTGCCGGACGACTCACTGCAGCTGGAGCACGGTCCACAGAAGCATCCCAGGGAGACCAGCATAATGTTCTGTGTCCTGTTCACACATGGAAGTGTCCAAAAATGTTCCAAATCATCCAAGTCATTAGACACAATTAGACCATGTTAGTATTGAAACAATGGATTTTGGGGACCCCCCCATTTTTAAGAAAACCCCAAATGGTTGGCGCAGTCTTCCAGCTCTGTTCCACCAAGAGACCTATAGGGTTTTGCGTTTTTCTGAGGCCGCTGAGGCCCTGGCTCTTCATCTTTTCGGCTTTGACCGTCTGGCAGCGCATCCATAAGATCGGATTCCTCCAGAGACCATGGCCTTCAATATCTTCAAGATATGGGTGTGTCTGAAAATAGGCTGCCACCCCCAATTCCAATGGTGCATCATCCTTTTTTCCTATTCAACTACCCATTTTATGGATACTGTATCACACATTTTCAGACACCCTCAAATATACATATACATATACATATGCATATACATATGCATATGCATATGACATATGCATATGCATCCCGGCGGACCGGGAACCGTGCTCGTAAAAACAACGTTTTTCTAAAAAAACTCATTTTCGCCAGAGCGAAACAGACATTTCTGCAAGTCGAATTGTTCCAAATTCTCGCCCGAGAATTTGGCAAGAGAATTTGGCAAAATTCGCGTTTCGTGCGGATTTTGGATTCATTTCTTTTCTTTCAGAGCAGGAAGCAGCACAAGGATACACAAGGAATTTTAACATGCCCCCCGCCCCCCCCCCACCCCTTCATGACCTCCGAACACACCCATGTGTCGACCTCCCAGCACTGCGGACCACTTCGACAATGTATACAAAGGAGCAAAACTACCAGACATCTGTGCAGCGCGGCAACATGTAGCGGAAGAAGCACAAGGAACGTTAACATGCCCCCCCCACCCCACCCCTTCATGACCTCCGAACACACGCTAGCAAAAACGTGCTTTTTACGAGCACGGTTTTCGGTCCGCTGGCATATGCACATACATAGACATACACATATACATTTACAATTACATTTACATATGCATATGCATATCTGTATATATATATGTGTGTGTGTGTACCAGGTATGTATATATATATATGTATGTATATATAACATAATTTAATATAATATATATATATATTATGTATATATATAATATGTATTACGTATATATATATATATATCATACTATACATAGACTTCAGCCATGTATGCCATGTGGCATACATTCTGTCCTGCATGCCAGGCTCCCACCTCAGTCAGCGGACTTGCCATCTCAGCCAGCATCATCCCCCTCCACGAAGCTCGATGCCAAGGTGCTTGGCTTGACTCGCCACTTTGACTGTTGTTGCCTCAGAAATGCACCACAACATACCATACATGGGGGTTCCATAAATGGGGAAGGCAAAACCATCTATATAAATAGATATAAATAGTTATATATAAATGGATGATTTAGGGGTACCCCCATTTTAGGAAACTTCCACATGACAACAGTCAGAGATCGAAAGCATATGAAATGTCTAAAATTAGCCATCAAGTGAACTAAGTGAACGATCAAACAATCATCTCTTGGGCTGAACTCCACAATTAAACATCATTGAACATCACATCACTTCTGCTTCCGAGCGGCCATGATGGTGTTCTCTGAGACCACCGGCACAACAGTCTCCGGGGTGCCAGGCGCCGGCACCCCCACAATGGTTTGAACACTGAGCAGCACGAGTCGCGAACTCGAAATCTCTGCCAAATTGTCCGCGACAACGGCACTGCCCGCAGCCCCTTTTTTTTTGGGTCGAGGCGGCTTCACCTGACTGTTTGGAAACATTCGGACATTGTGGCTCAAGCCTGACTTTCGAAGCTGCGCAATTGCCGATAGACAAATCAAAGGTTTTGGAGGGAGCTAGGCCCCAGCTAGGGAGCTTCAAAGACGCGAACCACATGGCACCATCCTACATGGCCTTCTGTAAAGACTTGCAGGCGTGCAAAGGAATGGTTGGATCCTCCCAAGTTCTCGGAGAGGAAATCAGCCTTAATTGGCTGTCCATGCAAGGCGGCGAGTTCGCCATGGAATGGGCGACTTGCTGCGCAACAGCTCAATGGTGGCGTATCATCCGACTGTCATCCTCCTCAAACTAAGACTCAAAATCAACAAGTTGAGATTTAGACTCGGCAGATTGAGAGTCGCTGCGCAGAAAAGGTGCTATTAATGCTTGCAAAACGACCTACATTGAATTGGCAAAGGCACTTGGTTGAACACAGTAACCTAAAAACTTGGCAATGTGGATTGCTGCTTTTGTCATACCATTTGGAAGGTGTTCGTTCAGTGCCTTTGCTGAAGTCTTGTCGAGCTTTGCCCGGCTGTTCAACTGGTGGTCAATGGCACTTTTCTACTGCTCTTTTCTGCCTCGCAATCTGATCTCAGTGGCACCCAGAAGTGCCACGAAGCTTTAGCTTTCGCCATGTGTTCCCAGTCTATTTTCAGGATCTTGAAATGTTAGTTGCTAGTTGCTATAGTTGCAAAAAAAAAAGACGTCCCCAAGCTGCCCGCCTCGGGGGGATCCTTCCCGTGTTCTGACCGGCAACTAGGAGGAGCTGGTGCAAGCGACGAGCCTTGACTTCCGTCTGTGAAATGGATGTGTCTGATAATGCAGAATAACTGTACATAAAGATGTATAAAGCCATAAAATTGCGTCACATATCCTAGCAAATATATGCAAATATTATATGTCAGGGGTAGGCCCTGATTTTAGAATATGAAATTGTTTTATGTTTGGATCATTTTGGATCCATGTTTCACTCTAGAATCCCTTAAGCACACCCTGCGGGTCTCAGAAAATGCTCTACAGAATAATCTCGCACCCCCCCTGCTTGAATTTCAGAAACCCTTCACCGGATCTTAGCCTTAAACTTTGGTCTTGTTATTCCTTGATTGAAGCCAATTATTGCTGCTCCTCTTATTCTACACTGACTTGATTTTTGCCTCTACAAAATCCATGCCTCACATTACTTTTTTCTTTTGCCTCTATATACAAAATCGCCAACTTTGGGAGATGTTAGGAGGATATTGTGCTGGAGAAAAAGATGATTAACCAGTTAAACCAGCAACTACAGTCTCGCCTGCTGCCCAGGTGCGGTCTAAGACATGGAAAAGATCAAGCTTCGTCCACTCTCGTAATTCTCCCTGTCACATGGGATGAATGCAGTCTGGTCATCCCACCATTGGGGATTCCTGTAATTCGCCATTAGAAATTCCCGATAAAAAAGCTGGTATGACCGCCCCCCAATATCGGTGTGCGATCCGACTCTCACTGCTCACTGAATGTGTGCGCCAGCTCTGCTACTGAATCAACCGAGGAAGGCCCACCAGCACATCACTGGCCTGAAAGAAGCAGGAAGGGGCTGGAACCACATCCCGTCGGCAAGAAAACAAGAGTCGCAGTGTCCAACTCAGTCAAGTGTCGCTTGTGCGAGGTAGATTCAGCCTATCCAGAAGCCATGTTAACCTGGGACACAAAGCTGCCAAACTTCTCAGCGACTCGCTTTTCGTCTAAGTTGAAGGATTCAAACTCCGCAACACATCAGAAAAATCCGCTGCAGAGCCATGGCAGCTATGCTTTCCACTGTGGCAAGCTCATCTTCAGGATGGAGTCCTCCAGACTTCGGCTCCAATTGGGCGAATTGGGAGCTCCATTGATCTCCACCCAGTTCCTCAGCCGCGGAGACGAGAGAGCGCCCCCCTGATTCCCATCCCATCCCATTGGTGGAATAATGGCTATCCATGAATATCCCCAGTGTGGAGTTATAGAAAAAATATGTTCTCGCCAAGAAACTAGTAACTAGGTAGTATGACCCACATTGACCCACTATTATACTACGTATAATGACCAATCAACTCGGATGCTTTTCCTAAACCAAGATGGGCATTATTCCCCAAACGCCATCGCCGTGGCTCAGGATGGCTCGCATCAACTTCAGGACGTTTTTGCAAATGGCATCCCGCTGCGAATGCACATGCTGCTTGGCAGAGAATGCTTTGCCTCGAGCCGCTCGAGCCATTTGACGACTCGAGTCTCGATGGCTTGGCAGAGCAGTTTTAATGTTTTCACTGATGGCGATCTTTGAGTGACATTAGAATTGCTGTTGATTGATGTTGATGCTAGTGGCGCAGAGACAGTTGTGAGCAAAATACGAGGTGAGGTGAGGAAACGCAATGAAATCACAGTGACAAAAGGCTGGGTGCTTCAGCTTTTCAAATCGAGGCACACGTCATCTGCGTTGCTTGTGGGAACAGCAGTGCCACTGCGTGTCCATGTACATAGCCTCAGCTGTCGGATTCCACCCCAATGGCCAGAATGACAGCCATTCCAAGCACTTCTCCGAGGCTTCAAGTTCCCATTAAAATCATTAAGACCGATTAAAGCCATTGAATCCTATTAATTTCCTGTTAAGATCTGCTCTCAGTGGAAAATGCCAAGAGGCTGTAGTTCTGGCAGTCGCTTTCGAGGAGGAGCTTACTGAGGCTCTCCAAGAAGTCCTCGAATAGAGCCACGTCCCCAAAGTGAATAGATCGAGTATGATCCAATGCTAAACCAATGGTTTCAAAGGGTGTTTGGAGGTTTCCTAAAATGGAGATACCCAAAAAAATCATCCATTTTGAGAGGATCTTCCCACCAAAAAAACGTCCATTTTCGGGGGACTCCCATTTATGGAAAACCCCAGTGCTCGAAGCCCAGCTGCGGTGCCAGCAAGCCATGCGAGTGCACTTTCCTGCCGCAAGGTGAGGCTGATGATGATGCTGGTGTTGTTGTTGTTGTTGTTGTTCTTGTTCTTGTTCTTGTTCTTGTTCTTGTTCTTGTTCTTGTTCTTGTTGTTGTTGTTGTTGTTGGTGGTGGTGGTGGTGGTGGTGGTGGTTATCATTATTACTCCTATGACTATTGTCATTGTTATTATTATTATTAGTAGTATTATTAGTAGTATTATTAGTATTATTATTACTACTATTACATACTATCACGATTACTATTACTATGGTTAATAATAGTCCTAGGAACATTCTAGCCAGCGCCGAACATCACCCACCTATGAAACACCAAACCCCTGAGGCCGTGGCGTCGGAAGGTTGCGACTCGATGCCCAGGAGCAGCGCTTGAATGCTCTGAAGCCTTGTGGCTATCGTACATATCCATTGGTTAACTAAACCCTCATTTATCCATTGGTTAACCCTCATGACATCTCATAACCATTGGTTAACCCTCATTTATCCCTGTGAAATGGCTATCATTGGGGGTATACAGCTGCTCTTCCCCAAGAAACATTTGTGGTTTCATCAAGTTCCAAAAAGATGGGTTTTTGTCACGGTCTGAAGGAAGGCCACAACATATTTATGGATGTTATTGTGTATGTGGTACATCAATGTACATCACATCTTGTAGTTTCACGTCAGGTGAAATCAAGCCATATCCACTGTCTAGCTTCATGTGACAATGATGATCACAGATATGTGGGTTTGTCTGGAAATAGGGTACCCCGCAAGTCTGATGGTTAATCATCATCTTTCCCATTAAAATGGCTATGATGGCTATGCCATTTTCGGTCAATCCATGATTTTCAGAGAGTTTGCCATGGCAAGCCATCTTGGTTTCCACAGTTTAACCACGGTCAAGTTACACCAAGATCTCAACCTTTCAGCCAAGTTGCACATTGCAGGGTCTATATAGTCCACCTGCAGCTCTGGTTCGGTGGGATCGCCTTCTGATGTTTGGGGTCACATGAACTCATCGTCCACATCAATGGACTGATTTGATAAGGAATATCTACAGGAAATCATGATGTTTACTTTTTCACACAGTCTTCTGTAAGAATTTACTTCATCCAATTCAGCGACATAAAGAACTTCATGAAACCCAAAAAGCATTGCAGTGTGACCCCAAACAATTGTGAGCAATGTTCAAAACTCTCTAACGTCCCTTTATACTGCCTGGTTAATAGGGATTGTCATAACGGATTGTGATAGTCCACAATTGGGCAATGTTGGATAGTAAAATCCCAAAGAATCAACGTTTTGAACAGTGCTCAAATTGGATTGCAAAATCTCATAAAATGATCCCCAAGACCAAAAAAACACAATCAACATCCATCAACCACCAACAAAGAGCTTGCTGAGCCACGTCTCAAGTCCGACTCGTCTAGTTTGACCTGGGATTTTTGGCGGCCCAGAGTAATGGGATACCAATGGATCAAAACAATTGTTGTTTGCGGTGAAAGCATGTGAAAGCTCCATTTTGAGTCTCCAACAATTTCACCTCTCTCATTTCTAGTCTATTAAAGCATCACTTTTTTGGGGTGCCAATCGCCAATCACTTTGACCCGTAGCCACCCACATGAGCTCGCTCAGGCGGAGACCAGAAATCTGCTGTAGACGTCCATCACCTGGCAGCGGGAAAAACCACCCGTCACCAGCGGGTGATTTTGGGCTTCCCCCAGTTTACGAAAGCCCGATATGGTTGATATATGTTGATATGGGATGACATATGATTGATGTACCCTCCAGTAAATTAACATAGACCCTGCCAGATAGGGGTTGGAAGATTAGTTTCCATTAAAAATTGGTTATTTTCAGGGTCTATGTTAATTTGCCAGAGGGTAACAGCGTTGCAAATCACCCCTTGAAGCTTCTGAGAGGATCCTGGCAACGCCCCACCTTCACCAAAACCCCTACGAAGCTGGCGAAATGAACCTCTGCTGAGCAAACTCCCACCTGGTCACCCCCATAAAATGGGCTTTCCAATCCATGGGGGTACCCCTAAATCATCCATCTTCATGGGATTTCCCATCCAAAAAAAAACATTTATGCAAAGCTCCAAGTACTTTCTGATGCCTGCTGTACTCTCGTCAATGTTGAGCTTCAGACTTGGACATCAGCAGGTCGGATTTGCGGCCCCTGAAAACAGCACCGGAGGACCGGAAGTCAATGCGATCAGATTGGGCTCTTCGTGGTGGTTCTAAGAATTTCTACTGAGCACTTCACACTGGTCCCTCGAGTGTCCTCAGCGGGCATTCTGTCTCAGCAAGCTCTTTGGTTCGAACTCTGTCTCAGAATGTCTCAGAGAACATTGCTTCTCTCTACCCCAAGACCACACCGTCCATCTTTGGCATATTGCATGGCAAGACTCCCATGCGAGCACCTCACATTCAGTTTCATATCACCAGCTGAAAACCCATGTGTGTCGAAAACCAAACTGTGAGGATCCGTTGGGTTCTCTCTCTCTCTCTCAAAGGCATGGCACAAAAGCTAGAACACGAAGAGCATAGCGCAGTTCTTCTGGCTGCCACTCCTGACATTGGTGAACATTAACGATTGCAACTCAAGTCTGTCGGCTGAAACAAAGCAAGCTGGTGGCTTCAGAAGCACAAAACGGTCCTGACTCAGGAAGTACTCCTTGATATTCTCTGGCGCGATCTCTTGTGCTCTTCCATGTACTTCTACTACCTGCCCAGGAGCGAACGGGCACCTCCCTTTGATGCTGGAAAGAGTCATCAGCGCACAGCACGCGCAAAGCACCCGCATCAATGTCTGGCCAAACTGGAGGAGGAGAGGCAGAGCCTCAGCGTTCGAAGTACCAAAACAGGCAGCTTGCCGCTTTGAGAAGGAGATCGGTTGAGGCTCCGTCAATCTCTTGCTGTCCCAGTGCTATCTTCAAAGCTTCTGGTGCACCTGAGATCAATGGCTGGCGCTCATGAGGATTCCGTTGTCGGAATCACCATATGAAACATCGCCTGCCTGTGTCTGGCAACTTTCGGAGGATGTCTTCGATTTGCCTCGGCAGGCAGAATATACGTAATGTATCTGGGTTCGCTGCCATATGTGGCTATGTTGTCAAAACCAAACAAATGCCAAATTGGATTCACAAAAAAGTTCACTGCAAACATCCCAACGAAGATTCTTCTGATCATGTTTTGATCTTCAGAAGGGGGATTGCGCGATTTTGTCCCTCAGCATCTTGACTTTCACAAGTCTGCCACTCACTCTCTGCTGGATTGGCTCAGCTGGGACTTTCACTTCAGAAGGCAGAAGTGATAGGGCTTCTCTGCTGGCCGACCTGCACAACCATTCGATCCATTGCTCTCTGAAAAACAAAATGGATTTACCACCAGAAAAATGGCAAGTACTGTATCATGTTGAAAGTCATGTTCTCACCAGCTTTTGAGGCCACATTGGGCTACATCTTAAAATCCAAGGAATTCAAGGCTTCTTTGGACCATTCTTTGGACCTCGTTTCCCCATTGTTTCCTGGCCATATCAATGGGACAGCCATGTTTTTAGTCACCAATGCCCTTACATCACCCTGAAAAATGGGGCCTCACAGATGGTCCCTCCCATTGACGTCTAACATCGAAATCCCGGCAAACTAAGTTCAAGACAGTTTCAAAAACTGGTTGATCAATGTTGATCAACCATTCTCCCTAATATTTTCCCTATGAACATGGTGACGAACATGGTCAGAAATTGGGCTAAAAAAAAGCCAGGCAGCCATAGGATCTTCCGGCTGCGCCATGGGATCCTAGGGCTCCAGACGCACAACATATTCCTCCATCAGCTCCTTGAGGCCTTTGCCCGAGTCGACCTGGCAGATGCTGGTTATGAAAATCACGGGATATCATGGGGATATGAAATGAATAAAACCCCGAAAAAGATAGAAGAGTAATTCATTATACTGTCATTACTATGTTAAAAAGTAAGTAGGAATTTACTCTTCTATCTTTTTCGCGGTGATATAATGGGATATTGAGCCAACAATATTGGATTTTTGTGTGTCTGAAAATAGGCTATAACCCCAAATTCTGACCATGTTCGTCACCATGTTCATAGAGAAAATATAGGAGAATGGTGATCAACCAGTTTTTTAAGAGGTGCCCATCTTCAGATAAACACATATGTTTTTCTGAAACTTCACTGGGACATGTGGATATGAACCGCCATTTGTAGACACACCCAAATAAAAATTGGTAAAAGTACGTCAAAGTCATGCGTTCTGCGGACCTTTTCAAGCCAGGTAACGGAATGCATCGGTGTCGCGCATCGCATCACCTATCAACAAGTCGGACATTCTGCACAGAGCAGGGCTCAGCACTGACTGAAAACAACAGTAGGAAGTTAACTTCAAACTTCAAATGCAGTCAAGATTCATCTTGGGTCCAAATTTGCCCTCGTGACAGGTGCTTAACAAAATGAAAGAGCACAGCCAAGATCTGGCAAGAACTCTGGTTGACCAAACGTTGAGGCAAAGTGTTTGTCCTGCTGCGACAGGCGCATCTGCGGCAGCCACCACCTACCAAGAGATGCATCCAACTTCCAAATGAATCCGAATGGCTTGATTTTGCTTCTTCCACAGAATGTCTATGAATCTCTACCATGTTCATCAGTTGTTACACTTCAATTACACTTGTGCTGGGAGCCCGAGACCTCCAAGTTCTCCTTTCCAACAGTTGGTATCCTATGTGCAACATGGCCTTCACATCACAGAGCATCGTCTCCGGAGCAAGGCTATGACCCTTGGTCAGGAAGTCCTTAAGCATCTCCGCGCGCTTTCTGCTGAAGCCAAGGATTTGGAGCTTGATGAGAGTTCCGCCTTCCACATTCCTAGCGGTGAAGGGGGAACGAAAAGTTCAAGATATCTCAGAAGTCTGACTTGGGGCATTTTTTCATCAGTCACAAGTCATTTCATGGCGCTATAGTGGATTCGCAGTGACAGACCTTAACCCTCAGTACTTCAGGGTCAGTCGCCAGTGCGGTGGCCAGCAGCCTGACGTCTGCGATCTGAAGGCGTCGTGGGTTGAATCCCAACTTCTGCGCTAGCTCATGCAAGAACTCCTGGCAGCCAGTGATTAGAAGGTCCTATGCACGGCATAGATGTGACTAGGATGTACCCCCCAAAAAAAATACATAAAAATTACTTTACTTCGTGTGATCCCCACCGTGACATTTTTACATTTGCTTACTGGCAAATCTTCTGGCATTCTATCTGACATATCTTCTGGCATTCTATCTGGCAAATCTTCTGGCATTCTATCTGGCATATCTTCTGGCATTCTATCTGACATATCTTCTGGCATTCTATCTGGCATCTCATTCTATCTGGCATATCTTCTGGCATTCTATCTGACATATCTTCTGGCATTCTATCTGGCATTCTATCTGGCATATCTTCTGGCATATATTCTGACATATCTTCTGGCATTCTATCTGGCATTCTATCTGGCATATCTTCTGGCATTCTATATGGCTCTCTGGCATATATCTGGCATATCTTCTGGCATTCTATCTGGCAAATCTTCTGGCATTCTATCTGGCATATCTTCTGGCATATCTTATCTGGCATTCTATCTTCTTCTGGCATATCTTCTGGCATTCTATCTGGCATATCTTCTGGCATATTATCTGGCAAATCTTCTGGGATTCTATCTGGCATATCTTGTGTCATTCTATCTGACATTCCATCTGGCATATCTTCTGGCATTCTATCTGGCATATCTCATGAGGTCCGGCAGGGAACACTTGGCGTGGATACTCGCGGTTGAGGTCCGGCAGGGAACATGGTCTTGAGGTCCGGCAGGGACACTGGGCGCGGATGGTCGTGGTGAGGTCCGGCAGGGAACACTGGGCGTGGATGGTCGTGGTTGAGGTCCGGCAGGGAACACTGGGCGTGGTGGTCGTGGTTGAGGTCACGTGGAGCAGTTGAGGAAGGACGACAAGGATGACAAGGAGGACGAGGAGGAGGAGGAGCAGGAGGAGGAGCAGGAGGAGAAGGAGGAGGAGGAGGAGGCAACTGACATAAAATCTAACAACCCTCACCTGGCAGGTGGGGAAATACCATCTATGCTGGGGAAGATGCTGACTAGCGATTGGATTTTGGGGTAGCCTCAAAAATCACTGGGAAACAGGTGAAGAGTGTAATTTGTTTGAGCGTCCCGCAGGGGACAATTCCGGCTAAGCTGCACCTCCAATGCATGGCCTTGACCCTTCACCTGAACACAGCTCCGGAGCTGAGGGATGGCAGTACACAGATAGCCACATTGCAATCAAGTGGCGGAACGTTGAAGAGTGCACAAAACTTGGAACTCATCTGGTATCTCCTATAGAGCAATGCAGTGCAATGCAGCAACCAGGTATCTGGAACTTGGGAATGGCACCTGAAGGGTGCCCATGGCCTATTTTCATGTTGAATTTCTGCACTGACGAATTTTCAAAATGAGTTTTTCCCAAAACCATTCACAGAATTTACAAAGAAGTAACCGGTCCTCGTCCGTGAAATTGCTGATGACCTTTGTCAGCTTAGCATTGAATAGGGAGTGGAATACTTCACATTTTTTCTAGTCATCAAAGTGCACTGGCTGCATGTTGACAATGTTTACCAAGAACAGGACTTGAACAACCCTATTCTGATCTACATAGGAGAAGGTGATCTTGACCTTCACGGTTAGACATTTATATGATATATGAAATACGAGAGAGAACCTGCACCTAGCACGGCAATGCGTGACACTTGTGCAATCGTCCTATCGAGTAAAGAGCTGTGTTCAAACGAGTTGCTGCGACCAACTTCCAACCTCCCAGAGAATGGAGACACCTCGGACAAGTTGGAACAACTTGCATCCGATTCCAACCCTTTTGTGGCTACATTCAAACTAATGTCAACCCTGGATTAATAAACCCCATTTACGGCTGTTGAAAATTGGGGGGTACCATATTTATGTACCATATAAAGTGACTATTTGGAGGCTACCCCCTAATATCCCCTAATTAATAAACCATGGTTTTTACGCAAAATCCGGGCTTGACATTACCAAAGACAGGCCATGCTCTGAGTCGAGTCAGTTGCGAGGAGTTCCCACCACATCGATGGAGGTACTGCAACTTGGCCACGATTGCCTCGTCCGAAACATGGCTTGCTGGATCCCTAAAATTTGCAACCATTTTTGGAGGTTTCCTAAAATGGGGGGTACCCCTAAATCATCCATTTATAGATGGATTTTCCATATTATAGACCATCCATTTTGGGGTAACCCCATTTTAGGAAACCCCCATTTATACTGTAGATTCTGAATTCCCATTGAAAGCTTCATCTAGTTCGGGGATTGCCCAAGGGGATCACAGCAGCTGGTGTTGCCTCCGTCTCTTCAACAGCTGGTGCATGGCTCAGTGTCTGAATCCTCAGCCACCGTTGCATCATGTTGCATCTCTCATGTCATCGGCCTTGAAACACATCGAGAGGTGAGAAAAAAAAAGTGGAATAGAATGGGAATATATCAACCACAATGGGGATATTTTCTCGGGATTTCATCGGTCAAACACATCTCAGCCAAAAAGATGGGAACCAGGCGAAGTTCAGCACTCTCCAACCATTTTGTGTACCTTTTTTTGTGCCAGTACCTCGGAGACCTCTCCCTTCCCCTGACCCCGTTCTGCCGAAGTCGCATCATTTTCGCCTCCCGAAGCTCACCGAAAGTTTCGAGGCCCAAAATCTGCAGCTGGCAAGCCTCCAGACCCAGCAGCTTTTCCTCGGAGGGGTCAGCAACATCTTTCTGAGTTGCCATGGACCCATTGGACAATAAACTGCATGATAAGTCACTGCACGAATAAGCAGGGGAAAAGCTTCTTGGAAAAGTGGTGAAAAATAAACAGCTGCACAGCGTGGGGCTATCCAAGCTTAGTCTACTCATAATCAAAACATATGGAGTTACGAAGTCACATGTTGATACCGGAAGTTGAAACTGCTTTGAAAATATGTTTTTTTTAACTCCTGGAAGCAGCTATCACTTTCGACGAGGGGCCATTCTCTGCTTAACCTCATCTGGAGACACTGCTGGAGAATTGGACGCATGGAAGCGCACTGCAACATCCAAGGTCCTGTGAAATAGCAGACATTGCAGAGATCGGTGCTTCATAATTCCTGATAAAACACAAAAGCATGGCTGTCACATCAAAAGCAAACAAATATATACAAATGTATAATATATGGGATTATATGGGTATGTCCAATAATGCTACGTAGGATTCACTGTACAATGTACATCAATGTACCATAATTTACCCCCATGTCATAGCAATGTTCCATGGGAAAATGATGATAAACTGATGGGATGCCATGGTGTTTTGGCTTGGGTCCTGGGCGTGGTGCTGCGGTGCGTCTTGGAGCTCACAGCTGAGCCTTGACCCTGCGAAAGGCTGCTATGTTGGAATGCCAGAAGTCATGTGTGGGTCAAAATGATCAAACCCCACAAAGATAGATGGCGTTTGATGCTAAATACCAAAAATATCACGGTTTTTCCATTGATCCAGTGTTCCAATACTGAATTGAAATTGTTGAAATATTTTCCATGTTGAATACCATTAATATCCATTAATCCATGTTAGTCCATATTGATCCCGCAAAAAAAAAAATGGGGTATCCATTGGTCGCCCAATTTTGACGCAAAAAAAACCGAGCTGTGTCCCCGGTCCGAGATGTCATCGATCTGTATCCCGCGATCAAACTCGAAGTGGCGATAGAATTTCAAATCCTTAGAAAAGCCGGGACCCCAAAAGAAAGGATAGATTTTCTGAATGCGAGACTCTGAGTTTAATGGATTTTAACATGATCTATCATGATCTATCATGATCTATCATGATCTATCATGATCTTACTACATGTTACTTTCCTATCTTTGGGTGCACAAACTGTTGGTGCCGCCAGGTGACCCTCTTCAAGGACGGCTTGAAAGCCAATTGCAGGAGGCTTCCATGGAGGGCCAGTTGGACTTGCTCCGTTAAAGTTTCCTCGGTCCCGATCCACGAACTTGCCACGAACCAGGGCCGAGTTCCCATCCGGGGGATCTCCATCCAAGGCCCGGAAACAATGCTTAACATATGCAAAGTCTGCGGTAAATGGTGATGCTTGCATCCAAGACACGTGTTTGCTTGACTCATGGGGACGCCAGTCCTTGAATCTGAGAAATGATAGAAATGTAAGTCAAGATTTGCTCAGCATCAAAACTGCACGTGAGCGCCACTACACTGATCCTCATTCTGCCACGACATCATTGTTTCTAGATGTTTCTAGCTCCACTAGCCAGAGGAAAAGGTTTGAGGTCAAACCGGTCAAACCAGAAACAGGGCGTCATGTGAATCCCATCCCCCCTAAGAAACATCCCCTTTTTATTGTCTCAAAAAAGTGTTTGTTCGTCCCCATCCACCATGGGAACTTGGGTCAAGCTTCAGCCAATCTGAGCACCTCAAAATCCACGGCATAGGCCTTGAAACCATCAGTGACTCGTGCTGCCTCAAAGCCCACCTCCTCTGGCTTCAGAGCACCCCTGAGTTGGAACAAGATGAAACAATGACCAAAATGAAACAGAAAGCTCGAAAGCAATGAATAGTCATAGTCATAATATGTCACAATATGGAACTCGTTTTTGCCGAGACACACTTGCACCTTCTCGGTTTGTGCCTCTCGCAATCTCACACCAATGATCTGGATAAGGAGACCGTCAAAGTCAAGCGATCCGTAGCTGTCCTTAGTCCCGAGTGATTCTGAGACATTCCTTTTCATAAAACTTGACCTCAAGATCTATTCTTATAAAAGACTGCAAAGCAGCTCCTGACTCAAGGGGTTGCCAATGAGGTTCCGGAAGTCGCACTATCATCGATTGGCCAAATGGCTGATTCGGCTGCACCTGTCACCAGCGACAAAAAAATGGGCCACGTACAGATCCTGGCACTGCACCAGCCGCAGCAGCCTCCAGTTTTGACTCTGCCAGGTGGTACTGCCAAGCTTCAAGAAACCTTAGTGATGGACTCTGGCAGCCCCAAGCCCCAAGCTATCTGGATACATGGCATATGGATGGAATATGGATACCCATGGCAAACAAACTGCTCCTATTTGCATCGGATATAGGCCCCATGGCGAGGCGATGTTTGACGTCTGTCAAAGGTGGCTGCCATGCGACCACCCAGAAATCTGCTTCTCAAAGCATGGGCCATACTCGGCTGGAGCAGCACCACGCTGTATGATGTCTGCGTGCCTCACTGAAGTTGAACTGTCACCATTTTTCCCTGGTGAAATGTGTAGAAAAAGGGGGGAATAACTGGCAGGGGAATAACTGGATCACCATCAGCAAGACATGGAATGAGCACCTCAATACGCACCTGCCCAAATCCTTGGCTCCTGGCCCTTGGAAAACAACAAAGTGCTCTGGATCTTCCTCGAAGGGCTATGCTGTGCCAGGTCCGAACAGTTTAAACACAAATGTTTCGTGATGCTGTGGGAACAATGCGAAAAAAAAAATGAAAAATGGTCCTGACTTTGCACATTGGGAGGACGCAGCAAGACAGGAGACCCAGCAGTACCAATCCTGGCTGTTGCGAAAATTATTCGGAATAAGCAAAGCATGACGGAGCATCAAACCGCAGCCATCTGTGCCTTCGCGGCAAGATATACTGCTCTGAAGCCTGATCCACTCCTGGCGGTTCATCAGCACCAAGAGACCTCTAAAGTGACGAAGTCGCAATGCCTGGCGTTGACGAGCTTGAGTGCTGCATCCTGGGTCCGCCGAGTCACTTCAACATTCTGAGACTCTCGACTTTGCAAATGACCAGCGATCAGCGAGCGGAGCACTCTTTGGGACAAGTTTCTGCACTCCAAGGTCAAATTCGAAGTGCTCAAAGAACGGAAGCCTGGCGGCAAAATGCCGGAAGCCACCCATAGCAAGACATCTTGCGGAAACCTGGAATTCGGGTAAATCTTGCAGGGGCACATGGCGTATCTTCTCCTCACCGCCTGAGAACAAAATCAAGGCAGCAGGCAGGCTATGATATCTATGATTCATGTGCAAAAACATCAAACACCGTGCCTGACTGTGAAGCTTTCGCAACGACGATGCCAGCTGCTTCAGCTCTGAGTGCAACCCAATGGGTTTCACCTTCAGCTTGGCTGTTTGGCATTATATGAGTCCTCAATCAATTTTCTCTTGGCTGATCAAGTCTGGTAACCAACATCCTTCGCCAGTTTTTGTTCAGCTGACCTCGAAATGTATGGTGCAGCCAGTAGAGGAAAGGGCTGAGCAATTCTTGAGTCCTGAGTCAGGAAACCTGGACATATGATTAAATCAATGTTAGTGAAGCAGTGTATACCACCCCATGCATGGTAAAATTGGGGATGGTTTACTATTGCTTTACTAACATTCGATAAAAAAATTAGAGCAAAACATGTAAGATTCCTGGCAGCGGGACATGACCCTGTCCTTGCAACCCTTGTTCATCTTCCTTCGTTGGCTCATCTGTGTCCGAAACCGCCTCAGTTCCAGCCGGTTAGACAAGTGCTTCCACCAAGCTCGCATCCACCGAAGTCCACCTGGGGCGCTGGCCTTCTTTTCCAACTCCATTTTGGCCATTTTTTCATTGAGACCAGAGACACAAAAGGCATGTTGCCCACTGGTTCTCGTCTTTTGGATGCAGGTCACAACCTCAGGGGCCGGTGATAGATCTTAGACTGGCTGATTCAAACTGCAATGTGGCTGCAAGACAGATCACTCTTTTTCGACTTCAACTGTTGGTCCATGGCGGCAAAAGTGATTAGTTATTCGTAAAATCAGTAAGTATGGATTCGCATCCAAACTATCAAAACAGAAGCCCTCCTCTTTCTTCGGAGATGTTTGGGCCCTGATCTTCAAGTTGCCATGGCAATTTCATCCAGGTGGAAAAAAGTGCCTCCCATGGGCATGTCTGGCATTAGGAACACACGAAAATTCCACCACGTTGCTCATGATATTCCAATACATCCAAATATCCATCATGTTTGGTTCTATGATGTTGATCTTTCATGAAAAAATATCCCCATGCACCAAACCCCCATGAATATTTGGTGAAACAATCCATTCTGCTTGTTAAATCCAAATTGCTTAAATCTCAATGTTGATTTGATGTTGTTATTACATCCCAATTGATGCTTAAGTCGGCTTAAGTCCCAATTTTGATGCTTCAATCCCAATTTCGAGGGTTAAATGAATAAACCAAAACATTGTGGTGCTTAAATACTTCAATCCCAAATTTGGTCGTTTTAACTTATAAAAACCACTACATAATACTCATTGACCGTGTTCCTTTTCCCTACCACTCAGTGCAGGGCAATCTGGTTGCCTCTGAGGCCACATACCTGGCGGATGACTTGGAGGTACCATGGATTGGAAACCTCCTTTTTGTTGCCATGCTTTAACAAGAAAAAACTGGACAGCCAATGGCAACCATGATCTCGAGCCTGTGTGACAGCCTCGATAAATGTCTTTGCTACGCGGCCACGCCATGCGACTCCTTGCTCCTTGGAGCCAGCATCCTGAGTCATCGACAACCTCCATGCTGCAGACGTGCTCAAGGAGATGCATCTAATCCGGCCTTGCAAATCAAGTCCAGGTGAGCTGCAATACGTGGCCTGGGATTCGGAAATCTCATTTTCATGGGCGAAAATTCTTCATTAGGGTACCCCCGGATTCCCATGGATTGTCCTCATCTCTTCGATGAAAATTGCTATAATTTGTGGTAGATCTCCAGTGCAAGCAAGCAGCAGATTGGGTGCGACATGAGGGGTGCAGGCCTAGGAGCAAGCGAACAGAGCAGGAGCCCAGCTGGGTGGAAGTTGAATGATTTCCAAGCTGCTGCTCCAATGATGAAATACCTTGGTTCCAGATGCTTTCAGGTGATTCCAGGTCTTCCAAAATGGCTATGCTTCAAAAGTATTGCCCAAAAAAAATGATCAAAATCCAAATGGCTATGGCTCAAAAGTGTTAACCCCACTTTTAAAAAACAAAAAAAAAACATGGATGGTTTCAGATCTGAAAAATGACAATGGCTCCATTTGTGCTTCATTACTAAAGATACCCCCAGCCTTCAAGTCCCAGGAGCTGCTTGAGAATCGGCACAGAATCTTGCCATCGTCTCTGAATGGAGTTTCCTTGGAACAGCATGGACAAGTCAAGCAAAAAGATCCAATTTGGATCTGAAAATGGGCACACCATGGCACACCCCCATTGGATCTGGCAATTGTTGCTTGGATTGGCTGGTGGTTTACCCCCCATTTTCGGACAAACTGAAAAAAAAATCTGGTGTTGTCAAGGCATCCCGAAACTCCCGTGGTCAATCAGCTCTGGGTTACCACGAACTCCACCCTTTTTCGCATAGACACTGTGGAGACCTCCCAGGTTTTCGCATAGCTGCTGGAGGTCTTCGCTCTCGCTGACCTGTGCACTGCCCGTCTATCAACTCTGGTTGGTGGTTGACCTACCCCTCTGAAAAATATATAAAAATATGAGTTCGTCAGTTGGGAAGGATTATCCCATATATTGTGGAAAAACACAAAATGTTTGAAACCACCAACCAGCTAGGATTTAAGCGGCAAACTCTTCGGATGAAATGGTATATCTCAAAATTGGGTACCCCAACCGCCCCCATAAAGAAATAAAATCATTTCCCCATGTTTCAATGGCCATAAATTGGAGTATCCCCCAGACACACTTCATCTGGGGTCGCGATAATGTCAAGAGGCGCAATCAGAAATGTCCACTTCGATCTTCAAGTTGTAATGTTTCCTGAGGAAAGTCTTGCAACTGACACGGTGCGCAAAGCTTACCCCATTCCATCCCATGTTCCCATCATGCGAAAACATCATGTTCCCAAAAAAACGTTTTCCCGTTTTCCAACCGACCTGTTCCCATATTCTTCTTCCAGGAGGTGTTCCCATCCCTTAAATGATGTCCATATTTTCCCAAGCGGCCGCAGGTGATCTGATCGACCAAAAATCGGATCCATCCTGCGGGACGATTTTTTACAAAGTCTGGACATGAAAAGAACCAGAAATGGCCATCATATGATTCAGATGTAGTTTTTCATATGAAATCCATGGAAATCCCATCAAAATCACTTGAAATCAACTGACGTCAACTGAAATCAATCTATGTCAATCTGACAATTCTCTTGCAGCCTGCCTGGACATTTCCTTGACGCCAAGCACAGTTAGGCGTGCGGAATCCACACCAGTGACTATGTGGATGAAGTCCTTCAGTCAATCATTTTGAAAGGATTTTCCATTGTAAACCATCCAGCTATTGGGGATCCCCGATTTGGGGAAAACCCCCATATTTCAATCATAATTCACTGAATCATTGAATAAAAAATAATAATAATGACAAAAAGGCAGTGACAAAGGCATCGCGACGCTAGATTTGGAAACTCCCCACAGGACTGTTCTGCGTCAGTGCGCGGGGTAGAAAAAGATGTTGCTTTGCTTCATGTGGTCTGCACTTGTTCTGATTCTTCAATCGATTCACGAGGCTTTTCAAGTCTTACATTTACCTCAAAAAGCTTCAACGATCGGTTTGACATTTCACCCAGCGTCCGCCAGATTCGCAGCAAAAGGCCCTCCACCGCTGCCTTGCAACACTTTGAAAGCGTATAAGATGTATGGGTGTGTCTGAAAATGTTGTGTACCCCTAAACCCAATGGTTTTGCTGATCATTATCCCTATTAAATGGCTATTTCATTGGGAATATAGCCTATTTTCAGACAAACCCATATAAGGCAAGGTCTTTTCTCTGTCTTTTCTCGGATTTTCCTGCAGTTTTCCATTCCGCCATTCCAAGTCACTGGAGAAGGTGCCCAGCCGGTCTACCACATCGATCTCGGCCAGAGCTTGATGGCACCTCAACGACGGCCACCCTGCACTCAACCGGTTGCAACTGCAGCTTGTGCAGCTTGGTTGCAAAGTTGGCTGCAACTGCTGCAGCAGATTCTCCCGAAGCAGCTTCGTTGCAGATGTGCGGACCGGTCGGAGAATGCGCAAAGCCCTGAAGTGTTCAATGTGAGGAAAGATGGCTTCTCTTCAGGGCAACGCATCAGGCAATGCAGCAATGCACTATGTCTGCACTTGCGCCTGAAGAATTGGAATCTGTCGTCCTTAAAGAACTGCGTGAGAGATTTTGCAATGTGTACTCATTGACAATGCCCCAAACTTCACAACTTCATCTCTTCGTGCTTCATGGTATCTTCATGGTGAAGTGGAAAAAAAAATCGGGTGATATTATCCATTTATACCAAAGATTAGTTGGTCCCAAACTATCCATCCATAGTTGGTTCCATGCTATGAATGGGTAAATCACCATAACTGGTGATGTAATCCAATTGCTCCAAAGGTCTGTTTGGATCAAATCCGCGGTCTCTTGGCTGTGCAGGCTCCACAAAATCTGTTGAGCCATGCCTGCCGGGTCATATGGGTCTGAAAACGGGGGATGGAACCACCAAAATGGCCGTTTTAAAAAAGGAAAGTGAAGTTCTCAACCACTTGATTTTGGACCTATGGATACCTTATCTTCAGACAAACCATGAAGTGGTGGCGAAAAAAAGCTGTCAGATCATGAGCAAGTGTGCCAAGAACAGCCAAGGTTCGGATGTCGGAAGCACTTTGCACGGGAATCTGAAAGTCAATCGTATATTCCTTGAAGCTCCAAGATTCAAGACACGCAGGACACTCAAAAAAAAAAAATGTGTGAAAAAATACGTGCAAAAAACAAGAACGCTGATTTGACTCGACTGAATGATCATAATTCACCAAGCTGAAATAAGATGACCTCTTTTTCAGCTCCTTTGGCCAATCATCCAATCCATCGTACATCCACCGACAAGTCGCTCCCTCCTCTCCGGGCCAAATGCGAAGGTGCCGAAGTTCCAATCGACCAGAGAAACGGAGCGCCATGGATGCGAAGATCTGCACGAAGTCGGCGACGTAACGAGGGCCTAGAGAAAAAGCTAAGTGACACTTTTAAGGGAAGCTGTGAGATTCACTGCAATACAGCAGTCACACATGGGTGTGTCTGAAAATAGTGTACCCCTAAACCCAATGATTAATGATCATTATCCCTATTAAATGGCTATAATTGAGAATATACCCTATTTTCAGACAAACCCACATGTGAAAACGGAGGAAAATCATCTACCAAACTCTAGAAAATCTACAATTTGCCAAAGGGATCACATGACACCAAGAGGATATGAACGCACTCCAAGGGAAAATGTTCAGCAACTTGACTTGCTCATTTTTAAACCTTGGAAGACGCTGGACTTGAGTTCTGGGCATCTGGTGCAGGCCCACCCAGCGGCCTCCATTTTGACCAATGCAGCCATGCTCGTCTGCGACATCCAAATGGCAGCAGAGCTGCGTAGAAGAACCTGAAGCTGCCATTGATGTATCACTGTATCACGCGCATCGCAAGTGTCATTGACCTTTGGATCTGAGAAACAAAATGAATGCGCATGTTGGTGCCACTGAGTGACCTGTATCGTCCGAAAATGCATGGCAAAGTGCGGTCTCAATGACCTTGGGCCGCTGCGGCGTGCAAGAACGAGATTCCACGAGTCAGCAAAGTCTGAATCTGTGACACAACAAAACAAGATGTCCTGGCAAAGTGACCAGGGATTGGTGCACGAAGTCTGCACCTGAGAAATGCTGAAACAACCCGGTGCAGCACTGGAAACCACAGCTGCCACAGCTCCAAGCCCCTTGAGACCGGCCCGGCGCTAAGTTTGGAACTCGGCACATCCAACGCACTGAGATTCCACTGCAGCGCCCGCATCTCCTAGCGTGACCCACGTGACCCACGTGACGACGTGACGGCACAAAAAAAGCCGAACGGTGCAAGGCAAAGCCAAGGCCGCGTCCTCAATGGTGGCGCCATCCTTTGGTTGGATATTCAAAAATATTCGTCGCCGCTTGGGTTTCACCTTGAGACTGGAAGGTTGGAAATGGAATGGAAATGGAATGGAAGGGACTGAGTTTGTGGTCGGAATATAAAGCAACTGAGCGCCAGTCCATGCAAACATTGTCCTGGGTAGGGCAAGCTGGATGGGTTTATTTAAATCGTGAGACGTCAAGCAACCACTTCTCTGCATTCACTTCCAAGACTCTCTCAATGATCGTGTTTCAGTTTTGAGCTTCGCATGTCTTCGCCAGAATCCCAGAGACGACTGGGCCAACTGGGCCTAATCGCCAAGCTTCGATTCGCACATGTCCAGAAGGCAGATTCAGCTTGCTGGTCAAGTTTTCAACCAGAGATCGGCCTGTCATACCTGGAAGTTACATGATGAAGTTGCACAGAACCCTACAAGCAGCGGTGCAAACTGCCGAAAAATGCGCTCGGACCTGGTGCTGTCCTCTCATTGGATTCCACAACATCCTCGGTTTGTGGCTGGTCTTCGTGCTCACTTCCTGCTCACTGAACTATGTGTTGATCACTCAAGTCTTACATATGTATTATACATTGTACAGATATATAGTTATATATACACATTTTACAATATACACAGAGTATATATTATACTATAGTAATATATGAGTATCACTGCACACTGCACTGTATGTATATATATATATAATATCCATGGTATTCCATGCTAGGTTGGCCCTGCATGATTTTGCACGTTGGGGCAACTACTCACAACAGCACTTGATGCAGCAAAGGTGCAACTCTCGCTACAATGTGCGAATGCGTCTGCGACCCAACAAGCCTCTGGCACAGACAGAGGCACAACTTTCCTACTTTCCGCAGATAAATCAGAATAACATTAAATCTTGACATTCCTCACTAAGAGCACGTTTGCTCGATTACCTTTTGAGAAGCTTCGCCGAGGAGCGTTGTGGCCGTCATGCCAGCCTCGTTCTCCAGCAGGCAAGAAGTGCTGACGTGCATTGCAGGCACCCCGGGCATCCCACCTAAGTTGTTGGCACTTTGTGAGTCGAAACCAACTCGCTGCATCTTGAGTTTGGTAATTTGCCAAGTAACCAACAGGTTCGAACTTCTGGAAGAACAAAGAACTGCTGGGGGCACCGATGAAGTTCCTGAGGCCAGATGGCAGTGAGTGGTGAACTTGGTGCAATGTATCGCAGGGGTAATACGTGAACTATACATGTTTTATCCTATAGATACTATACACTATAGAGCTCCAGATCTTGCAGCCACCGTATTTCGGAGTCAAGCATCAACATCAGTTTGTGGATACTCCGCAGTCGAGGCAAAGCAATGTTTTTGGGCATCAAGGCAGCCTGAGCACGCATGAATCATGGGGAAATATGGATATATTAGATATATTTGTTTCTCAAAAAATTGTCACAATTTGGGGTATCCCAAAGCCATTGGTTTCCCATGGTTTCCCCATCAAAAAATGACCCATTTTCGGATGGTCTTGGGATCTTTCATGTCAGGCCATGCCATTCATCAAGACACCTTCAACGCCACCACGTCCCGGTCTCGCTCCGTGGATCTCATCACCTGGACTTGGACGTCCTGGGATGGAAGACCCGTTGCTGCCACCAGCGCTGCTTGAAAGTCTCCACGGATACCTGCGGTCTCCAGCGGACATGTTTTGTTGTGGCACAGTTCTGAAAAATCTGGGACGTACTCGGGAACCTACCGTTTTGTGCTCGATTAGAAAGTATCTCATCTCAAACTGGCATCTCCTCAGGGATCTGTCACCCTGTCCATTTTGAGGACAAGATACCACCAATGGAATGAATCAGCAGCCCCTGCTTGTCGACGACGTCACAATGTACTTGAATAAGTCCATCGCACAGCACACTGTGGTCCTGTCACTGCGGCTTCACGGAGCGACCCCAGACAGCAGGGCGCATCAGGGGATGCAAAAACCCATCGGGAATAGAAAGACAAAAGGATCAAAAGGTAAGAGCAACACAAGAGTATACAGTAACAAGGCGACGAAGAACAAGCTGCAAGAACCGGGAAAACCGGGAAGAACAAGTCCAGCGTTTTGGAGCTCTGGGGGGGTTCTTGTGGCATTTCTGGCTGTGGCAGACCCTGGCGTCGCAGGCATGGCATTTCTGGTTTCTATGAGCCGATGTGAGGTGGACCAGTGGACCGCCTCATTTCGTGATGCCAAGCTCCCAACCTCATCCCCGGTCGCCTGAAGAGCTGGCGCCGGGGCCATTCGAAGGTCTTGAGTTATGGTCTCCTGCGGCTGCTGTCCCAATGCTCCGGAGGAACTCGACTGGCGCCTCAGCGGTGCCATGGTGACCACCATGGCAAGAGCTGGAGATGGGTCGAAATTTACCCTCTGGTAATGACTAACATAGCTATTGAAAATGGTGATTTATAGTGGATTTTCCCATTGAAAATGGTGATTTCCCATAGCTATGTAAACGTTTACCAGAGGGTATCCACCCCTACTTTTTTGGTTCAACAAATACGGACCATTTATGATGCACAAAGGCGGTATGCCGGTATTTCAATGACTAGACCCATCCCCATCTGAAGGAAGCTGATTATATGGCTATGGATCAATACCTATTAATACCATTTTTAGAGGGATGAACATCCATTTACCAGCTATTTTGAGGTTCACCAGGGGTACAAGGTTTTGACCCACTGCCATATCTATATATATTGGGTCCCGCCAAATTCAACCCGGCAAGGAGCGGTCCAACGGGCGTGGATGCTGTCAGTGAAGGCTTGCATTCTTCGTAGGGCCGATCCTTCCCTGCCTTGAATTTGCACCATGCCTGAGGAAATGGACCGCAATTGTGGGCGCTTCGGTGCTCAACGGCAGAATCTAGCACAGAAATGGCACAGCAAATTTCTGCTGAATACATGGCCATGGTTGTCACAGTGATGACTGAGCAAATTTCAGGATCTGTGTCAGCAGAGCGACCCAGGCATACTTTCCAAAGAGATCATCATCACCAAACGATCCTCTCTCTCCAGCCCACTCTTCGTAATTTTGAAGCAGAGAATGTACCTGAATATCAACTATCAGCGCAGCAAATTCCGAACCAGCAGCTTGTTATCATTTGTTATGTACTGTCTTGAAACATTGCTGGGACAAAACGGAGGTCGAGCGTAAATGGCAGATTTGGCAATCTGTTGAAACTTGCTGGCTGCTTCTGCTGTTGACACCATGCAGCCAAAGCTACATGTTTGGCCACAGTGTCACGGTTCATGGATGGCTTCAGCGAATAGATCCAAAGGGTCACATTCCAACCTGTCAGGACAAGTAGCTAGACGTCCGTTTTGAAAACCGTTGTTCTATCCGCCTGCCTCCAGGGACTTTGTTCTCGTTTTCCACGTACTCCAGCGTCTTGAATTTGATCTGCAAGGGACCTCACAGCTGATCAGACAGCTCCACCGCCCGAGTCCACCATCTTGCGGCCATGTGGCGGAAGCCACACTTCTCTGCCAAAGCATTTTCCAGCATCTGCATAAAACGCTTGCCACTACTGTCCTGTTTCGTGCTGCAGATTCTCACAGGGTCCCTGGTTGGCATTCCATTGCTTTTTCGGAATGGTGGAAGGATGTATGTGTTCTGTATGTTCCACCCAACTATCTCGTTCCTGCTTTCCGTTTGGCGATTGCGTGAAATGTTGACGCAATATCATTGGGTTGGTTGAAGGGAAAACCTACAGGAAACCATGGTTTTTACCATCAAATATAGGGCTTTCCTGTAAATTTTCCCATCATCCAATTCTATGAGCAATATCATTGAAACCATCTTAGCTGGTCTTAGCTTTTGGACATTTCAAGCTGGCAATGAAAAAGAATAACAAACCAGCTCAGCGCAAACATTCTTCGTGCTGGCGCAAGAACAAATCGGTTTCTCTGAATATAGGAGAGAAAACCTCTTAAAATCCCATCACTGTCCCAACTGAAACAGCCATACTTTGCTGTCCCCCAGTTTCAGACACATCCCATCACTATCATTTTCTGTGTGCTATACATCCCATCACTATGCCACTAACATCCCATCAACTGGCCATATCTCTTAGCGGAGTTCTGGCACCAGTAGTCCAATGTGGGCGGGATCAGAGTCGTGGACTGGGCAACCCCGCAGCCCAGTCAAAACCATCCAACGACCATCCCGGCCATTCCTAATAATCTATCCCGAGACGGTCGTCCCGACCGTCCCAACTACCTGTTCTTACCCTTCCACCACGGGCGTCAAAACCCGGAAATGGCCCGGAATGATGTGGGATGCCCCCAAGGGAAACGTACCTCTAGACGTCGCCGTAGCCCCGATATGCCTTCTACCTTGCAAGTTAACAAATAGATGCCTAACATGGGTTTCACCCTGCCCAAAGGAACCTTCACCTTCATCTAGGGTGCCTGTTCTCCAACATCACTTAACCCTGAAACTACCTCAACGTGACCCCAAATGCCTCAAAAGTGTCGTTATGTAGCCCCAATGGAATCCAAAAAATAGCGAGTTCAAGATTGAACATCTTCCAAATACATCCAAATACATGTAAAGGTCAGGCGTGAATGTTCGTTGTCACTGCACGTGGAGTTGGCGTCTCTCACATTCACGTGGGTTTGAAAAACCGATACACTTTCGTCCTGAGCGCTGCAGGTGTGGCTTATGACATCTGAACTTAGTTCACTACTCTGCTGCCTCTTCCAGGCAGCCATATCCACAATCATTCGCCATCAACAGAGTGGAAACGTTAGCAGTGATCATGACTAGCTGGAGACCGTCCCAACCATCACTACATCTCTGATCCGGGCTCAGAGATTCTGATCCCGAGTCCGCTCCCTGACATTGATTCGACTCGTGAACAAATTCTGACATGTTGTAAATGTGTATACATGTTATATATTGATATATTACTATATATATATAATTATATATATAATTATATATAATGTGTTTTTTCTTGCAGTCCTCCGTGATACTCGATCGCCGTCGACTGTTTGCTCGCGGGCGTCGCCTAAGATTTGTTCACATCCCCGTTGCTCTGCAATCAGTCCATTCAAATTATCGATCTGGGTATTCTGGGTGAAGCCAGGACACCAGTGCTCCCAAACATTGGGGGGCTCCTTTCGGATAAACTCCTAAACAATCCTGAAATGTTTGGAAATTCCCAAATATCCTGAAATGTTTGGAAATGTGGATACAATTCCTAAACATCCTGAACTCCTAAACGTATTGTGGAAATTTGTGGAATGTGTACACGAATGTACACCATATTGCACGCTGCTGGCCTGAATTCAGCGTGTAGCTCTACCGCGAGCCGCCCTTGCACAACGTCCGATGTTTGGGATTCAGTCTCCAAAGATTCACCTGGCAGCACAAAACTGAACGGATCCACGTGGCAACAAAAACTTGCAAATAAGGTCGGAGGGTTTCCGCTCCCAACTGGTTCCCCTGCGAAAGCCCACAGTTTTAGCTTCCCAGAAACTGTCTCCCTGCCACAAGCCTGACTCTTCGGTGCCAGAAGCCGATTCTGCGGCTTCGCCAGCGGATTGCTGGGACGCCTGGATACTGCTGGCTGACTGTCGCCTGGCCGAGCAGCAACCTTTTCGGTCGAACTGGAAAACCACCTTTGGCTCTCCCAGGATGCCTGGCCTCTCCGGCTCGATTTCGCCTCCGGTCGCCGGCAACTCGACGGTCGCCTCCGGCAGCGACAAACTTTGCGCTGGAGACGATGCGGAGCCAGCATCCGCCTGCCATAGCGTCGATTTTGCGGCGCCCTTTCTGCTGCATGTAATTAAAGAGGGCAGGATTTAGCAAGGATTAACTTTGTATCTTTGACTGCGGACTGTATTCATCGCACCGTGTCTCAACCCAACCGGCTCCATCGGCTCCAGAGTATACAGGTGTGAGGGCAGCCGATGCAAAAATCCGTCGAGGAAGAGATCTCAGGCTCTAGCTATAGCCTCTACAAAGAATAGGAACAAGATTTCCACAGAAAACACCAGGCCAGCGGATTAGTATTGCCCCGAAGTTTGGTTGTTGAACCCCTCCCAACCTTCCGAGTTGGATCATCTCTGAACCATCAACCGCCTATTAAAAATTCAGGAAATCGGACATCCCGTCCTCTGGAACCAGATCAGAAAGTGGGAGAGGACGTGCGAACATCGAAAACTCCTGTGGCTCCTTCGAGCGCTGGCTATGAAATGGGTGAAATGGGCTCTGGGATTCATCCAATTAGCCATCCCACTAGCTAACCATAGATCAGTGTCTCCTCAGCTGGGGGCGGCATGGGACCTGCTCCTGCCTTGGTAATGGTGAAGTTAGACTGTGAACAATGTGGTTTTGTCTGCAATGTATGAGAAAGCCCTTAAGCATCTTAAAATCCTATGGCTAATCGTCATTTTCCTACGTATAGGTTCCCCATAAAAAATGCCATAGTTGGGGGGTAAAACCCCCCATCCTCAGGGACTAGGCTGCGTCATGTCCCTCTTGAGCCGCTCACTCTCGGAGGCAGAGATCGCTCACTCTCGGAGGACTTCCGTCGGGAACTCTTCGCCTAACAGGTCATGCTGGAACCCAAGGTTTCATATGGTTTCATCAGCAAAATGAAGGTTTGATCATGGTTGATCCATGAGAAAGTTAGTTTTGATATGTTTTGATCCATCAAAAATAACTGTTTGCGTTTGGAGGTCTGTGATTTGGATTCATCAAGATATGCATAGTGCCGAGCGCCTGCGGCGTCAGCGGCTGATGCACAACATCGGATGAGGTCCAAGACATGGGTGAAGCAGCGGCTGCACTTCCGAGGGAGTCAGGTCGTGGTGCTTGGATGGTCTGGAATTCCAAGCCTCACTGGCAGCTGTTCTCTGTATTCTACAGAAACCAGCAGGGCACCCGCAAAAGGCGGGATGTTCGATGTATCGAAAATAGGAAGTTGGCAAAATATTTGCGAAGTGCCTGAAGGATGCAAGTCCACCAGCGTCATAGGTGGCCTCATCCTCAGAATCCATCAGCACCCAGCTGTGACAAGAAAGCTGTTGGAAGCAGCTGACCATCTGGGAGCCTGACTGATGGAAGGGAGCGAAAGAATCAATAGTGAGTGGTGCCGCCATGGTCTGGCTGATGGATGAAGGCCTCAGGCGGAACACGGTAACAATCGCGGATCTGTCCATGTCACCAAAAAAAACATACAAATCCATTGAGGAGCTGGCAGCCTTGTACGGAATTGTTCATCCAAGTCTCCACCTGGCTAACAAAAACCATCCTCGTCTTCCTGCCACGTTTTAGACGAATTTCAATGGATTTCAACGGCCTCCCAGAGGTGACATGAAGTTCTCTTCCATCAGCACCTTGGCACCTCAGCTTCACCGAGCGTTTCACAGCAGCTTCGCTGTTCTTCCCGTCCCCTGGTCCGAGGCGTAGGCCGTTCAGAATCGTGGCATCTGAAGGAGGAGCAATGCGGCTGGAGCTCACACTTCGAGTAGCCTCTCAGTTTCCGTCCCAGACCCTGACCTCCCCCAAGCACCGCCGGTAGGAATTGGTTGCAGATGTAAGCTAAACAATGATCTGGTGACATATTATATGATTTCATATGTGCCATGGTCAAGTTACATGGTAGAAATGGCAATTGGTTGCAGTCATCCCACCCATATGGGGGAATCCTTAGATTGGCCAAACTTTAGTTCCCTGTTAATGGTGGTTTGACCACACAATCACAGCAATATGGATATTAAGGCAAACAATCCACCTCGGATCATGGCACATCTGGGTAAATTAGAACGACCTCACGTCGCGACCGAACCCTGGATTTTTTCTTTAATAAGGGGAATCATCCCAATATGGCCTTATTTCAGGTTAGTGAATTGTCATAATTTACCATGACATATGGCTATTTCTATACGCCTGTCAAAGGGTGCCAAGAGATTTCAGTTTGCATTCGCAAGCTGCGTGTCCCTTGCAAACGAGGCCTCTGACACATCCGGGCATGAGGCTACCTGGAGTTTGAGGCTTTGACCATTTCACTTTCAGAATGAATACTCACAGTTTGCAATTGAAGGATATTGAAGGAGCCTCGAAATCATCCACTGCCAGAGAATCAATTCCAAACATCATTCAGTCAATTTCGGTCATGTATGGAATCTGTAACATCTCCCCGATTCGAATTGCATGCATGGCACTGGCGAATTTACTGGCGTTGGTTCCAGGTCTTCTTGAAGCTTTCTATCCCTCCTTAGTTTGGATGCTATCGGTGTCACATGAACTGCCTGCCATTTTGCTGAGGACCAAACAAGTGGGCTTTCCACTTTTCCCAACCCTGGCAGCCGCGTAAGGCAGGTTGGAGCGCTTGTGTCAAGGGAAGTTCTACCAGCGCCTCCAGAGAAAAGTACACACCGGCCGTCCCCGCAACTTCGCGCGGAATGATGTAGTGCACACCCAGTTGGAGATGTACACACCTCAAAACAGATTGCAGGCATGGCATCATAGGAGCCTGCGGGACAGAGGTGGGATGTCTGAGACGAAGGAATCAGAGTACGATTTTAGTACAACATCCATGGATATCCATGGATCGCCAGTGTCATGACATGGGAACAGCCTATCGGATACCTGAACATGATGCACCATCTTTCATTTAAACCTGAGGCCAAGTCTGTTCTATGCCAGTTGCCTGAACCGGAGACAGCATGGAAGACACTCTCAGCACCAACCAGTCATTTTGATGCGCCTCAGGCAGATATTTGGGGAAGAGAACTTTCCAGATCTTCTCCTCACGGGGTGCCACCAACCAACCGGCCAAACCGAAAACCCAAAGGTGACAGGTGACACTACGCCAGCGTCTCCAGGATGTGAGACTGGAGGACTGCCAGCTGACCAAAAAGTGCCACATCTTCAAAGCCTGGCACGAGTAAAACCCGCGGATAGACAGGACTTCCGCAACACTTCAGCTCCAACTCGTGATTTCTTCATGTTGGGTCTAAGAGTCGGCCCCAGTGGCACAACCGGCACAACCCCCCAATTCTGGTGCAATCCAAGCAGCTCTTGCTGGTGTTGAAGGCTATCTTGATGAAGAGTTGGCTGTCGAAGTCTCTGCTGAGAACCTGATTTTTCCACCAATGGCATTGCGATTTTATGACCATGTCAAGGTACATGGAATTCATGGGGCCCCTGGTCAGGCCCTGGTCATCCGAACACCTTTAAAAATATCATCGGATTCCCGAAAAGGTCATGGCCAAAAATTCACCCCAAAGATTCATAGGGCTATGACCATCCCCTCATACCATACGGAGGTGTCCTAAAATGGTACCCCCAAATCATCCAAGTCTCCAAGGCCCATTGTAGTATTGAAACCCATGGTGACTTGGGCTCCCTCATGACTTACGAAACCCCCCAGTCATGGCTATCCCACCACCACAGCACCATGGCTTCGAGGAGGCCTCTTCTGTAGCATCTTTCCCTCCGCTGCTGAGTTCCTCCTCATCCTAGCAGATTCGATGGTTTTGGTTTTGTCCAAAAGTGGAACCCCTAAAATGCAGTGGTGTATCATGTTCCCAAAAGGTTCCCAATTATAATTTATTTAAACTAATATATATATATATTATAATAAACAAACATTATAAACATTATATTATTATAAACATGATATACATTGAATATCATTAAATTATAGCTCTATAGCTCAAATTGAATCATTTAGATGGCCCCAGCAGCCCCACCAGCCCGGGGGCGCCTCTGCTGATCCCAGGATGAAGCTGCAGTGTCTCCTCCATGCCTGGGCAGAAACTGCCAACCAGGGCCCAACGGTCCAAGATGAATGAAACAAGGCCTGAAACTTGCTGTCTGCCAGCTGCTTTTCAGCACCTCAGGAATATCAGACTCAGGATACGAATCGGAAATCGGAAGAATGCGGAAGATCATCGGAAGATATCGAAGTCTCAAAACTTTGGGACTCAACTGAAGAGCCATGAGATCCATGAGGATATTGCGTTCATGAAGTGATCTCCCGAGGCACTGATTCCTGACTTGTACTTCTTCAGATGCGCATCCTCCTGCATGAGCCCGAGCTCCAAGCAATGACCTGGCCCAACGGATACCAAGACACTGCATTTTTCTAAAAAAGTGGCTGAAACGAACTCGGCCAGGCCACGATTCCAGTTGATCAATCCGGCAAAATCTTGATCCGGAGGCCTTGCCAGACATTTTAAGACACGAAAAAAAAGTAGCAGATGAAGCATCAAAATGCGGGCCGGCACAACACAGAAATGCAAACGGCCATCTACCAACGAGCGAAATGGACCACAAGTTGTTGGAGGTTGATCCCCCGATCATCAGATATCATCAAATCGTAGATCCGATGGATCAACAGGCCTGTCATCTGCCTTTTCAGCCTCGCGTCCAGCCATCATATAGGTGTAATGCCACAAAAGTTCAGATTTTTCTGCCATCCTCACAGGGTTTTGCAGCGCATGGACCGTTTAAATCTAGCAGCCCTTGGAACCTGAAACCATTGGAACATTTGGAGCCCACTTGTTGAAACGGAACCGAGTCCTGCATGCTTTTCGAAATTCCTCGAGGTCCACCCAACTATCTGCTTCCTCATGCACTGATTCAAACCTCGTCTCCAATGACCAAGCTTGGACAAGCTGCAGGGCCAGAACAGCTTGGCAATGAGGTCTAGACAGTCATAGAAAAACCTTCTTTGAGCATTAGACTCCAGACTAAACACTTTGGGACTCAAACCACTGGCAACCAAGAATCCCAGCTATGCGGAATGACTGTTTTGGCCAAGCGGCAATTTTTTAGCCAATCTTCGCATCTGTCTCTGATCAAATTGGAAAAGCTGCCGAAGTTCCTCGTTGTCCTCGTTTTCAAGCGCCTTCTGCCATTCGCTCATCCTCGGCCACCAAGAACCAATGGTCTGTTTGGGTCAGCAGCACAAAAATCTGCAGAAAGCGGGAAAAAACTTGGTCAAGGTTCGACCCCGTTGCAAAGATTGTAGAAATTGGCAAGACTAAAAAATGATTGGTATGCGGTTTGTCGCCTTTCTCCTCTTGCAACAACTTTTGCTCCAAGGATCTCAACTCGACCGTTGCCATTTCTATCCACGATCTCAAAGAGTTGTTGCCAGCGCCTCTCTCGTCTTGGATCTTGGTCAGGACCTGAAGCTAGCGACAGATGTGCGGAACAACGAGGACACCACGCAAGGACCTCAGTTCCCTGGGACCTAAGGGCGCAACCGCTCTGGATCTTGAAGGGCCCTCCATATAGGCGGCTGAAGCGGCTATCCTTGGTGCCAAGAGATGCCCACACTTGCGAAAAGCAAACTGCACCGGAACTGCACCCATTCCGTACCTGTCCTGCAGTCTGTGGGTGCTGTAAACTTTAAACATCTTTAAACAACAATTGCAACATATTGCAACCATTGGCTACGCCTGGCATCACTTGAACCAACTGAGTCTTTGCACGCCATGCTTCGATCACCGCCTGAAGAATGTGGCAGCGTAGTGCAGCAACACATCCAGCGTGGGTTGAGCACATTTCGTCGGAGGGCTCTGGCCTTGGTTTCTCACGGCTCCTACAGTTGTTGGGTTCGACCTCAAATTTCATGATTTATCATCGTCCCCGCTACCATTTGGAGGGTATACAGCATTTTTAGACAAACTTCAAGTTATGGAAGACTTGACAAATCTTGATAGAGCTCCACTGCAGCTGCATTCTCATCTGAAAGCTTTTGTCAACTTTCCAACAAATCCATACAAATCCAATGATCAAAGTTTGGTTCATAGATTCGTCACCCATCACAGTTACACTTCCCCCGGGCTGACCTCTTCAACGGATCACGCGCCCACTGGGAGGGCGCTGCACAGGTCGCCAGAACTGTCAGAGATGCTTTCACTGGGTCCAGGCCTCTGCTTTCGCCAGCATAGAAACCTGCGACCGTGACGACACGAAAGAGAAGACACGACATTCTCCGAGAGAAAAACGCTCGAAACGCCATGCACTGCTAATAAAAAAGAGCCATGACGAGCCTGCCAGTGCACTAAAGCATTCCAGCAAGTTGCAGACTGCACAACGGTACAACCTAAAGCGGAAAAATCGGAAAACAAAGCGGCATGACGCAAGAAGGCAAGAAGGCGAGGTCGGCTTAAGCCTAAACAACAAAACCATGTAAACTTCAGCCCAGAAGTATCTTAGGCAAGATTCTCGAAGCCCAGAGGTCCCAATGCTACACTGGCATCTTCATGACTTTCCTCAGGCTGAGTCACGTGTCTGTCTGTGGACTGGAACAAACAGGTAGAGGGTTCATCATGGTTCATCATTGTTCGTCATTTCCCCTGCAGGGTACTGTTTCTTTGAACCAAGCATCCTACTTGCTCTGAAGACATTCTCTTTGGACATATGGGTATAGGTCAATTTTGATTGCGCCCCAACATGCTTTAAGGTCCTCAAAATGATCAACAAAGTATCGGTCAATTTGTAGCCTAAGAACTTTGACCCATACCCAAATATCCCAAATCCCAAGCGTTGCTGGTTGTATTAACTTTTCTCCCCATCTGTGATGCTTAGATCCCTTAGTTCCCACCATTCCAAGTGTCTGAGAAGGCTTTCCGCCACTCATCCCAGTCGATACCCAGTTCTCTCAGCAGACCAGCCAGGTCAGTAGACACCTGATTTCTTATAGCTTTTACCATTTGGTCCGGCAGACTTTCCCTTCAATTCAGGGATATTTGGAGGATATAAATATGATATGGGTATGGATCAATACCTATGAAAATACCATTTTTAGGGGAATGACCATCCATAAATCCCAGCTATTTTGATGTGAACTACAGGGGTACAAAGTTTTGACACACTGCCATATAAATCTGAGTGAACATGTTTTCAACTCTCAAAGACGAACCCCGTCCCACTCGTGGTTCTTCGTTCTGCCTCAGGGGCTGTCAAGCATGATGCTGCCGCACTTAGCAACTGCACTGCTTCCTGCAACTCCATTTCCAAATCTGGATCCTCCGCATCGGTGCCACAGATACTGAAGGAAGAGGATCCACGAGCATGGGGCAATTCATTATGGTGATAATCACTGATACAGCCTCAATAAATCAGTAGCACCTTTTTCTGCATCTGTCTCCAAATTTGGAAGGCCTGAGATTTTTCTCCACTTCAATCAGAAAGCTGATTGATGATAAACCACTAGCTGGAATAGGGTTCCAAATCTGAAACCTCCCCTCCACGCCCGAAGGAGCCGCAGCACCCCGGACCCGGCTCCTGGGGTCGGAGGCTCTGTAGCATGTGCAGGAGGCTCCTTTCGGCATCCTTGGAATCTTTGCCTCGCAGGTGGGGGCTCAACTGCTCCAATGGACCAATGTGTTCATCGGAATCGGCCAACAATCGAATGGACGCCATTCGTGGAACTTGGCTAAAGTCGATCTTGAACACTTGGACTTCACCGGTGAAAATCATGTTTGCAACAGAGTTCTTCACTTTGAAAAATAGCTGGAGATTTCTAGGAAAATTACTGAAAATGAGACAATCCCATATTTCATGGTAAATATATGATGGGTTCCTACATTTTTTCCCAAGAAAGCCTCATCCCCTGAGGGGAGTTCTCGCCTTGAAACAGCTGGATCACGGCTGTGTGTCGTGCAGCTTCGATGTCGGGTGCACCAAAAACTGCTCGCACTTCAACATGTGCCACGCACTCGGCCCCACCCTCGCGTACCTGGATATTATTGGTGATCGTGGTACCATGGCGACATGGCGATGATATTATTGGATAAAATTAGTAGTTGACCATCCCAGATCATCCGATGAACCAGCCCAATATGCCCAATATTCATGAGCTAGGCATGCGGGGATCTCATGATTTGACGAGATCTGGAATGATAAGTTGACTGCAACCTCCACTTGGCCACTTGGGGACGGTGCAAACCCCACTGGAAAAATGAAGTGTGATTGATTCATCTCGGTTGACCGGAGAAGATTCACAGATGCAGTACATTGCAGTACAGCCAGTTCGGTTTGCTGTGCTGCATCATTCACCTTATGTCTATCCCGCCTTCAGAGTAAGTACTCGGCTTGCTGTGCTGCCAAAGCCAGTGCTGCTTGGTGTCACAGTCAAAAAATCCAGCAATGCGAGCAGCGAGATAATTTCAGATAGACTTCCCGGTGCTGTCCTGCAAAATGCAGAATAAGCTCAATTAGCTTGTGCCCAGTAAGACTATCGTGGAATGAGACTCTGAAGCAAGGGATGCACGTCACCGTGACTATCCTGGAAAAATGGAGCACCATGAAGCACCTATGCGGATGCTACAGCTTGGTCCTCTCCAGCTTGCCTTGATGTACCTCCTCCACCCCCTTCTGAGAGACACAGGCTGAGAACCACTGGGATGTGATGAAGCCGATTGAAGGGCTTGGTTCCTTGGCTGAAGGCACAGCTGGTGGCTGGATTGCAGGGTCTCTATGTTCGCATGTGTCCTTCTCCTTGTCGTGCCACGCTTCATCAAACTGCCAACATGGTTTCGCTAAATTCCCGAAAACTCAGCTCTACTAGTACCTCCATTCCTCACCGAGTTCAAGCTGTAACAGTGGAAGCATGGTGACAAGGCTCTGAGGGAAGCCCCGACTCCAAGCAGACTAACCTCAGATACACTTTTGGAAATCAGTAGATGACCCGGTTGATCACCAGTGCATTCAGACTATGACTAAGCTGGCCAGCTGGCATTGGAGTCCAAGTGACAGGTTCCTATCAGCTGTTTGTAGCCGATTTGAGATATAGTCCGTGCCCTTCACATGCAGGGATTCCACCTAAGCAAGTCGCAGGGCGCAGCGATGGATTGTTCTCTGGTCTCAAGCCACGATCATTCGTAGAAAATCCAAGGGTTGGAGACTGTGTGTAAACCTTGCCATTCCTAGATGTTCTACTTGCATCAATTGTCAATTGCTTCGAGTTTGATGTGAGTCGTGATGTTTCCTGGCTGTGTCTCATTCTTCATGGCTGGTTTATCGCATGAAAAAGTGTCGAAAAATAGCACACCATGATTTAGACATGATTCTTCATCTGCACTTCTGATAAAAAAATGCTGGTGAATAAGCCTTTTTTATATGGCCATAAATTTCTTGGCCAGCACCATTGCTGGCCCTGGCCCTGATCCTGGCCCATTTCTGGGATCCTCACTTGGCGTAGCTTGAAGGACTCCAGTGATGCCATGGATCCCTGGGCCGGCTCGGCGCCAGGATCTGCCCAGCCACCGTAGACAAGCACCACGTCTTCTACGAATTGGAGCTCCTGGCTCCATGGGAGAAATAGACAGCCAAGTGGAAACGTTACCCTCTGGTGATTTAACATAGCTATGGAAAATCATGAGTTGTAATAGCTAAATAATCTATAAATAGCCATTTTCCATGGCGATGTTAAATTGTCAGAGGGTAATAAGCCGTGAAGGTATGATCTTTATGAATGGTGTAAGCGGTTAGCAAATGTTAATATGCAATTATAATCTTTATCACGTGTAAGCGGTTAATAAATCTTAATAATCCAGATATGATATGGGTGTGAAATAGTTTTAGGAATTTTTTTTTGAGCAGGTTTGGGAATTTTTTTTGGATTTCTTGGCTGGTACCATTTGCCTAGTGTTTGCAACGGTTTGGAACTTGAATTTGTCATTTTGCATGGTATTTGCCACATTTGGGCATGTTCACCTTCCATTTTGCATGGGATTTACTACATGTGGGCATGTTCACCTTCCATTTTGTGTGGTATTTGCCACATTTTGGCATGTTCACCTTCCATTTTGCATGGGATTTCCTACATGTGGGCATGTTCACCTTCCATTTTGTATGGTATTTGCCACATTTTGGCATGTTCACCTTCCATTTTGCATGGGATGTTCTACATGTGAGCATGTTCACCCAAATATTTACAGATGCGGAAGCTTGGGATTAGATAAAAAGCGGGTGGGGGGGATTGAGGGAGGGCGCTAGCTATCTATCCAGCTAGCTAGCTATCTAGCTATCTAGCTAGCTATCTATCTAGCAAGCTAGCTATCTATCTAGCAAGCTATCTATCTATCTAGCTATCTATCTACCTATCTAGCTAGCTATCTTGCTAGCTATCTATCTACCTATCTAGCTATCTAGCTAACTATCTATCTAGCTATCTAGCTATCTAGCTTTCTATCTATCTAGCTATCTATCTATCTAGCCATCCAGCTGTCTATCCAGCTATCTAGCTATCGAGCTATCTAGCTATCTATCTATCTAGCTATCTAGCTATCTAGCTTTCTATCTATCTAGCTATCTATCTATCTAGCCATCCAGCTGTCTATCCAGCTATCTAGCTATCGAGCTATCTATCTAGCTATCTATCTATCTAGCTAACTATCTACCTATCTATTTAGCTATCTATCTATCTATCTATCTAGCTATCTATCTAGCTACCTCTTTATCTATCTAGCTAGCTATCTATCTATCTAGTTATCTATCTAGCCATCTATCTATCTAGCTATCTATCTAGCCATCTATCTATCGAGGTATCTAGCTATCTATCTCTCTAGCTATCTATCTATCTAGCTGGTTATCTATCTATCTAGCTATCTATCTAGCCATCTATCTATCTAGCTATCTATCTAGCCATCTATCTATCGAGGTATCTAGCTATCTATCTCTCTAGCTATCTATCCATCTAGCTGGCTATCTATCTATCTAGCTATCTATCTACCAAGCTATCTATCAGCTATCTATCTATCTATCTATCTATCTATCTATCTATCTATCTATGTAAACCTGTCAGCTTTCCAGAGAAGGTTAGTTCGCAAAAACCAACTAATGTAACTTGGGTTTAAGTTTAAATTAAAAAAAAGCGGGAGGGGGGGATTGGGGGGAGGGCGCAGCGCCTCCCCCAAAGCAGAATGCAAGCACCTCTTCTCACATGTTACGTTGCTAGTTTTCAAGAGAAGGTTGGTCATGTGATACTCAGGGATGTAAATACTGTGCAAAATGCATCTTACATGAAAATCAAGTATTTAAAGCAGGCAAAGCAAAAAAAAAAGCAGAGAAGCAAAAAAGCAGAGAAGCAAAGAAACAGGAAACGCACAAAAGCAAAACAGCAGAAAGGCAAAGAAGCAGGAAAAGCAGAAAAGCAGAGAAGCAGGAAAAGCAGGAAAAGCAGAGAAGCAAAGAAACAGGAAAAACAGAAAAGCAAAAAAGCAGAAAAGCAGAGAAGCAGAGAAGCAGGAGAAGCAGAAAAGCAAAAAAGCAGAAAAGCAGAGAAGCAGAGAAGCAGGAGAAGCAGAAAAGCAAAAAAGCAGAAAAGCAGAAGCAGGAGAAGCAGAAAAGCAAAAAAGCAGAAAAGCAGAGAAGCAGGAAAAGCAGGAAAAGCAGGAAAGCAGAGAAGCAGGAAAAGCAGGAAAAGCAAGCAGGAATCCAAAAATAATTCCTAAACCTGATCAAAAAAAAAATCCTAAAATAATTAGCCCTCCTTGTAAAAGTGGTTCATAAGCTGTTAAGCCTGTTGATATGACTGGGGTAACATCACATTATATATATATATTATATATATATACATATTATTATAGCACCCATCTACAACTGGGTCATGAGTCGTAACTTCATAACCATGTGTTGGCCAGTTAGTGCCTGGAATGCACATCCAAGTTTCCTTTTGATGCCTTTTTCCTGGCGCCAACTGAAGGTCCCATCCTCAACCTACTGGCATGAAACAGACATGCCAATATCTGCACACTTTCAGAGGTGGAAAATTGGCACATTCAGCCTGCACAGGCAGAAAAACGACCAAGTCACTGCACATGAAAACGGTTGCTTGCAAAGCAGCCGATGTTTGTGCTGCTCACCGTCTTCTGAATTGGTCACAATGCACTAAAGGGAACCTCCACAGAATGCCGTACCTTTTGATTGATATCCACAAAGTGGACGTTCATCGACAAGTCTCCAACTTCATGAACTGCAAAGCCGTAGGCCGATTCGCCCCATTTGAACTCAGTGCAGTTGGAGCATTGTTTGAACGGGTGCAAACCCATTCCACCAACGCCATTGCCAAAGTGATACAAAGGCTTGTCCTTTTCCAGGAAGTGCTGCATCACGTGGTCATGGCCGTGCAAGAAAACAACCTCAATAGCAACGCAACGCCAAGTCATCTAAGCCATTCCCACTGTCTGACCCATATCCTTAGTATCACCATTATATCATCATTTTTTGATATGTTTTGCGCAAAATATCCCCATCCAGGCGAAATACCCTGCTGCAATTTAACATAGCTATGGAAAAATGACCCATGTATAGATGACCTACTAAAACTGATAATTTTAGATAGCTATATTGGTGAAAATGCCAACCAAAAAAAATATCTTCAGAACCTTAATCATCCAGATGTCCAAGTCACTGGTTTTCCCTTCATCGCTAAAGATTCCTTCAGTTTCTGAGCTGCAGCCTGTTCCGGCGGAGTCGCCGATGGCCCGGGCCCCCGGGAGGCCAAGCTGCGAATGGGGCGATGGCCTACCACGACCTCCGACGTACGCGACAACGGGAGATGTGGATGTGGAGTTGTCCAACACTGGGGTAGATGGGCCATGGAATGTTGAAACTAGTTGGTAAATAGATTACAATTGGGATGAGTGATGAACATGATGATTCATCATGGGTTTTCCTTTGACGTCCCCAATTTTTTGGGGGGACAAAGCCAAATCGGATGATCTGCAGCATGACTCATCTTCTCCGACACGCCTGCAAAACGGCATTCGGCGACTCGCCATAACTGGCCTTGGAGAACACTCTATCAACCACCTTCCTGCACTACCAGTCACTACCAGTCCTTCGCGCACTACCAGTCGCCCTGTTTTGACATGTCGACTGTCCAAGATGCAGAGTGCTTCTCGATCCACTCCCACTGACGTTTGCCAGCTTCCAAGCCAGCAAACTGATCGGTGAGATCCTGATTGGGACTCAGGACCATTATATATATATTATAAATATATATATTATATATATTATATATATTATATATATTATATATATTATATATATATTATATATATTATATATATTATATATTATATATATTATATATATTATATATATTATATATATTATAAATATTTCTTATATATATTATATATATTATATATATTATATATATTATATATATTATATATATTATATATATTATATATATTATATATATTATATATTATATATATTATATATATTATATATATTATATATTATATATATTATATTATATATATATGCTTGTCCAAAAATAGTGGCTACCCCCGTAACTTCCCAAGGTTTATCATGGCGAAAAAAATCGTTTACCCCCTCTCTGGGCGCCTCCTCGAAGCGACGGCCCTCTGGCGCCTCATCCAGCATCCCCCCCTCGAGGCCAACGGAGTCGGTGATCAAAAACTCCAGGTGCTTCGGGCCCACAGGGAATTGGAAGCTGTAGTACCTAAAAAGTTGCCATCCATTTTGGGGGAAACTATCATGATAATTATATTATATTATATTTATATATAGTAATAAATAGTACCCATTTCAGAAATCATTTTGGGGGAAAGTCTCAACAATCATTCTGAAATTTTGCATCATTTTGCATCAGAAATTTGGGGGAAAGTCTCAAGTTCCATTTCACATAATTTCGCAGCCTGTTAGCCTGTTCTACAACAAAAAAATGATGATGAAATGCTAGGGCGGTGCGGGGAAGGCAGCTGCCACTTGTCGTTCTGCCACAGCAACATGGCACTAATGTTGCCACGATGATCGTGGTCACCGAGCGACACCTCCAAGCAGTCGATGGACAGCGAACTGGAAGCCATGGTCCATTTATGGATGATTTTCCTGGTGATTTATAGATGATTTGCCTGTCATAGATGATTTTCCTTGTCAAAGATAGTTAACAAATTTAAGAATAGTTCATGTATATATATATATATATCTGAATGATTCTTAATGTATATGTTAGAGTGCAATCTGTCTACTTTTTGCCCCGGAGTTGTGATCTGAACGTCATCAAACGTCCCACCTGCCATGGGAGTTCTTCCAAGTGACCACGTCGATACACATCAACCTCAGGAAGAACTAAGTCAACTAAGCGTGTGCCAGCGTAGGATCACCTGTCTGGTACCATGATGGTCATAACTGCCATCAATCCATGGAAATGCTGGAGATGTTGGAAATGCTGAAAAGTGGCAAATGATTCTTTGAACTGCGGATCTTCCAAATTCTTGACCTCGCGAACATCCAGACTTGGAAACTCAAAAGGTGTCCGTTTCCCAGAAACGAGAAAAGCCGGAATTTTGAGTTTCACAATGTAATTGCGACCAAGTCACACCACGGATGTAGAAGTTATCCTTGATCCACAAGGTTCCCAAAAAGTTGGAGCTCTACAGCCATTTCAGTGCCAAACAGGCCATGATTTCTCTGGGGTCTAGACTCCCAAAGACAGGATGAACTTGGGTTTCAAGGTCGCTGCCAGCTTGTCCATCACATCTGCTACCAGCTTCCTCGACTGCCACTTGAGTATGGCTCATGAGTGATGAGCAGAAAAACATGGCCATCTCATCGTTTGTATTGAACCATCCCAACTTTGGGGACTTACCCTCTGGACAACATACAAAAAACTATGGAAAATCACCATGTTTAATGGGAAAATCCACTGTTTCTATGGTCATGTTCAATAGCTATGTAACAAATTACCAGAGGGTACCCATGTCGAGAGGCTGATTCTGTGCACCGCAGCCCCAGTGACCAATACCACCTGCGTCTTCCAAGTCACCCGCCTCAATGCGGTTGGTTTAAGGAAAATTTGACAGGAAACCATGGTTTTTACTGCCAATTGGATGTGGGTCAAAATGGAAGACCTAGGGGACCACAGATGTTAGTCTAGTTTAGTATTAACCATCCATAATTTTGGGGTACCTAATTTTGACCCATACCCAATTATAGGGGGTTCCTGTAGATTTTCCAAACCCACACCGGGACTGCCGTGGTTTTGCCATGGAATCTCTGCTTAAAATGGCTTTGGCCAAAGGGGATACCTCAATTTATGATCACTTTAACAAGGAAAATATCGGGAAATGATGATAAACCATAGGAACACATAGGAACTCTGGAGTCCCCAAATTTTGAACCCAAAATTCAGACTGCAGCACTAGTGGCCTTGTAGGCTTTCTCGCAGGCAGCTACACCAAAATCACCCAGAGAGAAGAAGTAGCTCATTCCCTCCTTCGGAGTTCCTGGAGATTCCAAAGGACTTTGCTGTTGGACAAGATGCATACTGCAGCACAAGAATCCACTGCTCAACGGCCCAACCTGCAGCAATGTGGTCATTCTCCACAGATAGTTGTGGAGCAGAGACATGGTGCCTCCCCGTGTTGGTACAGGCCCACAGGTCCCGGGCACTCATACTGTGAGCCATGATTCCTGAACATCATTCCTCCAGCCTCACTAGCAAGACACCGACGAGAACCATGACCGTAAGCGTCGCGATGACCCAAGGCAGTTTCAATTTGACCTCAGTCAGCCCTTGCAAATCATAGCAAATCACGGCATTTCGAGGTCAGTCACCTTCTTTGATCCAAGGAGCACGACTCCTCAAGTCAGAGTGCAGCAGCCACAAGGCTTTGGAAAGCTCTTTTTGCAGCCAAGCCATGACTCAAAAAGTCGGGGAAAAACGCCGCGCGTCAATATGTTTTTCGTGGTGTATACTGTCTGTAGCAAGTCCTCGAATGATCTGGGTCATGTTGTTCTGGCAGGAAGCCAGGCTGTTGCCCATGTTGTCTGCTTCCCAGCACTGGGGCACCAGGCTAAAAGTTGAGACTCTTCCGTTCACTTTCCTATGGTCTCTAAAGCCAACGCTGCAAGCGCAAGGTGGTGTCCACAAATGACCGATGATTGTGACACGAATTCTTTGCTTGCACCATCTGATTGATGAGTATCTGTCTCATTTATGTACATAAAGGTATCCGGTTTACACTCTGGGTTCCGATGCCAACACATACGGATACCGACACAACATTCAGAGCAGAGACATGGCCACAAGCGTGGACCTGGACAAACCTACTGTTGCCAATGGGCATCTGTTGTTGTCACTTCTCCTTGCAGATGCGTTTTTCACATGTCACATAATCTCTTTGTGCCTACTAGGTCCAAGTGACAATAGTTGTATGGTGTTGTATGCCAAAAATTGCCAATATCCGCTCCATCTTATGGTCATCACAGAAGGAAAGAACAGAATATATAATATGATTTCAATACTGTTGCTGATATCTCCCATTTTTCGTATCACCATGATATCCCATTTTTTCTGGGTAAACTCCCGTGGTTTTCCAATGGTAAACCCCATGATGACTTCCACCTGGAATTGCAGCTTCGCTGGTGGACCAGGGTCTCGATGCAAACGTCGTCTCACGCTGCGGAACCTGACGAAATAATCTCAGCGGCTGCTGATGGTCGGAGTTGTTGGCAGTGGGAACTGCCACATACTTATTGGTTGAAGGGGCACAAATGTTGTATACATATTATATATATATACATATATAACATTATATGATGTGTATTATATATATACCCATAATATACATATGCCATTTTATGCCAATAGCTATTTCGAGATATTGTTGGCTAAGGTCTAAAACACGATGGACCTGACAGCATTGTCAGGCCATATTCATCCTGCTTCCTTGATCGGGACTCCAAGCGTCCTTGAGGATGTCCAATTTTCAGTTGGTTACGAGTACCAAAAAACATGAAAAACATGATATCCTCATGTTTGTTGGTTGAAACCCCATATGATTGTTGCTTCAATCCCACTAGTTCATGACCCGAATCATGATGGCTGGTTAAATACCCATCATATCCCCATCATCTCCCCATAAATTCATGGATGTTATCCTATGTTATCCCATCTTTTGCAGTTTTTTTCAGCGGTCAAGCTGCGAAAAATCCAGGTTTTGGTCATCCATCAGCAGCAGTGACATAGCCGCAGGTCAGCCCCAGGGCTTGGGCCATCCAAATTCTGCAGAAGTCACGGTTGAAGTCACGGTTCGGTTCGGGAAGGATACCGGGCAGTGCAGGTAGCCAAAAATCTTGAACGATTTTTTTCCAGCACAGAGAAGCCAATCTTAGCTCCTGAACGCTATTTTGAATTTGGGGTTTTAAAAGGAGGTTGATAGTGGTAGGACCGGTGGAATGGAGATTCATTTTTCGAGACAAACCCAAATATCAGAGGAATGGCTTGAGCACCTGCTCTGATACTTCGACAAGTTGCAGTTCTGGAGACCTGAAATCACTGATCCTTCCAACTTGGAGCCCCCCGAAATTCTGCGATGTGAAAACAAAAAAATGCGCGAGTGGAAATTGAAACTTCAATGCTTGCCATCATTCACAGTTCAGAGCCTCTCTCAAAATGTTGGGAATCAGTTTCTCAGCTACCTCCCCGTGGAATCCCGGTTGATTCGTATGAAGATTCTATCCAAAGATATCCAAAGAACAACATGAAACGCTGGGGGGGTAAACATTGTGTCGCAGAATTGTCGATGCAACGCACATCTTTTTATCAACCTTCGACACCAAGAGTTTATGCTTCTACCTGGCACAGCAAACTGTGTGCGTTGCTTGACAGCATCGGTCAGTCGATGCTGTCCAAGCAACTGCTGATTCTGTGAGTTAGCCTGTCTGATCCAATGTTGGCTCACAATGGCAAGGCCTTTGGAGCTAGCTCTGCTTTCGATGATTTGCCAGTTTTACCTCAGATCGCCAAAAGCGATCTAACCGATTCATGGAATTACTCAGAATCTGATATTCTAAAGTTAGCTGTCGACTGTCGGCCACCCTTTCATGCTACTGTGTATATATACACACACATATATATTATGTATATATATATATTATGTATTTAGATGTATTTAGATTCAACATTATGTTATTCTCCTACCAACAAGTGACTCAACAGCTGCCTTCAATTCCATATGTATGTTATGTGTGTGTGTGCATCAACCCAAAAAAAAATAGAAACATAAAATCCTACTGAAGTAGTGGCAACTTCTAACTTTTCGAGGGTTACTTTACATACTCTTGGCTACTGGGCAGTCTGCGATGCATGTAAATAGAGAAACAGCCGTGTCGCTTGCTGTCCAGACACTCCGTGAGACTTCCGATGCTGGCTCTTCTTTTTGTGGACTTTGCCAGCTTCCTTTCTGCGGTTTTGTTCATGGCAAAACTTAATCGCTAGCCTGGTGCCTTCGAATATGATCATGTATCTATAATTATCTATCTACACTTCTGATATCCGAAGCTTTGATGGTGCTTTGAATTGCAATTGACACAAATAGACTAGGCATGCATTCGAAGGCTCGTCTTTCTCTCACCATTCACAGAAAGCTACTGCGAAATCCTGCCTCTGTTCTTTGGGCGTGGGTTGTCTTCGCATGAGGGTCCTGTGATTTTTGAGCAGAGAAACAAAGTATCGCATCGGACAAAAGCATACAAAAAGCCATATAAAATCATAAAACCTCAACTCAACAATCTGCCAACTCCCTTGATGGCGTTGCCACGTGACAGGATCACATGTCTGACAGAGTCATTGGTCCTTGACTGCCATGTTCGATGCAATTTTTCTAGCCCGTAGCTCTCCCTGCGCATCCAATCTGAGGTTCACTGGACGTGTCTCATCAGTAGGTATGGCAGGTATGGTGAGCAGAGTCAGCAGAGTCACTCACCTCAATGTGCTTCAACTGGTTCTTCAGACCCAGCTCTTCCTGCAACAGTGAAGCTGTTTATATATATATAAATATATATATATGTTTCTCGAGCTGTTTATCCGCTTGAGGGACACAGCGGATATCTTGATCTCCTCCATCTCGTGTTCCATCTGCTTCTGGTCCCAAGCAACTTGGGCCTCCAGCTCCCTGATCTTGCGTGCCAAGGACACCTGCGACAGCAGGTGCCACATGGGAATTTGGTGTCAAACCTTTACCCTCTGGTAATTTAACATAGCTATTGAAAATGGCCATTTATAGATGGTTTACCTATTAAAAATGGTGATTTTCCATTGCTATGTTAGTTTACCAGAGGGTACAACATGCCTCATGTCTGTTTGCGTTGGGCTTGTCCTTGTGCAGTTCCTGCGTTTCGACCTTCCAGACCAGGTACCATGACGACTCAGCCATGAACTGTGGCTTTGGCCAGGGCATTGCCAGCGATGCAAAGCGCATCGCACCTGTTCTGTGATGGCTGCCTGGACCGACTGGAGAGCTGCAGTCCTGCGATATGACACATCTGTAATGTGACACTTTCATTGTAAAACAACATGTTGGAAGGTTCTTTAAAAAATGGTGACCCATTTCAATCCTCCAAAAAAACGCCATTCGTAATAGGAAAACAATAATATCTTTGCGAGGTCCCCATGAGAAGAAACCCCCATCTTTGGACATGTTGATCTCCTCGTGCTTTGGAGCTGCTCTGAGGACATAGTCCCCACAGTGTTTTGAACTTCCTGCGCTTCGGGTCCCACAGACTTGGTGACTGTTGATATCCACTGGAATCCATGTGAGCCATTAAAAATACCCCTATCCCATCGCATGATTTTAGTTGGTTAATAGGTTTCCCTACGATGGCTTAATCCCCAATAAATTAGGTAGTATAGATCCCTGAAGAACTATGTTATGTAAATGGGTTATAATCCCCTATATGGATTCGGTCATAATCACACCCAATTAACCAGTCAACCATCAGTTATCAACTACAATCCCCAATACATCCCCATATAAATCCCCAGAAATGTTCCATAAATCACCATAAATCTATATAAATCCCTATAAATCCCATATAAATCCCTAGAAATTTATAGCTTACCATGCCAAAAAAAATGCCTCTTTTTCCTCGCCTCAGCCACCTCCATCGCCACTTGTCGTGCCCCAGCCGCCAGGGCTCGGATCTGTAGACTGGGCGAGTCCTCAAATCGGGAAATCTGTGGAGGAAATCCATGGGAAAAAAATTGTGATTTATAGTGGATTTTCCCATTGAAAATGGTGATTTATAGTGGATTTTCCCATTGAAAATGGTGATTTATAGTGGATTTTCCCATTGAAAATGGTTTATAGTGGATTTTCCCATTGAAAATTGTGATTTATAGTGGATTTTCCCATTGAAAATGGTTTATAGTGGATTTTCCCATTGAAAATTGTGATTTATACTGGATTTTCCCATTGAAAATGGTGATTTATAGTGGATTTTCCCATTGAAAATGGTGATTTATAGTGGATGTTCCCATTGAAAATGGTGATTTATAGTGGATTTCCCCATTGAAAATGGTGATTTATAGTGGATTTTCCCATTGAAAATGGTGATTTATAGTGGATTGTCCCATTAAAAATGGTGATTTATAGTGGATGGTGATTTACAGTGGATTTTCCCATTGAAAATGGTGATTTACAGTGGATTTTCCCATTGAAAATGGTGATTTACAGTGGATTTTCCCATTGAAAAATTTACAGTGTGATTTACAGTGGATTTTCCCATTGAAAATGGTGATTTACAGTGGATTTTCCCATTGAAAATGGTGATTTATAGTTGATTTTCCCATTAAGAATGGTGATTTACAGTGGATTTTCCCATTGAAAATGGTGATTTACAGTGGATTTTCCCATTGAAAATGGTGATTTATAGTGGATTTTCCCATTGAAAATTGTGATTTATAGTGGATTTTCCCATTGAAAATGATGATTTTCCATAGCTCTTTGTATGTTTACCAGAGGGTATCATGTGGAATAGCATGCCTCGAGTCATTTCCCTTCCAGTCGTCATGTCCAGGAGTCCAGTCCTGGGTCTGATCTGGCTCGAGCTTTTCCTTGTCTTCCATATCAATCAGCGACACGGCCTGAAGGAGACTCCCACTTCTTCGAAGCTTAGCTTAGCTATCGTTCCACAATGTGGAAGTGTTTTTGATTCGAAATGTCACAGTACCTACTCTTCCCTTCCCGCCAGCATTCGTTGCAAGCAACCAAGCAAGGCAGCCTTTTGAATTGCCGAGTGCTTGTGGGTCTTTGCACGTCGCTTCCTTGCACAGCAATGGTCACGTTTTTTCCTTTGCCAAATGGACCCGAATCTTTCCTGACTCTGTCAAACACGACATCTCTAGGCCGAAATGGTATGTGATCTACATCTCACAGTGCACAAGAGAAAAAAAACGAAAAAAAGCTGAGCAATGCCAAGCGACTTGTGGTGGTTCCGTTCCAAGCTTTTCGTTGCCATGTCTGCCTGCACACCTTCAGATTTTCGCCTCAGTTTCCAGTTGGGGATGGCATGGCTACTTTGATGTGAAAAGCAGGGTGCCAGGCTTCTGATCCCTTCCCAATTTCAATTCACCACAGATTCTCAAAATTGGGAAACCCATTTTAGGGTCATCATCATGTCTTCCATATTTGTTCCATATGTTTTCCATATGTGTTCCATATTTTTTCCATGTCATCATCATTTTTTCATATGTGTTCCATATTTTCCCTTTGAAAACAGCCACATCTTTGATCCATTTTTTGGATCCTGGTCCAAGAGGCTCCGTCGACAGTTTCAAGTCCTGGCCGACAAAGCGAGTGGATCATCCATGAGGTCAATCAATGATGACTAGCTATGAGTAGCTATCATCATATCACTATGATCATTACTGTAGTCTATGTCATTATATGTCTATATTTACTGACTATCATTAATTATATCACTGACTATTATCATTATTATCATTAATTACTGTAGTCTTCTGTAGTCTATATATATATGTCTATATTAGTCTCATGTTTATCATTGTCAATCTCATTATTGTCATTGTGATTTGGAGGAGTAGGATGATGATGGCTCCAGCTCCCTCAACTGCTTGATATCATCTCGAAGTCGAAGCTCCGCCTCCTGCAAAAAGTTTTAGAGTTGCCGTGCTGAACAAATTGCATTTCAAATGTCTTCGAAATCGAATGTTCAAGGATGTGAAAGGTCATTTTCGGTATATACCCATTGAATCCCATTGATGATTTTCCCATTGAAACCTCCATTTTTCGTGGATTTTCCAGCCATGTTTGATTACCCCCCTCCGGTATACGCACGTGGCTAGGGCAGAACATGCCGTTGTGCAGCGCTAAAAATTGGCTCACGCTCCTTGAACGACACTTCCAGATTCGCCGTGTGCGACGGAGCGTGTTCCGCCTCACGGGCCTCGAAGTGCTCAACATGTCCTCTTCAGGATGAAGGATTTGAGCAACGGTTTGTCATGGTTTGTCAATGGTTTGTCAACCGGCTCTGTCAGAATTGGGCACTGTTTTATGTCTTACATTGATGATGGTTAGTCAGTTCTCAATACTTTGCGGTCACTGTTTTCAGACAAAGCCACATGATGCCGCATGACATGTATTCACATCAGTTTCCAATGATGTTCCATGATATTCCAACATGTGCCAAGCACCCCAATTGCCTACTGGGCCTACTGTGTGCGCTCCTTTCGCGTCAACGGTGGAGCTGAGCTGTATAGCTGGCTCCTGCTTCCAGCTTGTGAGCACTTGTGGGATCAAAGGTCACAATAATGGTATCCTGGTGTGCCTAAATTACTAAAGCTCCCTTCCACAGAAAGTGTAAAATCTACAGCTGAAGCGTCATCACAGACATGGCCCATGGCAGCAACATCAAAAAGAAGAAGGTTTGGAACTTGGACATCTGGAGCAGTTGTTTCACGACCAAGCATGGTTCACATTCCAAGGTGCAGTAGCCACTCTTCAATTGTCCTGTCCTTTGGCCCGGCAAGGGTTCCCAACACCGCCAGTTTGCCATCAAGGTGAGTTGGAAGACCTGTCTTCCAGTTCGTTCTACGAAATGGCACTGCAAATGTCATCACTTGGGGATGGGTCAAAACCCTGGTACCTAGTGAACCCCAAAATAGCTGGTAAATGGATGTTCATCCCACTAAAAATGTATCTATAGGTATTGACCCATACCCACTTTTTTTTAAAGCCAATCACCAAAGGCTGCAATGTCAAACTGCCTGGAGTTTTCTGTGGTGCACCTGGGAACATTGCCATCTACTGCCACTCTCAACGTATCGTGACATCGTCGACGGAGCTGGGGCCGTGACCATCGTCGAAAATGGCATCGTTCGAATGATGGGATTCACTGGGCGCCTTGGCCTCCAATTGGGTCGACCATGGTCGACCAGAATCCCATGATTTGGGGCCAAGTTTAAGAAACATCTGGCGTTCCTTTAGGAGAATACGGAGCAAACATCAAACAGATGGGATTTAAATGAAAACTTTATACATGATGTGTGTTTAGAATGATCATCTTAATCCTAGATATCAAACATCTATAGGATAATCTAGAACCGCGGGCCTTCACTTTGAAGATTCCTTCAGACGACGTGGGCTCAGACTCGTCCTGTACAAAACTCTGATGTGGTAGAGCTGCAAACCGAAACATGTTGAGCTTGTAATCAATTTGAATCCAAACAACAACCTGTTCCATGTGGCTGCCTGTTTTGACTCATCCTCTGAGCTTTTCGAACCCTGGGAATTCGTCACGTTGCTTCTGATCTTTGAGTCTGACGACTCTGAGGACTCTGACGACTCCTCCTGATGGTTGCAAAAAAAGTCATGCCTTTGAGCCTTTGGTTTTGAAAACAGCAGAAAACATTGGTCCTGATCTACTTCTTCTGCTTCTTCTTCATCCTCATCAGTCACCTGGAAGCCAAAAAAAACAATTAATAAACTCATGTCTGACAGAAATTATCCTCAAATAAACATCTGGAAACCGAAAACGGTACTTCCTTGATAAGTGGCAAAAGATGCAAGGAGTCAATCAAAAACCAAGAGAAACATCAGCCATTCTGTAGCAAAAAACAGTTGAGCCTTCTGTGTTGCTTCTGATGAGGAGTTTGACCTCACAACGCATCAGGGAAATGATGCTAGCTAACCATGAGATAGCTGCTACTGCTAATCTGAAACAAAGCTGGCGCCGTCTTGCCCCCACGCTCCTCCGGGAATGAGCTCCCAACACTGCTTGTTTGTTGGAAGTGTTTGCGGAGCTTGCGCTAGTGACATTGCTTCTGACCCTCGAGTCTGACGACTCTGAGGACTCTGACGACTCCTCCTGATGGTTGCAAGAAAAGTCATGCCTTTGAGCCTTTGGTTTTGAAAACAGCGGAAAACATTGGTCCTGATCTACTTCTTCTGCTTCTTCTTCATCCTCATCAGTCACCTGGAAACAACAACTAGGACAAAGTCATCACAAAAATTCTATAGCTTGTTTCTGACCACACCACTTCTGACCACTGTTAACCGCGCTTCTGACTAATTCCGACAGTTCCAGCAAGAAGATCAAGAAAGAAGAACCCACACAACTTTGCAGCAGTTGTTTTGGCATCACCAAACAGTTTTGATGGTCTGGCGCAGCACCAAATCTCCAAAAGAAAACATCAGCCATAGTGCCATAGTGTAGCACAAACAGTTGAGCCTTCTGTGTTGCTTCTGATGAGGAGTTTGACCTCACAACGCATCAGGGAAATGATGCTAGCTAACCATGAGATAGCTGCTACTGCTAATCTGAAACAAAGCTGGCACCGTCTTGCCCCCACGCTCCTCCGGGAATGAGCTCCCAACACTGCTTGTTTGTTGGAAGTGTTTGCGGAGCTTGCGCTAGTGACATTGCTTCTGACCCTCGAGTCTGACGACTCTGAGGACTCTGACGACTCCTCCTGATGGTTGCAAGAAAAGTCATGCCTTTGAGCCTTTGGTTTTGAAAACAGCGGAAAACATTGGTCCTGATCTACTTCTTCTGCTTCTTCTTCATCCTCATCAGTCACCTGGAAACAACAACTAGGACAAAGTCATCACATTCCATAGCTTGTTTAGCTTGCTTCTGACCACTTCTGACCACTTCTGACCCCACTTCTGACCACTTCTGACAGTTCCAGCAAGAAGATCAAGAAAGAAGAACCCACACAACTTTGCAGCAGTTGTTTTGGCATCACCAAACAGTTTTGATGGTCTGGCGCAGCACCAAATCTCCAAAAGAAAACATCAGCCATAGTGCCATAGTGTAGCACAAACAGTTGAGCCTTCGGTGTTGCTTCTGATGAGGAGTTTGACCTCACAACGCATCAGGGAAATGGTGCTAGCTAACCATGACGTAGCTGCTACTGCTAATCTGAAACAAAGCTGGCACCGTCTTGCCCCCACGCTCCTCCGGGAATGAGCTCCCAACACTGCTTGTTTGTTGGAAGTGTTTGCGGAGCTTGCGCTAGTGACATTGCTTCTGACCCTCGAGTCTGACGACTCTGAGGACTCTGACGACTCCTCCTGATGGTTGCAAGAAAAGTCATGCCTTTGAGCCTTTGGTTTTGAAAACAGCGGAAAACATTGGTCCTGATCTACTTCTTCTGCTTCTTCTTCATCCTCATCAGTCACCTGGAAACAACAACTAGGACAAAGTCATCACAAAAATTCTATAGCTTGTTTCTGACCACACCACTTCTGACCACTGTTAACCGCGCTTCTGACTAATTCCGACAGTTCCAGCAAGAAGATCAAGAAAGAAGAACCCACACAACTTTGCAGCAGTTGTTTTGGCATCACCAAACAGTTTTGATGGTCTGGCGCAGCACCAAATCTCCAAAAGAAAACATCAGCCATAGTGCCATAGTGTAGCAAAAAACAGTTGAGCCTTCTGTGTTGCTTCTGATGAGGAGTTTGACCTCACAACGCATCAGGGAAATGATGCTAGCTAACCATGAGATAGCTGCTACTGTTAATCTGAAACAAAGCTGGCGCCGTCTTGCCCCCACGCTCCTCCGGGAATGAGCTCCCAACACTGCTTGTTTGTTGGAAGTGTTTGCGGAGCTTGCGCTAGTGACATTGCTTCTGACCCTCGAGTCTGACGACTCTGAGGACTCTGACGACTCCTCCTGATGGTTGCAAGAAAAGTCATGCCTTTGAGCCTTTGGTTTTGAAAACAGCGGAAAACATTGGTCCTGATCTACTTCTTCTGCTTCTTCTTCATCCTCATCAGTCACCTGGAAACAACAACTAGGACAAAGTCATCACAAAAATTCTATAGCTTGTTTCTGACCACACCACTTCTGACCACTGTTAACCGCGCTTCTGACTAATTCCGACAGTTCCAGCAAGAAGATCAAGAAAGAAGAACCCACACAACTTTGCAGCAGTTGTTTTGGCATCACCAAACAGTTTTGATGGTCTGGCGCAGCACCAAATCTCCAAAAGAAAACATCAGCCATAGTGCCATAGTGTAGCAAAAAACAGTTGAGCCTTCTGTGTTGCTTCTGATGAGGAGTTTGACCTCACAACGCATCAGGGAAATGATGCTAGCTAACCATGAGATAGCTGCTACTGTTAATCTGAAACAAAGCTGGCGCCGTCTTGCCCCCACGCTCCTCCGGGAATGAGCTCCCAACACTGCTTGTTTGTTGGAAGTGTTTGCGGAGCTTGCGCTAGTGACATTGCTTCTGACCCTCGAGTCTGACGACTCTGAGGACTCTGACGACTCCTCCTGATGGTTGCAAGAAAAGTCATGCCTTTGAGCCTTTGGTTTTGAAAACAGCGGAAAACATTGGTCCTGATCTACTTCTTCTGCTTCTTCTTCATCCTCATCAGTCACCTGGAAACAACAACTAGGACAAAGTAAGTCATCACAAAGATTCTATAGCTTGTTTCTGACCACACCACTTCTGACCACTGTTAACCGCGCTTCTAACTAATTCCGACAGTTCCAGCAAGAAGATCAAGAAAGAAGAACCCACATAACTTTGTCACATAACCAATCCCCGAGCTACTGTCTGGAAGAAATCCTTTGAGTTTCTGACTGTAGTCTTGGCTTCTTTCGCAGGCTGAGTCTGAATGTCAGGACTCAAACTCATTCATGGACTTTGCACGAGTTGCTTTCAAGCACCAAACAGTTTTGATTTCTGATGGTCTGGCGCATCACCAAATCTCAAAACGGAAAAAACATCAGTCATAGTGTAGCACAAAACAGTTGAGCCTTCTGTGTTGCTTCTGATGAGGCGTTTGACCTTACCAGTACAATGCAATGGCAAGGTGTCTAGGTGTCTTCAGGCAACTGCATGCAAAAACAACCCAAAAACTGTTGCTTCTCTGATGCTAAAGCTTGTGCTCTCTGCCATGCTGAGCCGCTGAGGCACTCAGCTTCAAACACTGTTTGTTGCTGTTCTGATGTCTTTTTATTGGCTGCCTTCTGTGGCTTGTTCATGCTACTGTCCTGACCCATTCAGATGCAAAGACTGCATTGGTCTGACAGTTCGCAAAACATCGCACAACATTTGTGGATTTCTTCAATGATCCCATGATCCCAAAACCATGGGTTTCAATACGTCCAATTTGGCATGATTTGGGATACCCCGATACCCCCCATTTAGATCATTTAGAACAACTGCATTTGTTTCTTTCCCATCTAGGAATCTAGGTCCTCTTCCTCTTCAGTCTCCGCTTGTTCCTGGGCAGCTTTCCTTTCGCGGGGCTTGCGCGCAGCAAGCATCTGTCCTTCCTCTCCTTAGTTGAGCATATTGGGCCAAGGCCAAGGCGCCATTGCCTTGGAGTCATCTTTGTATCTGGAAGTTTCACAGTTTCATGAAGTTTCCAGTTTCCAGAATATAAATATGTATATATAAAATTGTAAAAATATTGTAAATATATTGTAAATATTGAGGCATGTGACTGTCTTGGTCGACATTCTCCTGGTCAGAGCTGCTTCAGTTCAACTTTTTGGCCCTTTGATATCCAACAAATGGCGCTGAGGCATGTCCAGTAAAGAAAATGCAAGTGGTTGGCAAGTGCTTTAGCTTCCAAACGCTTTCACTGCAAGCACCCGGGTCCTCTCCGCCATCAACGACTTCTCCTTCATCATTTAACTCCTCCGCGGGATCTTTGCGTAGTTTCCCCAAGAGGAAACTACGCATGTGCACTGAGTGTGTAATGTCTGAGTGTGCAGCAGTTTGCAGAAAGCCCACACAGGCCAATTGAATCCAATTGAATTGTACCGAACGACCATATTGAGGTTGGGAAACTGACTAAAAGATACCTCAAATACATTTAAATGCCAACTCTCAGGCCTTTGGAATGTCTTCCCCATCTTCCTCTTGTTCCTCTTCCTGCGAATCCCTTTCATTTGGATTCTCACGTCTCGAAGCATCCTGAAATTGGCATGGCGCCCGTTGAAAACATCGGCTGAAGCGACTGGCTGACTGGCTGACTGGCTGGGCTTCTGACTGCAGACCCAACTTTCTTTACCGTCTCCTCAGCTCTCACGCGGAAAAAGGAACTGGTACACACAAAGAATCAAAAAATGCAGAATGATAGACATAGGACAAAATGGATTTGTCTGAAAATGGAAAATATTTCGAACAGTTCTTCGAAGCCAAGGCAGCCACTGGAGCAGAAAGTCGATGTGTTTTCTTCTTAACTCTCTTCGTACTCTTCCTCTTCGTAGATGTGTCTTGCACTGTCTCCTGTCCAAACACTGCTGAATTCCGTTTGAAGATGAAATCTCCCTCCTTGAATTGTCCAAGCAGTGGAGTTTGAAGTCAAAACGTGGCACTCACCCATAAGGGACAAAAAGGGACGAGTTTTTTCAGCATGCTATAACTGGCTATAACTGTTAACTTGACCAAAAAGACAACAGCATAGAGTAACTGGATCCCATCCTCTGCAATGTTCTCCACCAGGCCTTGATGGTCAATTGATGTCAATTGACACATGGTGCAGATTTTTCTGATCTGATGATCTTGAAATCCCCACCTGCTTCCTGGTGTTTGCAATCAAGTACTCGATGCTGCGACCAGTAGTTACCATATTTGGCCTAGCAGAACCGTCTTGAAAAAAAAAAGTTCATGACCTGGAGAAGCTAGATCTCACACCAGCCTGCACGGCATGAAGTGCTGTGTAGAACTCTGCACCTGGATATTCAGTCAACATGATCAACGTCTCAAGACGGATGGTGGCTCATTGTTTGAGATCAAATTTGATGAATATCTGTTGGCCATTGCCCCAATCTTGAGCTATACCCAGTCGATGATTTTCATCAGCCGAGGGCTGCACTTACGGGAGCCAAGCCCCAATCCTCAGACACCATGCTATCAGCTGCTACAATATGCCATATTATGCGTAGTCTGGACGATGCACTGCTTTGAACTAGAGTAACTAGAGACGACAACAAGTGAGTTTGTGCCAAACATGGGGTGTATCGGTATACCCCAAAATTGTTTTTTTTTGGGGGGGAAAAGGATGCTCAATCACTGGATTTTAGGGGTCGTTTTGGACAAGCTCACGATGAATCAATACTGTCAAGATTCCAAATGAACCACTGGAGTTTTGTCCACTAGCGCACATCCTTGCTCGCCAAACCTAGCAAATGTACGCTTGGATGTGCTCTCTCGTCGCAGAATTGCTGTCCATGAAATCCTTCAGCCGATGCAAATTGCCATTGAAACAACTCGAATCATCCAATGCAAAGGCAGAATCGAAAATGTGCGGCCTTTCGGAGAGGTATTTGCACCACCTCGCGCAGAAAGTCAAACGTCGAACGGCGTCCGGTTCGGCATCGAACGGCGTCCGGTTCGGCGTTCGGTTCGACAGCTGAGGGTCCAGCATCATGTCAAGCCCCCAGTCAGACTTGTCATGAATACAGTGCTTGCAGTCGACCAGGATGCTCCTTAACCTGTGTGTTTGGTCTCTCTTGGATCCAACTGAACGAGGAAGCAAAGCCAAGCAACACTGCTGACTTTAGAAGCGGCGCAGTGAGTTCTACAAAGTCGGTGTGCCGGAAGTCGCAACCTGCAAGAGGTTGTACCCTCTGGTACAATTTTCAGTTGGAAATATGAAAAATCCCGAAATTCAAAATGTAAATCATGGTAAATCATGGTGCATCATGGTACCCTCTGGTAAATCACGCAGAAATGAATGGCAAGTCGTGGTATAAGTCATGGTAAATCATCTACAAATGCCGGATTCCCCATTGCCAGCTTTGAACAGTTGGCACCTGGATTTGGCACCTGGATCTTGTTGGGACCTCACTGCGAAAATGGGGGATGAACCCCAAAACTCGCTATTTAATGATGTTCAATGGATGAAAAAGTGAAATGATGCTGAAGCCTCAAATTTGGATAAAGAATGGATAAAGTATCCTGTGTCCATCTGCATCCTATTTTGTTGACAATCCCCAAATGAATGGATGACTCACTGGGTTCATGGCCAGTGAGCTGATGTCCGTGATGAGAATTGTGTCTCTTGGGACTGTGGCCTTGCCGGAAGGCTGAAGAGCAGAGCCCTTGAGTCAGACAGCCAGGTATGCTGGGAGGCCTTCACGACGAATTACGCTGCCAGAGCCATCCTGCATCGTTTGGTTCGTGCTCCAAGGTTACTGGTCTTGTTCCAATGGTTTTTGGGTGCGAAATCAACCCAGTCAACCCAGTCAACCCAGTCCTGCACCAGCGACATGCCTCCCTTCTCAACCTGCGCTCGCAACGGCGCAACGGTGCTGCAAATCTCACGCGCGGAGTCTCGCTGAGGCTTCGACAAAGGTGGGACCAACGATGGCGGAATTGATTTGCCGGGCCATCTCCAAGAATTGCCGGAGGTCTGCCTCAAAATCTTTTTGCCCGGGTAAGAAGTGAAGTACAAAAGTTATGTATGTTAAGTTATATAGGTGAAAAATAGTGAAAATGTGTTCAAGTGCACAAAGACTCAACGGGCTCAAAAAGTGAAGAGGGGAAGCACAACACGATTAGAACTTACACACACACAACAAGCGACTAATGCCCTGCCTTTGACAAATCGATGTCACTATCCAAAGCCCAAACAAATTCGTAGCGCTTCTCCCAATCTCCTGCCTCACAGCAGCCAGTACCACAAAACAGCCAGGGATAGCCAGGGACAAGTATAAGGGATAAGTAACAGATCACCTGTGATGTTCTGCAAAGACAAGAAACCAAACCCGAGGCCAACCTTGTAGGCTTTCCTCGGATCGGGGAGGTCCAGCGATTGTGCTGTTTCTATGCGAAGAGATCGAGAGTTCACTTGCTCTAAGTGCTCTTACTGCTTTTATCGAACAACGTGATTAAGACAGGTTCATCTTCAAGAATACGTACCATCGGGAAGCGTGTGCCCTTCATGAACAAAGGGGTACAAAGGACATGAATAGGCAGGGTGTGGAAGAGAGATGAGCTATCATGCTTAAAACTGGTACCTGGCAGCACAGGACTGTTGGGTGCAAGGCATGTGAAACGAACATTGATTTCAAGGCTCTGAAGGAAGTGGAACTTGAAGCCCATGCCAGACAGGGACTTGGTAACGTGCTCTCTGTACCTCCACTGCGACATAGTTTCTGATGGCATCAGAAAATATCAAAAAGCAAAGAGCCCTCAGACCGCACCATTTTTGGTCCCAGTCCCTTCGGGAACCGCGATAGTGTGCCAATATCACCTTTGTACTTCAGGACTGTGAAGACTGGTAAACACCACGTGTGCTGGTATGATCATTTCCTTCGATGCAGTAAACTTAGACCACTGCATCATGCTCGATTCCAAGATTTTTCACCTTAGACAGCAAAGCGCAAAAGACTTTCGGTCCTTCGCTGTCGGTTCAGGATCTTTGGAAGCGTAAAGTATCGAAGAACATCGAAGGTCCGGCCAAGCCACATGTTCTACGTTTGCCTGCACTGTCTCCTTTCGCATTTCAGTCACTCCCAAACATTTGCTTCACAAGCGTTGCCATTTTCAGAGACACGGCGGCAGCAGCTCCTGAGTCCTTTCGCTGCTGTCCATGGCCCAGAACAGGAGTATTCTCGACAAAGAAAGCTGAAAGCCTCGTGTGGGGAGAAATCAACCGCTTCGTCCGAGCACCTCCCCGTCCCTGGGCTTGCGACAGCTCAGGATTACAAGGCAGAAAAGTCCTGAGATCGGCCATGTCCGTCGTCAAATTTGGGTATTTCAGGCAATTGAAGATCCAGAAACTCTGACACTGGACATGCAAAACATTCTCATTTAGTGTCAAAGTCTGCCTAAAGCCTGCCAAGAATCTGCCAGCCATAAGATATGAAGACTTGGGCACTCGGGTCCAAGGAGAGACACGGACTTAGCACCTGGGGATAGTTTCACAGCAAGTCAGGGGAAGATTCGTAAAATTCCGAGGGTCTGAGTCCAAAACCGGACTGCACGGTCTTGGAGACCGGTTTTGCTGCAGCTCGAGGTGAAGAACGTGCAAAGATGGGTTGATGTGGCATGATGGTCAGGCCACAAATGAAACATGCAACATCTCGAAAATTCGAAGCCCTTTGATGCCCCTTGCACTTGGAGCTCATCTGAAGACGCTCTTCGCCAAGCGGTGTTTTTTTCTGCGTCAAACAGCCGCTCGCGCCCATGCTGTTTGCTGGAGGAGAACATCATGTCACTTTGCCATGGGTGGAGCAAACTTTGAATCGGAGGCCGGCACATGGCCTCCTGTCTGCATCTTGCTGCTAACCCTTTTCATCTTGTTTCAACTGCAGAGCACTGCAGCTTTCCAAGCCACTCATTGTGTTTCATGATTCGGCACCTCATCTATATAGTTTGATTTCTAAAAACATCATCTTCTTTGATTCCAGGGATTTAAACTGGCCGGTTCCAAAAGTGGCTTTTCATCAAAGTCCCTTTGTCACAACTCTTCGAGCACAAACTCGACGTGAAACGACGACGATTTTCGCGTTTCCTCCGGTCACATCACTGGCTGGACGTCATCCTCAAGGCCCATCCCATTTGGGGGGGGACGAATCTCATCCGAAAAACGCCCATCCCCTTGGGGCATATGTTCATTAATTGATTGTTCATCCCAAAACAGGAATATCATGGAATATCCTTTCCATCCCCAGCCGGGGATGGTAAAAATATGTAAAAATTCTTGGCTGCCATATGTCTCAGCCGGGCCATCGGTCATCAACTGCCATGACATTCAGTCCATCAAATCCCATGAAAATCCCATGAAAATACCACTGCCCAGTCCTCATCACCGTCTGGCGTCTGGTCAGGCACCTCTGGTGGCGGAGAAGGTGGCGCTGCAGACTCCTGGGCACCAAACTCGGAGAGATTTCATATGAATTTCATTGTAATTTTGTCATAGCTCATATGGATTTCGTATTCATTTTACCATATTTCCTATGTCATGACATATCATATTTTTCATATCGGAAACATTCGGAAAATATTTGAATTTCTGCATATCTAGTGCATGTTCCTTACATCGTTCACCACAAGCTGTGCTTTGCCTTCGGTGCTTCGGAGGTCACCTTATCGGCAACGGCCTGGCCGAAGAGTTTGGAGGATTCAAGATCCAAAAATCCACACAGAGCCTGCCTTCAGATCGGAGGCATCTGCAAGCTGGATGACCTTGACAGCGAGTGCCACCAGCTCACGTAGCAAAAAACATGCCAAGCCACACCCCTCCGTACCAACTCAAAACTTGGTACGGCCCACTGGGTACCAACTCAGCTTGACACCTGGTCGATCAAGCCATATTCCTTCGCCTGTGCATGCAAGAGATGTGCACATATGTGCAAAGTGTCGCAACACTGCTCAAACTATTCATGTCTTTGTCAGCCTCTTCGGCAGACATGAAGTTGTCACGCATGAGGTCTTTTCGAATGGTGTCCTCGTTTTGGCCTGTCCTCAGACAGTCAAACTGTTTTGGGACAGCACCGCCAGCCATGAAAAAAGCTGCAGGATCCCATTCCCATTGAGTGTGGGACACACGAGAGTACATCCTCAGTAGACAGAGGAATAGGATCGACGATTCAACATGATTCAACTGGCCCATTTTGGATGGATGTTTTTGGTAGCTCACCGCACGATGTTCTCGTGGATCTGCAAGATTTGCTGGGCTTCTACCTGGGGATTTACATTGTCCCGTGATATCCGACCTTTTTGGTTGGTTAGACATCCCCATTTGGGGCAAAAACGTGACCCCGCGGGACCCAAAAAAACGTGGGGACCTTGATGTCTTCCGCCTGACCCTGCGCTCCACCCATGGCTTGATGGATCATGGTCTCGGTGCCCAGCAAAAATGATACACAGGTGATGAAAATTGATCAAAATGATCATGATTTTACAAACTAAAATTGCAATCCTTGGGTCATTTGCCAGTTTTCGACAAAGCCAAATGACTCAAATCATCGGTATCCATTCACAATCAACTGAGCAAACCACCCGGCTGTGTGGCAGCGCAATTCCTCACTGCAACCCCAGGCAGCATGGGACAACTTCGCACATGGGACATCATCGAAGTGGTATCGAATAAATTTTAGACTGTGAGCATCTGCAGGGGGCGAAAAGCTTTGGGTTGAAAATAGAACAATTGCCCCAAATGCAGGTGAATCGTACCATTATATACCATTATATACCATTATTATATTGTCATATATTGTCCACGACTTTCACTTCTTTTGTCAATGTTTAACACCAAGCCATCCCGCCAAGGTGCGCTTGCCCTTTTCCCCTGCGGCCAGGAGGAAGGATGCCATCGAGGCCGCCAGACCTGGGCGCACGCAGGGTGGTTTGTTCTTCAACTGCGGGTGCAGTGGGATTTTGTAATGGGTACCCTCTGGTAAACATACAAAAAACTATGGAAAATCACCATTTTTCAATGGGAAAATCCACTATAAATGGTCATTTTTAATAGCAAACTGTTAGTTTACCAGAGGGTACCAGCAAGGTAATCACCACAAGTTGCGGACCAACATTGATGGTGATGACTGGCGACTTGATATGCCTCGGAAGTGACCACAATTTTTCACAGCTCGACGAAAGGAAGCTGCCAGAAAATGCCCAACCAATCAGCTCAACTGGGTATGGGTCAATACCTATAGATACATTTTTAGTGGGATGAACATCCATTTACCAGCTATTTTGGGGTTCACTAGGTACCAGGGTTTTGACCCATCCCCAACTAAGTTTTGATCTGCATGGTGTCGTAGATGGAGAGACCCGAAATGACGGATCCACCGGCACTATTGATGTACAAGTAGATGGGCTTGTTGCTGTCCTGGCATCATGTCACAGCACTGCTGTCGATGCTGTCGCTGCATCCCTGCCTCGGAATCCAAGTAAAGCCTCAGGATGCCCCAAGCAGGGCCGAGAAGCCATGGTTGCCCAACTCAGTGAACTGTGCAGTGCCTGAGGTGATGGCAAAACTCCGATGACCTCATTTGCCAGCTTGTCATCAATCTCTTTGCCAATGAAAATGATTCCTGCCACAAGGCTCAGAAAACGAACAACTGCAATGACATGAGGGCACAAAATGTGGGGCGCAATAAAAAAGACAACATAGTCTTCTCTTGGAACTGCCCGCCCATCAGCAGAAAAACAACCTAGGGCAAGCAGTTGGTTGCAGCCTTGATGTGCTGCGTATCCAGCAGCATCTAGGTTTTTGACGCCTACCCTCTGTGAGTGGAACATCGTATTGTATAGTTAGCTGTTTTCACATGGCAAATGATCTATGAGTGAGTTAAAATGTGGGAAATCACTTGTCAAGTTCAATGTACATGGTCCCATGCTCCTCAAAAGCCGTGCTCCCGCAACGTTAAACCAGCCGGAGACACGTTCCCGATAAAGCCTGTTGTAAATATCAACCTTCCAACCATCCGCAACACATCAACACCGATGGTCCATCCAAGAAACGCTTGATGTGACCCGACCAAAAGCTCATTGAAATGCTGAAGCTGAGCATTGTACCCATTCCGCATTTGGTGCTCCTGGAATTCGATATGCCACCTGCTGAGGAAGTTTGTGCTACGCTTGATGGATCAAACCCTGGTACCCTCGTGGACAGTCAATGCAGGGTCATCCGCCCATTCTTCTGGAAAGATCACATGTTTTGAGCCATCCCCATTTGATAAACGTGAATGACCTGATCTTCAACAATCACTTGGGTAATAGTCAGAATGGGGTACCCCAACAAGTGGTGGTTAAAATTAAAAATAGACTTCAATCAGTTTAATTTTGACCCAACAATCCCATGAATTTCTGGTGCACGGCATCCGCTCACGGCATCTGGCATCTGGCCCTTTTTTTGGGGCGCTCGCAGAGCCAGCCCAACTCAAGTCACATACCTGGGCGCATCCCATTAGTGGCAAAGCATATTCTTCCATCATACACAACATGTGGGTTTGTCCGAACATGAAATCACGTGGCCAATATACAAATATATTGTATATATTCTATATATATATACATATACACACTTTATCCTCATGTTTTTTTCATGTTTCCCATTTGTAACCATAATCCATGGCCATGGATTATACCCCATGGTTTAGTTAGGAACCATAGAAGGGACAGCCGCAAGATCCATCCAAGGTGCCACCAGTATGTCCAATCCATCCCTAGATTCACCTGTTTGCCATCTATCCGATGCTCATGGACAGCTCGTACGACTCCTCATCACACAGCAACCAAAAAAAACATCCATAAAGTTAATAAGCCAAGGATGATCCAATTGATCAAATCATGCAGCTGCCAACTTTCATCAACCTTCATCAAAGCTTCAATTTGTTTAAAGCATTTCACGTTGTCTTTGAGTTTTTTCCAGCATCTCTGGCGATTTCTCACACAGGCGTCCTGGCCATTGAGGTGAAAAGTCATGACCGGCAACAAGTCCACCTCGGAGCAGCCCATGGATGAAGGTTTCAAAATGCTCAAAATTGCCATTGCCTATGTCTGTCATGTTCATGATATGTTGTATATATTATTATTATTGCATGCATACTATCTATTTTGTATACACAATTATAGTATATATGTCAACCAAGTGCTCAAGCAAGCAATGCGCCCATGGCCTTTTTGTCCCAGACCTGAAAAGTGCCTTGTGCCTAAAGGCAATCCGGGGCGATACAACGCCTGAGTAAATCAGATGAAATAAATGGTGCAAAGGTTTCCTGTGCATGTGTGTCACCTGTGCACCTGCCTTACTGATGAGACATCGACAATATATATATATATACATATATATATATCATTATTATTATTATTATTATATATACATTAATATATATATATATATTAATATTATTATTATTATCATTATTATTATTATTGTTATTGTTATTGTTATCATTATTATTACTATTATATTATATATATATGTATTATATATATGTATTATATATATGTATTATATATATGTATTATATATATGTGTATTATATATATATATATATGTATTATATATATATATGTATTATATATATATGTATTATATATATATGTATTATATATATATATGTATTATATATATATATATGTATTATATATATATGTATTATATATATATATATATGTATTATATATATATGTATTATATATATATGTATTATATATATATATATGTATGATATATATGTATTATATATATGTATTATATATATATGTATTATATATATATGTATTATATATATATGTATTATATATATATGTATTATATATATATATTATATATATTGTATATATATATATATATGTATTGTATATATATATATATATGTATTATATATATATGTATTATATATATATGAGCTGCGAACCATATTTGTTACATAACGCAATTGACGGGGTGTTCCTACCTCGTTCTCCAGTGGATCGTATCACAAAGGATACTCTCAGCACTTACAATCGTTCTCGGGGTGTTCCTACCTCGTTTTACAAGCTAAATATGATGTTTTTGACAAACCCGGGTACGCCCGAATACTACTTTCCATATACGCAAATAAGAGCCGTCGCTCATATAGCACAATCCAACCAGCACAGCAGGCCTGGGCCCAGCTTGGGCAGCCAGATCTTCAGGTCGGACTCCACACACTCGTAGAGGTGGCACCCATCCACGAAGATGGCCTACAGCTAGGTTTATAGCTGGGAAAATCATGGTGAAAACCATGGGATAATGATGAGAAAATCATGGGAAATGGGAACATCCACTAGAAATGCAGGTTTGCAGCTGGGTAAATTTTATCGCACTGGTGTCGGGAATTGTCCAGAAAACCATGACTGATTACCAAAGGAACCAAGAAGTTCACCAATGAAGTGAAAAGTTAAAAGGATGTCCTTTTCAGACCTGAGAAATAAACATATAGCTATAGCGGCTATAGGTCAAAATCCTGTACCGTTGGTTTTCATATCAAAACAGCTGGTATAGCTCGATGTTCATCCAACCAAACGGTGCATTTATAGGTTTTCAACGCTAGGCAATGGGGATAGACGGGATAGACTTCAAAGATGTTCTCACATGCTCTCACCAAAGGTGAGGAGGTTTTTGCACAGTGTCCAAGAACCTCAACAAGGCCGGAGATCATTCAAATCCACCGCAATTGCAAACAAAGGCACGTCCAAGCTGCCATCTGGAATACTCCTTTCAAGTCAAAATGTCTCTTGAATCACAATGATGACCATTGGACAGGCTCTTGAATTGGACAGGCTCCAAAAGCAGCTGTCAAAGCCAAAGAGACGTGGTCCTTGCAGCTTCTTCTGAAGTGGTCGGAAGCAATTGCGCTCGGTCAGGAAAGCCCTCGTAGAGCTTTTGTGCCTGGATCAAGGGTCGAACTTCCATCTGGCGCTTTCCTAAAATGGGGGGTACCCCTATTGGATAGCTATAATGGAAAATCGTATAGCTGGGGCTTTCCCAATAGCTGGATGGTTTATAGATGAATTTTCCATTATAAACCATCCAGCTATTGGGCTTTCCCACCTGGGCTAGCGCCATATCTGGGTCAAGGGTTTCGGAGAAGTCGCCAGGAAATGTACCATCTTTGCCGATGTAGGGATCTACACCTCAATTCCACGGAGGAGGTGTAGAAAAGCAATGACCATCTGTCGGGGAATCCAGATCTTGACATGGCAAATCTTGATGCAGCCGTGCTACCAAGCAATTGGACGAATGGCAGTTTCTCCAGAACGTGTTTGGACCTGCGACGTTTTCAAACGGCAAAATTCATCTGAAACGGATGACTGGTTTCATGACATGGCTGGGTCGCGCACAGACTTCCTTTGAAGACCCCAATCTCCACTACAATCAGTGTTCGCCCTTCTAGATCATGTGCCTTCTTCCTGAGTACATTTCAACGAGTTTTTGTCTTTGCATCAGAATATGTCTCTGGTAATGTTCCTGAATTCAGCTTAGGTGCAGAAGGTTGCTAAGGATTTCCTGCGGAAGGGAGACAGCAGCTTTGTTCATATATGTGCCATGGTCAAGAGATAGTATATGGCTTATGGTCTTCCAGTATTGGGAATCCATTGGCCATAACCAATCCTGGGCACCTAATTCTCTACAGTGGTGGTATGACCATCCCCCAATCTAGCTACAGGCGAAATTTTCCTCACCTGACAAAGGGCGATCGCTCCTGCCGCTGGCTACCCTCATTGGAAAAGGCATAGACTGGTGCCCTGCATGCTGTGCAAGAAACAAGGAAGGTTCTTGTTGAAATCATTTGTTCGCGCTATGGATGGAAAAGTATCAGAAGTGGAGTGAATTTCTGAGTCACTCATCAATCACTTGGGATTGTCTGTAATAAAATCATATAAAATCCAATGATGTATTGACATGTTTGTCATTAAAAAAAAACTACAGTACTCAGTAATCCAGTATTTCAGAATATGACTTTGTCTGAAAAATTAATACTGAAGAAAACCAAGCGGTTGATCGAATCATGTTACCAAAAAGTGCATCTGCATTCGCGGGGTATTCCATGTTTTGACGCATCCAAATATTAAATTGTTGGTTGTATATGTATATGTATATGTATATATATATATATTCCATGATATTCCCAATATTCATTGGATTGGTTAAAAGGGCAAAAATGCAGGACACCTCCATTTTTCATCAGAACAAAAACGGTTTCCCCAATACTATACTTCGTTATAATATAAATTAATATAACATGTATTAATAGTTCATTGTATTCCCACGATATTTTTTTCCCATTGTATCCCCAGGATTTCCCCAAAAAAATCTTGCTTCAAATCGACTGCGCCTGGCAGAGCCTCCCAACAAGCCATGGCTGCTGAAGGCATCATGCGCTCCCAGCTCGCTCCAGCGATCTGCTGGACCCCAGGAGCTCTGCACCACGCGACCCTGGCAGTCGCCATCCCGGGACTTCACGGAAAAATCACCGGCCAAAAACAGGGAGTTCACCGGCCAAAATAGGGATTTCACCGGTCAAAATATCAAGTTCACCAGTGGAAATGGCTGTCACCATCATGCCATCATTCAAAAGGGATCGATGAACACAGCCGGCCGAAACCCATAGGCTGACTCGGGAAGCCTAGCCTCACTCAGAGAGTCCTTCAACCAAACAAAGTGCGTATCTCGCCAGACCTAAGCGACTTGAAGTCATCCTATCATTCCCGAACTGGAAGGAAAAACCTACACAAAAACCCACATATGGGGTTGAAATCCATAGTTTCCTGTAGAATTCCCCTTGAAATCAATCCATGTTTCATCATCGCCCAGAATTGAACTGCCTAGATTGCCACTTTTTGTCCCAGCTGCAATCCAGTTCACGTGTTCAAATGCTTTGCGACTGAAGGCCAGCAATCTTGAGACCACCTGACGGCTATGCTGTTTCGGCTGCAGCGGATGCATCAAGTCCTCTCGCAACTGACCGAGCTTCTCACCTGCACTGCGCGAGTTGTGGGTGGTTTGTGGTTGGTGGGATATTGGTGGGATACCATGTTGAAACTCTTCAACATGAAAAAAAAGAGTAAAAATTATATTTTTAATGGATGTCACTCCCCCAATCTTGATACCACAGTTTTGACACATCTCCAAATACCAAGCATTGTGCCATTTGAATCCAATTTGAGCTGAGCAACCGATCAAGAATCCGATGGGCGTCGACTGATGAATCTCAGATTCTCTTGCGAGAGCTTGGCCGGAAACCTCCAGCAGTTCATCTGCCATTGCCTGACAATGACCAGAATGACCAGAACTTGCAAATAGTGTACCCCTAAACCCAATGGTTAATGATCATTATCCCTATTAGATGGCTATAATTGGGAATATACCCTATTTTCAGACATACCCACATAGATTTGGAGGTGCAGGGTCCCGCTAATAGTAGAAAGAGCGATCAACTATGAGCAAATCAACAAATCAAACAACTGGAAGCTTTACAAAATAGCACTTTTGCTTCAGGACTCAACTTACTCCACCTTGCCTCCAAGGAATCTTCGGGGATCTCTCCATAGAGGCCGCTACACAGAGCCAGATGCCGCAACGCCGCGATCATCAGCTCCCATGCCACGTCATTCAGCGCCTCGCAGCTCCAAGACGTCAAGTTCATGTTGGGTGTCGCCCAGCAGACGCGTCGCGTATTGTTGCCATAGCCAACTTGGGAGCCCAAGCCTCGCATGATACCTGAAAGCGACAATGAAAGCTACAGCTGTGGAAAACATTGGAAAACCATAACGACAGGTCATGCTCTGCAGTCCAAAGGCGTTCTGAGGTGACCACCGATGCATGTCACCGTCTGCCGCTCATCATCGCGCTCCCGCTGCTCCCTTTCCAGTCCAAAGCCTTCAAGCAGCTCCGAGACGCAAGCATCAAGTGCCTCGCGACACGATAAACCAATACCATGTCACCATGACCTCTTGGTGCATGTCAGTCTTGAAAATGATGCACTACTTCTGCCATACACTTCCTGGACTTCCTGCTCATCTTGGCCATTCGCCATGAGCATTGACCAAGTTTTGACCATCACGCACCTGTTTTGAGGCCAAGTCCGTTCGAGATCCACGGAACACAAAGCTGCACACCTGAGGCGAACTCAAAATCACTCGCTAATCCGAGAAGCGGATCCGAAGGATCCGAAGGATCGGGCCTCTGCGGAGACCAATGGCAACAAGCAAATGCTCCAAATGCCAATAGCAAAGCTGTTCCATGGCATGTCAGTTCGGCTGTAGCAATGTGAAATATGATGAAATATGCACTTGTTGAGAATCCTCCTAGTCGGGTTGGGTCACTTGTCTCAGCTCCGATGAAGCTACTGACTACGAATGCATGAATTTCAGGGGTGCTGATGGATCCAGAAGCCTGAGAGTTCTCTCACTTTGTACAATCAACTTCACTGTCCACATGGACAAGTACACGAGTCCTCATGGATTGCTATTCTTGTGCAGGGCAAGGGTACCAGTAGACGGAAATGCTGGAGAGAAGCAAATTGCGTTTAATGTATGGGGGGCTTGTGGTCTGTCACATTTTTCGGGGGGGCTGGTGCATGGAGCCACTTTTTTCGCTAAGTTTGATCAGCTGCAAATGGCAGCAGACAAACATCTACAGTAACATTCATCTACCCATCCATAGCTGTTTCACTTTGGTACAGGTAGGCTCGTTAGGGCAGCAAAGCTCAAAGGAAATCCCATCTCGCTGGGCTGGCCGGGTTGGCCTTCGGCACACCCAAGGGCATCATATACCAGCCATCTGACGGCTGCAGGTCCTACGCCACCGTCTTGCAAGAAATCCATCCCCCATTTGGCACTGCAAAATGGATTGCTGCAGGACCCAAAATTACATCCAGCCTGCGAAGAGCTAAGTGCGACATTGCTTGTCTCTGCCTTTTGAGGCAATCTGCCTGCCCCGGGCCTCGCTTTTCATTGCATCATGACATCCAGCGACAAGGAAACTTCCACTAAGCAGGGGACGCACTCACAAAGCTCCTTGACCACACGGAGTTCCCGAATCTGCACCGCGAGTGGGCAGCCAGAAAGGTTGCTTACTGGTCTATTTGGAGAGGCCAGATAAACAGCAGCCACAGGTCGCTCAAAAGCAATGGCAGCCTGATAACTAGCAGACTCAAGGCAGCGGCCAGCAGGAGAGGAATCCGGGCCTGTGCCAGCTTTCAGTGTGAAGCTCCGGTAGTTTCGCAACGAAAAGAATTGAGCAAGCAAAACCTGTAGGACTTCTTTTACGTTGGGTGTTGCTAGAGGAAAAGGCTAGTCAAAAGGTGAATTCGTGTGATTTGTTTGACCATTCACTATCAAAGAGAAGTGGTGTAAGAGAAAAATCGTCAAACACCCTGGTGGAAAGTTCGGGCAATTGGGGAGGTCCTGAAGCCACGAGAAAATTTAAAGCATGACGTGCTCTCATCGTTTCTGCAGGGCCAAAAGTAAAAGGCGGGAAACATATTTATGTCTATGGGATTCTATGGGGAACACTCACGGTGTTGCAAATGATTCTTACCAGGATCGTAATTGGCCAATTGTTTTTTTTTGCCGCACAAGTATATATTTACTTTTGTTAAGGATGCGTTTGATTGCTATCAGAGGGTGGAATGGTGCCTCCAGTCATTACTCAGGACCAAAGAATTGAAGATTCAAATGTAGGAAACTTCGGTGTAGCCAATGTAGCCGCTGAAACACGTGGTTGATGAAGCTATGTGAAAGAAAAGTGAGTCATGGTCTTCTTGAGCGGATGGGGCTGGCATGTGGCAAGCTGCCTTGGGGACAATGTAGTTCTGCCGGGCCAAAAGTCGCTTTCAAACCCCAAGTTTGTCTCTCTTAGCAGCTTTGCCGACATGGTTTTGCCCGAAGTCGGTTTGAGGCTGCGCAATTGTATGTATCTCCGTTGTGTTTGTCTTCAACAAAAGGGATCCAAGCTTTACGCTGAGGCTTGCGACTGGTAGTCAGTTCGTGATCCCAAAGTGTGAGACTTTTTGAGTGGCTGCAATAGAAGATCCAACAACACTCCTTCTGATCATTGCTTTGATAATTTGTCCATTGGCTACGGAAACTTTGTCTACCCTTGCTCATGATCCTTGCAGCGTCGAGCGGGCACACGCGATTCCTTTCGGCTGCCTGCGCCCGTGGAGCATGGGCTGCAACAGCGCCCGTCATGACTACCGGGACCTTGGTATCGAGACCCCAGAGACTGCAGGGATAGAACACAGTTTCAACACCTTAACTGCTAAGACTGCTAAGATAACATCTTTGCACACCAACAATGTCCTGGGGTGGTCACCCTATGGTGGTCACGGTTGGTTAAAACTGATGATTTGTGTTATCCTGAGATTTTATAACAAGGACCCAAAGACACAGTTGTTTTGGCATAGTGACCTTCTTAGATTTAGACCTTCAGCTCAGCAAGCGCAATATATCGCAATATAAAAACAACTGATTCCCTTCTTTCTCACAGGCTCTCTTAAAAGTCTCAAAATCAATGGACGTGGGTCTACCTTCAGGCCACACTTGTCAACGGCAACTTTACCCTCAATGAAACCTGGATGCAGACCAGAAACGAAAGCCCTCCTCAAGAAAAGCTCATGGGAGTTTGAGCCCAAATGGCAAATCCAACCAATGCTCTGACCTGACGCTGCAGGACTGATTCGTCCCGTGATACCATGTACGTGTGTTCTGGCCAACCAAGAAACATGAGAGTCTGATGTGACGTTTGTTTTCTCATTTTTCTCTATTTTGGCGCAGAATGTCTCAGCAGTTCCACATGCCGTGAGCCGCCGAAGCTGTTCGTCCAGGACGGGTCGCCGCCAGCAGCTGGTCCCTCACCTCCACGTCCAATCTTCTCCGAGCGTGTTCTCATCTGGTGTCCTGTAAACCTACCAGACTCGGGCACAACCTGTCAAGGTGGATCAAGATGGATCAAGGGAAGTGATAAACTGCCGGAGCTCCAGCACTTCTGAATGTTCTGGTCCAAGCAGCTTTTCTCTGATACCCAGCTCTCCTGGTCCCCATCGTCCCCAACATGGGTTCCCCATCAAAGTAGCCAGTTTTGGGGGGTATCTATCCTCATTTTCAGACGCAGCCATGTGAAAGGAATGAAAGGAATGTAAGCAAGAGTCAAAACATGTGAAAATGCTACCTCTGTGCAAGGATCGTCGATAGCATATCAGAGCCTCTTTGGACTCCCCGGATCGCCACTTGAGATCTGCAATTCCGTCCAATGCATCTGCCACTTCCCCACTTCGCATTCCATGGACTTCTTTGAAGATCGCCAGAGATCGAATGTAGAATTCTAGAGCACCTTTGGTGTCTCCCACTAAGTCTCGGCGTCCAGCAAGGTTGTACAAGATCTTCGCGATGTGGGAATGCTCCCGTCCAAAGAATCTTTCCCAGATTTCCAATGATCGGCATGCGAACTGCAATGCCTCACTTCGCTTTCTACGACAGGAAGGTTCAGAAGTTTCAGCCACAACAAAGGAACCGCAAGTTGCGACACAGATCACAGCTATATCAAAAATGAACATAATAAACGAACATGCACAAATCTGACTTAAGGCCCCCCAAAAAATGGGCCCATTCCAGAAATCTTATGAAATCTTGCCAGATCCAATCAGATCCAGGTGCTTCTTCGACCTGCCCTGCTCCATCTTTCAAGTTCGCAATGCAATCAAGCGTTGTCGCCACGTAGAAGTGATTCGGACCCAAGACCTGCACAGGTTACTTGGCAGTGAGAATGTGAGCCCCGATTTTTTTTCATCTTCAAAAGGGATAGATAGTCCCCAAATGATTCGCGATGATCGATTTATGTATCTATATAAAGAATAGATAAGAATAGTAGTATGATGATCATTGACCTAATATGCTCTAATCATCAACTGAACACAGATTTTATCTGAAGCTGAAGCTGGTTTGATCAAAAGGACTGCCTCTTCTCTGATCGTCAAAGCACGCAAATACAAAGCAAGAGCTTGCTCAGCTTCTCCGTTGTTTTCCTGGTGGCACAACTCTGCTGTAACTTAAGGACAGCAGAACAATGCAGACTGCCTGCTCGACTCACCATTCAAGACTCAGGCATTAGTGAAAAGTAGCATGTCATGGTACATCATACGGACCATACGTCACTGCATGTCATAGGTCCTGCAAGCGTGCCATGTCATGAAGAGTTGAGGCTAAGAGCGAGCGAGCTTGAGTTTTCTCAAGCCCAGCCTCGAAAAGATCTGTCAAAAATCCAAAAATCCAACAGCACTTATCGCATGTGATGGAAGTGACAGTCGCTCAGCGTCAAACCAAAGCATCTTGGTAGAGCTCCAATGCCTCCTGCCGCAGCCACTGCAGGAGCCCAAAAAAAACAAAGTATGCAGTATGGAGACTCGCCACATTGTGTTTGTGTGAAATCACACCCAACAGGCCTGGATCTTTCCTTCAGGGGCAGCATGGATCGCATTAAGAAATCAGATGAGATGATGTGATTGGACACAAGTGAAACCTGCATCCCTGGCCATACAAACACACCTCGTTCAGCTTTCATCTTGGCCACTTCGCAGAGGGAGGTTGCCTCCTCGAGTCAGCATCAAATCAGCAAATGAAAAACCAGCATCAGGAAAAAGACATAAAAAGACCATGTTGATGGCCTAGATGATGCGAAAGACAATTCACAGCTTTCCATGAAATGGCTGTAAATAGCTTCTCCCGGCGCTATGATGTGAAATCTTGGCCCTTTGACATCGCCAAATCTCCTGCAATGGGTCTTTTGGCTTGGCGCCTTGCAGCGCCGGCCAGTCGCCCAAGGCAGCAAAACTTCCATCGCCAAAGAAGTGGTTCTGAACCACCGCGCGGTAATCGACCGTACCGCCTCCCACAGGGCCATCACTGGGTATCACTGGGGATCACTGGGGATCACTGGGGATCACTGGGGATCACTGGGAACAAGATCCAGGGAGCTGTGTGAATGATTGGAATGGCCAAGCGTCCATCTACTCCAGAGCTCAGGAGAAGATCCTCAAGCCAGGCAGTCCAACCAATGGTGCCACAAGAGCAAAAAGAGACAGATCTGCAAAGCAAACAAATGGCAAGTCTCCTCAAGTTCAGAATCAGTGAAGCTGTTCCCTGCAGCAGCATCAACATCAAGGATGCTGCAAGCCGACATCTGAATCAGTCACGCAGAATTGGCCTGACATAGACATTACTTCCACCAGCTTGTTGATGGACATTCGCCCTGTACCATCTTTGTCAAAGACCTGTCGAGTGTAAAACTTTCCCAGGAATTGATGCAAATCACAAACTGACATGAGCCATGGTCAATACTCACTATATGGTTGATGGTCATCCCATCCATAATAAGGATCCTTATAATGGTTATTATAAATCCCTATGAACCATTGGGAAGTGAACTGCCGGTTCCAAATTGCGTTTGGATCTTGGCTCACGAGGCCCGAACTCGGAAATCTTTGAGCAACTGCTCCGCTTGATCGGCGGCGAGCCACTCCGACAGCGCGTCCTGTGTTGAGCATCGCTTTCGGCCCATTCAAACAGACAAAGCCTGGAGGAGAAACCACTTAGTACTGCTTTGATATACCTCAACATGATCCAAACCAAGTATTTTTCGACATATCAATCTCTCTATGCTAGAGTGCTCAGGACAGGTAGGAAAAGGTACATAGCAAGAAAGCCTTCAAAAAGCCTTCAAAGGTGCGAAACCAACCTGGGTTGTACCCAGAATAGATCAAATGTCCTAGGCTTTACCAACACAACCTTGTGTACAGCACAACTACAGACACCGTGCCACAACACTCTCAGGGAAAGGTTCTTGTGGAAGTCATCGTTTTCCAATTTTTTTCAGACATCTGTATGCTCCATGTCCATTTACATCAACACTTTGCATATGAACTTGTGTCTTCTGGTGCCAAAATTCCCCGTTTGACCGATTCTTCCCCTGTAAGAACGTTCAGGGGATGTCCTCCATCAATTTGCTGAAGGTTTCGTAGTCCAAAGGACTGCTGTCCACCTTCTTCATGAGATTGTCAACCTTAGTCAATGTTGGAGCATTGTGCGGCACAAATCTTGCAGTACCAGGTGAACTGGCACCACGAAAAAAAAGAAATGGTTTTAAAAAAATCCTGATACCCCTGACAGCATAATTATCATCTTCCCCATTGCTAATGTCCATTTAATGGGGGCCATCCGTTAGACAAACCCACAAGCACTGGGCACGCAACCTGCTGCTCTGTCGGGTTCATTCCCAGCAAGTTCATGGCTTGCGCCAGACGCGTCGGAGGCAAACCATCCGTCGGCTTCGTTTCCGACGAGGCGCCACAGAGTTCTTGATAGATCGAGGGGATAGATGCCTCAGCTCTGGTTTACCTGCACCTGCCATTCTGCTTGCACAAGACAATTGGAGTGACGATGTCAGACGTGTAGATGGTTGAAGCAGTCAAATTCACAAAAAGTGCTGCTTTTGTCAGTTTTTGCAACCGAAGGACACTCATCTATGAACAGCAGTGTCACCACCCCCTCTTCCGCCATCTGTGCTCATTGCCTTCTTCGGATCCCGGCGATTTGTGCCATACAAGCGATCTGTCAACATGATGGTTTTGCAAAGAAAATGTTTCAACGTGCTGACATGGGTCCGGTGCAGCTGCACTCCTTGAGTCATACAGCTAAGGCAGCTAAGGGAAGGGAAAGTGAGAATAAACCAGTCACGTCACGTCTCCAAGAAAGGTATTCAAAGTATGCCAAGGTGATAAGTACTGTGGAGCTGATTGTTTAGGCTGTGGCTCTGAATGGTTGTTGTCTGTGAACACAGATCGATGTAGGATTGATTCCAAAATATCTGCAATGACAGTGTCATACCAATCGTCCAAAATTACTCAATCAAAACTTTGGACCTCTCACAATCACAGCTTTTCAAGAACTCCTCTGGGTTTGAACAAAAAATAGGGGTACACCAATTTATTGAGCAATGATGGAAACTGTATCATTTTCTGAACCACGAGATGCTTCATGGGGTAGCCTATCTTCAAACCCACTCCATCCATGTCCACGTCCATCGGCGATTTCAACTGTCACGGGCTTCACCTGTACACAGTGTTCCAGGCCGTGGAGATCAGGTTACGTAGAGACTCAGGCCGAAATATTTCTGGCGATGTCGGTTTCAATCGTCTTTGATCTTTGGGGACCATCAAGTTTGGTTCACCAAGTTCGGTTCTATGTTTTATTTTTAGTAGAGTATGTGTATATATATATATACCCGAGGGGCTAAGCTAAGACTTCTCCGATGGGGTGTGGTGGGATGGGGTGGGGCTGATAACAATCAAGTACACTTGCGTACAGCTGTGATGCTACGCAGTTGTACGTTCACTGGCACGTCGGCAGACTTATGATGCTATGCTGAGAAATTGCAGACAGAACATGATAACAAAGAAATGTAAGTAGAACACAAAAAAAAACTGACTATCAAGATGCGGCTTGGTTCACAACGATAGAAAACACTGCAAATACCAATACAAAATGGCCTCTTTCATTTTCACTGGCGTTTCCCAATGAATTTTACACATTTTTCATTTTAAAAATGAATATCTTGAAACAAAAAATGCAGAAAAAAAACAGGGGAAATCAACAATTCTAAACCTTGCAGACAGACAATAATAACAAAGAAATATGAGTAGAAGACACAAAAAAAACCTCTGACTATCAAGATGCGGCTCGGTTCACAACGTTACAAAATACTGCAAATACCCATACAAAATGGCCCTATCTCATTTTGATTGGCGTTTCCCAATGAATTTTGCATTTGTTTCATATAAAAATGAATATGTTAAAACAAAGAACACAAAAAAAAAAAAAACAGGGAAAATGAACAATTCCAGGATAGAGGAACCAATGAAGAGTACCTTTTGTACTTCAACTTAAACGGACGAAGAAAAAAAAAACACGTCCGTCAAACATCAAGTTGTCAAGACAAATCACGATGCTCAACAATGTGCAAATTACCACAGGGAAAGCACAATTTTCAACATGTCCAATCAACCACAAACATGACGTATCAGAGAACTTAGCGCCCCTAGCGTGTATATATATATATATGTGTGTGTGTATGTATGTATGTATGTATGTATGTATGTATGTATGTATGTATGTATGTATGTATGTATGTATATATGTATGTGTATGTATGTATGTATGTATGTATGTATGTATGTATGTATGTATGTATGATGTATGTATGTATGTATGTATGTATGTATGTATGTATGTATGTATGTATGTATGTATGTATGTATGTATGTATGTATGTATGTATGTATGTATGTATGTATGTATGTATGTATGTATGTATGTATGTATGTATGTATGTATGTATGTATGTACTCATCCCAACTGTTTGGGTGGTCCCAACTTTGACCCACCAAATCCAACTACAGTCTGAGTCCAGTATTTTGGTTGGGACGGTTGGGATCCATGAAGTTCGCTGGCCCAGGGGGCCCAAGAGTCTTGGAGGCCTTTACAATGGAACAGCTGGCCCTCCGAAGGGATGGCAACAGCAAATCTCAAGTGAAGCATGTGACCCCGGCCAGGTGCCATGACTAAAAAAAACCTCCCGATTCCAAACTTCAAGTCGTTCAGAAATCGTTTGGAGAATCCAAAGATCTTCAACTTACCAGTTTACAAAACTCTAAACAGAAGAATCAATCAAATCAATCAACAAAAAAAACACAATTCGTCCCAACATCCGTTGCTTTCTCTGAAAATCTCTGGCACCACGGTGAAAGCCACATGACTTACAGATGGCGTCTCTCGATCTCGTGGCACCTCACCGCCACGACCTGGGACCTCACTTGACAGCATTTCCAAAAACCCACCAGAAGGGGTTGGTGTTTTTCTTGGGAAAATGGACGGATAGCCATGGATAGCCATGGATAGCCATGGATAGCCTGATGTGATCTATTTTTGACCATTCAAAATCATTCAAAATTCGATATTTGATGAAATTCTGGGATCAGAAACTATTGACCAAACCCACTGAAAATCCTCCCGTTGGGAACAATGAAGGATCTACTGGATCCTACATGTGGCAAAGTTTGTCAGACGTTTTGTCGATAGATGCTACCATATGCTACCTCAAGAAAATGCCAAGAGGTCTTGTGAACTGTCGTCTCTAATGACCCAGGTGTCGGAAGCACTGTTTCTGCTTTTCAAAGGTCAGAACGAGCACGAGGCTCAGAATCGGCGCAACGCGCAAGGGCTCGCAAGTTTCGAGGGAAGCCCTCCTCACTGGGAAGAGTTTGCTTGCTTCGCCCAGGATTGCTGGCCTGGAAAATGTACTGGCCTTGGCAGACTTGGCAGGAATACAAAAGCAGCCCTGCGGGGCAGAAGCAACCAAAAAACACACAGATAGCGGAATGCGGGCTTCATGATTAGGCAAAACCTACGCAAATCTGCTAAACACAAACATCTAAGAACTGTTTCTGTTTGTTGTTGGCAAGCTTCAGTCCTCAGTTTTGTCTCCATGTTGGGTAGGGTTGTACATTGTGCTGCAGAGAGCCTTGATCCCCAAAAGTCCTAACTCATTTCCCTCTTCTCTTTCTACCTTCTCTTTTTCCGTTTTTCTTGTGCTTTGTGCAAATACTTGAGTCAGCTAAATACAAAAGCAGCCCAGCGGGGCAGAGGCAACCAAAAAACACAGAGGGCGGAATGCGGGCTTCGTGATTACGCAAAACCTAGTCAAATCGTCAAAACATAACAAAACATCTAAGAACTATTTTTGTTTGTTGTTGGCAAGCTTGAGTCCCCAGTTTGTCTATGTGTTTGGTAGGGTTGCACATTGTGCTGCCAGCCCCATAAGTCCTAACTCATGTCCTTTTTCTCTCTCTGCCCTTTCCCTTTCCTTTTTTGGGGATTCGTGCAACTGTTCAATAGAGGCAACCAACAAAAAAAACACAGAGAGTGGCATGGGGGCTTCATCATTAGGCAAAACCTAAGCACATCTGCTTTGCGTTTGTTGTTGGTAAGCTGCAGTCCTCAGTTTGTCTACGTGTTTGGTAGGGTTGCACAATGTGCTGCAAGCCCCATGAGTCCTAACTCATGTCCTTTTTCTCTCTGCCCTCCCCCTTCCCTTTTTTTGGGGATTCGTGCCACTGTTCGAGCAGGCTAAATGCAAAAGCAACCCAGCGGGGCAGAGGCAACCAACAAAAACACCACAGAGAGTGGCATGGGGGCTTCACCTGCTTGACAAAACATCTAAACTGTTCTTGTCCGTTGTTGGCAAGCTTCAGTCCTCAGTCTGATCTACATGTTTGGTAGGATTGTACATTGTGCTGGAGAAAGCCTTGAGCCTCATGACTCATACATCCTAATTCATCGCCCTGTTTCCTCTATAGTCTATACTAGTACCCTGTCCTTTCCCGTTTTTTTTCCCAGTTCATGCGAGTGTTTGAGGCAGTCAAATACAAAAGCAGCCCAGCGGGGCAGAGGCAACCAAAAAACACACAGATAGCAGAATGCGGGTTTCATGATTAGGCAAAACTTACGCAAATCTGTTAAACAAAACGACTAAGAACTGTTTTTGTTTGGTGTTGGTAAGCTTCAGTCCTCAGTTTTGTCTACATGTTTGGTAGGGTTGTACATTGTGCTGCAGAGAGCCTTGATCCCCAAAAGTCCTAACTCATGTGTTTTTTTTCTCTCTCTGCCCTTTCTCTTCTCTTTTTCGGGGAATCGTGCAACTGTTTGAGTAGGTTAAATGCAAAAGCAGCCCAGCGGGGCAGAGGCAACCAACAAAAGCACCACAGAGAGTGGCACGGGGGCTTCATGATTAAGCAAAACCTGGGCGAATCTGCTTCACAAAACATCTAAAAACTGTTCTTGTCCGTTGTTGGCAAGCTTCAGCCCTCAGTCTGATCTACATGTTTGGTAGGATTGTACACTGTGCTGCAAAAGGCCTTGAGCCTCATAAGTCCTAACTCATCTTCCTCTTCCCTCTATACCCTCTCTCCTTTCCCGCTTTCTTCGGGTTAGTGCAAGTGTCTGAGG